CATTTTTAGCAGATTAGGAAATACATATAATATTAATTTTAAATTTTAATCTCTTCAGTTCAACTTAGACTTCTATCTTTAGACTTAGTTCAAAAGTTTTGTTATTAAAGCTGTTGTTATCTAAAGACAGTAATTATTGAGGGCATAAAACTAGATCAGCAAATACACGACTCATTCGAGTCCAAAGTTTAAGAATTGACGACTTCAAATACATCATTGAAATTCAATGTTACTATGAAAAATAAATACAAGCAAATATTGATTGAGTGCTTAATATGCATAAGTCAAAAACGAAATTAAATTTAAAAAAAAACTACATTATCCAGATTACGTCGCGATATATCTATACTGAATTTATATCGCATTAAATTCATTTAACTTATATCTCTAGTTAGGTGTCGTGCTTAAACACATTCGTCACTTGACTAGATAGTTACTGGATCTAAGCAAACGAGCATTCCCACACACAAATATGTCCAAATTATGCATACGAGGAACTTGGCTGCATACCGTTGATGTCACTTTTACCTTGAATTAGAAATTAAAAAATAACAGAATTTATCGTTTCGTTTACAATATGGCGGTTAGTTTCGTATATTCGAGTATTATTTCGAGGTTTTCGTTTTTGATCGCGTTAAATAATATTAATTGGTTTTGTTTGGTTCGTTTAACGGACGTCCTTACGGACGGACGTCTGGCGAACTACTGGATCGTGGTTGGCTGACTGACGTTATCTCTTATCACTTAATGCGATTCCGCTTTAGTTTATTACGAAAATTTGTTTTTTTTACAGCTGATAAGTTTTTCGTGAATTTGGCAATATTTGGCTCGTGTTTTAAGTTTTATTCAAATATTATAATAATTTAATTCAAATGCTTTCTTCTATGATTTAAAAAAAAAACTTATTAAAAAAACACAATTTCGATAACTTTAGAAGATATTGGTTTATTATTTAATACTTCTTTATATAAGTATTTATAAAACAACAATTTCGGATACTCTTATTTAATCTATTATCAGTTATTTTCAGCCACATTTTGTTTCAAACAGCAAAACGCAGTAGCAACAACGTATATTTCCGGTTTTAATTGACCCACTAGCGCCGGAAATACAAGATAATATTATCAATCATTTTACGACTTCGAATTACTTAGAAAGTAAAGGTTTTCATTTTGAACTAATATTCTATTGCGAGGGCGTAATAATGCGAATGTTAGTCATGACGAACTTTTAAGTATACATAGTTATTTCCCTTAAGTTATAATACTTTTTTAGATTTGCGCGAATATATGACATCTATATTATACATGTACAAATAATAAAATTCTAACTGATTCGAATCTGTAATTAAATATTTTTTGAAAATCTTATTGAAATAGTCATTATGACGACACGTTTGGCTCAGTTTGTAGTGACCCTACTTGCTGCGCCAGCGGTCGCGAGTTCGAGTCCCGCTGGGGGCATTCATTTGTGTGATGAGCACAAATATTTGTACTTCAGTCATGGGTGTTTATATTTATAATATGTATGTATTTAAAAGTTATATATGTATAATGTATCAACTATCTGGTATCCATAACACAAGCCTCGTAACTTACCATGGAACTAGATATTGCTGTGTTAATGTCCCAACATATTTATATTTATTATTATCGCTACATAGGTAGAATGTATAGTTTTTAAAATTTTTGTCTGTCTGTCTGTCTGGGAATTCATCACGAAAATTTATTTAGAGTTTAAGTTCCCGACATTTCGAATGCTTTATAAATTTTTATTTTATCAAATTATTTTGAACTTTTATTATAATTTATTAATAACATAATACATAAAATAATTACGCAATATGTATAGCGAAAACTTTATTAAAGTAACTAAAACCCCAGGTTAAAAATTAATTTAAAACTTTTTCAGGTTTGAGTACGGTTCAAATAAAATAGCAGATGGCTAAAATTGATTAGATGCACAAAATAAAATAGCACTTTCTAATTGATTTTTAACAGTTACGCAGAGTAGCGGTCACATCAGTGCTAGAATTACAAAATATTTTTGTAATAAAAAAATCTGACAAGTGCGAGTTTCGCTCGCACACTGAGGGTTCCAGATCATGAAGCATTAAAATATTATGTTTTAATGTACTAATTTGATACGTTAAAAGTAAAATAATAATTTATTTATCTTATTAACGGTATAAACAAGTTTGTATGTATTTGATATATTTCTATGGTTAACAAAGTTTCCTTAGCAATCGATCTCGTTAAAAGAAAATATTCCATATTTAAAATAATTATATATACTTTAAATATTCATACCTAAATTTTAAATATTAGCACAAGTTTATTATTATAACTGGTTACGTCTTAGGATAACAGCCGGTGGCATTTAAAACATGATGATGAAGGTACGATAATACGCCGTTGTGTAAACTGCGAGCCGTGCGAAACCGACTCCCGTTATAATTGAACAGTTTTGTTCTAAGAATATATTTTGACTACAATTTTTGTATAATGTTATTATTATGTAATTAAATTTTAAATATCAAAAAGAAAAGATTTTTTAGTTTTGTTTCTTCTTGTTCTAGTTGTTTCTTACATTACCCACGTATGAAAAGGTGAGAATTTTTGTCTACTCAATTATGAATAATAAAAAATGTATTTATCATAATAAAAAAAATAAACTTGAACTTAAATATGTGATATTTAGTTAAAATAAAAAAAATAGCTGTAAAATCATTGTTAGGTTTAGAGTTTAGTGCCAACTTATTACAAAATAATAATTTGTTATTTTTAAACGAAAAAATGTAAAGTAAAAGTAGTAGTAAAAGTCCGCTCTTAGGGATGGATTATTCAGATTCCTATTAAAGCACTGTGGAAGTAAAACCAAATCATTAAAAAATATGAATATCGATTTACAATTGGCGAAATCGTATAACACATCCAAAAAAATACAAAATTTAGTACCAATTCTTGAAGTCGGTTATTGGTATAAGTAATGTTATATTAGAACAACCGTTTGAAATCCCCAATATGATTGAAAACCTAATGTAAATTATTTAATTGATACCCTTTTACTTTAAAATCTATATATAAAATTGCTTTAGGGATAGTGTGGAAAAACCTTTATGCTGTTATTTAAACTTATTACTAGTTTCTCGATAAATATTGTTCACGACAACAATTCGATAAAACTTAACCACGTACAAGTTATATATAACGTTAAGATAATGTGCAATTTTAATTCAATATATTATTGTACAGCGATTATATGAACGGAAAGATGACATCAGAGATCAAGAATAGATTTCCTATTTGGGAAAATTGAATGGTGCAAAAAGCCTTGAAAGTATTTTTTATAAGTAAGTATAGTGCATTGACAGGTGTTAAAACTTTTTAATTTGTGCGGATTTTTCATGTTTTAGCGCCTTCGTTTTGCTTAGTATAGGTCGCAATTTCATTCTACATGTACGAGTATATTTACATCATGTACATATACGTATTATGTTATTATGTACATAGAAGGGCTGTCCCCAGAATACTTTCGACATGAATACAAATTGTTACTAAATGAAGTAAACAGTGAATAGATAAATATAGATAGCGTATTTCCATATAGTTTTTGAATAGAAAATTTGAGCTATAAGCGCATAAACACACAGACATATAAATAAACAGTCTTTTGTAATACGCCGTTTTCCAGTTTAAAGTCGGGGTGGGTAAGAAAAGCTCATACTGATTGATATAAGAAAAAATATTACAACGAAAACTTATAAATATCATTAGGTATTTTAGTAAGAAGAAACATTCCTTAATGAAAATGTACAGCAAATACTTTTTTTAATCATAATGATTAAAAAAAGTATATTTTAACTGGAAGATATTTTCAAAAATACGGTTATAAATTTTAAAACAAAGTATAAGCATAATGCATTGGCAAAGTAGGCAACATATATTTTAGGGGTATAAATATAAATATGTTGGGACATTAACACACAGCACCATCTAGTACCATGGTACTACGGTAAGCTACGAAGCCTGTGCTATGGATACCAGATAATTGATACACTACACATATATAACTTAAAAACATATACATATATTATAAATATAAACACCCATGACTAGAGAACAAACATTCGTGCTCATCACAAAAATCTATGCGCCTAGCGGGATTGGAACTTGCGACCGCTGGCACAGCAGGGTTGTACCATATATTTTCCTTACATTAATATAAAAGTAAGTTGAAAAGTTTGTTAGTAACTAACCAACTTAAAATATTTTTTCTTGCACCTCGCAAAAGTCATCACCACGACATAAAAATAATATAAACATTTTATTTACTGTGTGATTCACTGTCTATACTTTTTGCTCGCAGTGCGTTTTCATTTGTATTCAGCCATTTGATTAAATTATGGTCTAAAAATGTCTATGACATAGTTTTCTTACTACAACTTTCAATTTAGTTCCGACGTGTGTCAATAGATGGCGTTGCCAAGAAGTCAAATTATATTGTTTATTTGTCACTTTTTAAGGTGTAATGGGATATCTGACACTGTTCGCAAATTTGATTTCTGTTTAGGTAAATGTTTTTAGTTATATTGTAATTTATTCTAGGTAAGTTAAAACGAAACACAGAGTACCATGTTTTATGGATATAGCTTTAAATATTCGGGAATAGCATATTATAATATATACATATCTTCGCACTCTCTATACATATCGCGGAAAAAAGTGATCTATAATTTCAGGAATATTTATTTACTATTATACTGCCATATAGCCATCTGCGAAGGAGATGCGCGAACATAACTGCATTCTCTACTCCTGACATTCTCATCGTTTAGTGGGTCGACTACTGGATACAACCGACTGAGAATTTTTCGACAGAAATACTCAATAACCGAACTTGGCCCGACCCGCGACTCGGACCCAGGACCTTCGGATGCTGTCGTACATGTTAACCGCTGGACCACCGAGACAGTATTGCACAGAGTGTTAGGTACATACCTGGTGCGCGGCGGGCGCGTCCGCGGGGCGCAGCGCGTGCACGGCGCCCTCGTGCTGCTCGGCGAAGGCGCGCACGCAGGCCGCCGCCTCGCGGTACCTCTTCCATAGATCTACTGCTTTGTGGTACCTGTTGAAAAGTACGTGAATGTATGTGGAATTGGAAACTTTGTAGACTTATTTATGTATTCTGTGTATTAGAGTTTAATTTTATGGCAGGCTTTAGGAAATTGTAAAACTAAACTGTAAATTGCGAACAAATATTTATTAATATTTGTAAGTATAGGATTGTGTGAGGTACTGTATGTCTGAGAGTAATTAATCTGGGGTGACGGACGCAGGTAAAAACGAGATGTCCAGTTGTACGATGTTAAGAGATTAGTCCTAAATCTTTATATATATAATTCTTCTGTGAGTGTGTATGTCACTGAACTTCTCTCAAACGACTGGACCAATTTTGATGAAATTTTCTGTGTGTGTTCAAGGGGATCTGGGAATGGTTTAGATTCACAATTTGAATAATAATTTTCATCAAAAAAATTATTAAAAAAAGTTTGAAATTTTCAAATTAAAGACGTGTAGACAGGACAACGTCTGTCGGGTCCGCTAGTATATAACTAAAACTAAATATAAAACTAAACTAAAAAGTTTTTTTCTCATGATAGGTATTGATTTTTCTTTCTGTTGCTTTAAGTAACTTATTATAATAGTGTTTTTGTTTTTTTTTTAATAATTTATAGTGCTATTAATTTTTAAATGCTCCGTGTAACTGTTTGTGCATGTCGTGGTTACCTATAAGTATGATAAAAGTTGAACTAATAAAACCTCCTTTGTACAATTGTGACTACCAGCACTTATTGAAAATATATTGATAAGAATCGATTCACAATGGCGAAGACATCGATTTTTTTAAGTCGTTTAAGAAGTAAAAACACTTACTTATCACACAGCTGTGTTAAATTAGCACAAGTATGTTCATATGCGGCGGCCGCGTCGTCCAACTCCTTGCGTAGTTGCGCTGCGATGGTCGGCTCAGTGGTGGCCTGCAGCGGCTCGGCGGCCTCGCGCAGGGAGCCCACCAGCTCGCCGCTACGGCGCGAGAGGGACTCGCTAAGCGTCTGTTTTATATAAACGTAATTATTATCAACATAGGTATAGTTTTAGATTATCAAATCAAATCTTAATCAAGTGTAGTCGTTAATGTCTTATGGCCGTTCTCAATCAGAGTCGATAATTTTTGAAACCAAAAAAATTATAGTAGGATGTCTCGATTTCCGGCAAAACTACAAGTCCTATGGGAAAAAGTTAAATAGCAAAGTTCTAGGTAATTAGAAAGATCAACAACTTTTGTATTATTAGAAATCGAGATAAACAGATTTTTAACCCTTAAAAACTCACGCCCTCAGATCGCCCGTAAATTATTTTTTCTTTAATTTTTTTATATTCTCTTCCTTTTCCAATGGGTTTCATCCTACTATTTTTTTTTTTCAATTTTTACCATTTTCAAAGGCTTCAGCACTGGTCTAATAAGCAAGTTTTAAGCAATTAAATATGTGAAAGAATATAATTAGTTATCTTACTCAAGGATATTTGTACTTTATAAATAATATCAACTCAAACAGTTTTAAAATGTCCGATTAAAGAATTTTTATTAATAATTATGATTATAGATTAGGAAGAGAGATCGTAGATTTTTAACCCAATAGTTCTTTCTAATTTTGAATGTTTTTTTTTTTTTAATTTAAAAAGGAGATATGACAAAAAATCTATACATATCATAAAATTGTAACTAAGCCGAATCTGTACATTAAATATTTTTTGAAAAATCTTATTGAAATAGACATTATTATCAATACAGAGGCCGAATCTATAGTTTTTAGAAAAAAAATTGTCTGTCTGTTACCGCATCACAGAAAAACCACTAGAGGAATTTTGATGAAATTTGGTATGATTTTTTTTTTCATGATAGCTAGTTATCCGGGTTATCATATAGAATACTTTTTACCGCACGAAAATGTCTTATTTCTGAGAAAAAATACAAAAACTGCAATGTAAGAGTATACTGATATGTAAAACCTAAGAATTTGGTTTTTGGTCATCTGAACGCGGGCGGAGCCGTGGGCAATGCTAGTATTAATATAAAACCCAAAAGAATACTTACTTCTAGTTTCTCTGTGGCTTTCAACAGACGGTCGTAGTCAACCTGTCCCTGCACTGTGAGGAGCTCGACCATATAGTCGGCCTCCCGCACTGCGCCCTGCACCATCTCGAGTTGTCTCTCGAAACGTCGCCATAATTGCAGTTTACTTCTCAAACGAACGCTTAGATCGTTACATGCGGCTTCAATTTCTGAATGAGTGTCCTAGAAATGAAATTTTTTTTGGGTTCGTTATGGAATCAATAATAAATTATTCAGAAGAGAAAGTTCCTTTTTTTACATCGTTGTTTGGCATAAAAATACAATTTATTTATTAAAAACATAATCAGAAGATAATATTAAAAAAATTTTAGCTCACCTGTAAAGCAGATATGTCTCTTTCTACGCCGATCGGCGACACACAGACGCGTAGAGCAGTAGGCAGCGTGTGTAAAGCCTGCCTCAAAGCGAGTATATCCCGCCATTGGGCAGATAGATCTTCAATCAATTTTTGACATGTTTGTGATGCTCCTTCTACCACGTCACTGCCAAGACGTTCTGCCGCCTCACATTCTTCTAAAGTCAGTTTCGCTCGTCTTTGGTTCTTCTGACAACGCGCTATTCCAGCTTGGACTTGAACTATTTTTTCTTTCAAAAGCAAACTCCTTTCTAGTTCTTCAGCGATTTGGTCATCTAGTATTCCTGATTGTGTTAAGAGAACGCCTAATCTTTCAGATTCGGCTGTCGGTAGCAGACTTAGCCTACCTAGCTCGTTCTGTATTCTGTCAATACGACCGGTCATTACTTGTAATCTCTCTATGTATAGATTTAGTTCGTCTTCACTCTTGATTACGCCTTTCAAGCTGTCCAGCATAGACCGTAGCTCTCTCATTTCATCTTCGAGGATGTTTAGTTTTTCGTTGGAAGGCACGTCACGATCAGAAATGTTTTTGATGGCAGATGTGTGAATATTGCTGATTCTAGACGACAAATCACGCCATTTGTCTTCGACTTTCGAGAAATATTGGCGTTGAACCATTTCATCAGATATAGGCAGAATTTCGAGCGCTTTATCAAATTGAACTCCTGATTCATTCTTTAGGTTATTGTGAACTTCATGCTGAGCCTTTAATTCCCAGAAACGACGAAGGTTACTAGTTGTTGTTATGTTGTCTGAAGTAATGTGCTCTAATTCCTTGTTAGCAAGTTTCATCCAGCCTTCAATTCTGTCAATTAAATGATCGTACGTTAGCCAATTTTCCCTAAAGGCAGTTAAACGTGTCAGTCGCGAGTCCACTTCTTCTTGAAGTTTTAGTAAAATATCTAGTGCAATGGAACATTCAGATTCTAATCCCGAACAAACTATTAAGCCTTGAAGTCCTTCTGAAATAGATATCAAGCGTAACATTTTAGCGTGGTGTTGAGAAGCATCGAGACTAATCGATTGGTATAAATTAATATATTGTTCGTTATCGATAGATGTAACATTTGAGAGGTCAGGGATTCTTTGTTCAGCCACTCTAAGCCATTGCTTTTCTTCTTTCATATTTTGTTCAAGTACACTCCACCTTGATGCTGCTAACGTCATTTGCTGAGCTCGACCAGCAGCTCTGTCAATTATAATAGTTGCTCTGTCATGCAGAGAATGATGAAGTGATGAGTATTTTGTCCTAGTCTCATTGTCCAAATTGTCTTCTAACGACTCAAGAATAGCTCTGCAATGACTAAGGTTAACAAAGAACTTTCTATGTTTTTGAATTTCCTCGTGAAGATGATCTAAGTTCGATACAATTATTTTACCGTCGAGTAATGCTTCAGCTACATCCGTGATTTGTCCAAAGTCCTGTAAGGTTTGCTCGTACTCTTCAGCTAATGATGATAGTTGTAGTAGACGATCTCTCTCTGTGTTGATTGTATTTTCTATATGTTTGATGTCATCATTGCATTCATATAATTTGGTTGGACATTCCTTCTTCGGATTTACTTCGATAAAGTTGCGATATATTTGGAATAGTTTTTTAGCGGACTCAACGTTATTAACGTTATCGAGTTCAAATTTATCAAGACTGTCAAGTTTTCGTTGAGTAGGTATTTCGGATAATATTAAATCATCTAACCTAGATTTGTGTGCGTCTACAGATTGGCTTAATATTTTGACATCTGACAAGAATTTCTCCCATTCCTTTTCACTTTCTTTTAATAACACTGATGTTTGATTATTAAGATTGCCTACTGCAATTACTTGACGTGTCAGTGTTTCTATTAAAGTGATTATTTCTTCATTAATTTCGGTGACATAAACAATCTCTTTCAAATTTTGGATATACTGCTCTAACTCTCTTACACGTTCTTTTTCATCAGGAAGCTGTTCCCCTATAACAGTTTGTCTTTGAATTTTAAACTGAATTTCTTCTAACCAAATTGATATGGTTTCAATCACAATGATAACGCTTTTTTCCATTTTAACTGTATCATTGTTTTTCACAGCATTTTTAAATTCTTCAAGTTCTTTATTTACAACCAAATTGTAGGATTTTTCTACGTTCGGTTCAATAAGTGCTACAGTTAATGCATCTTCTGATATCCTTTGAAGGCTTTGTGTTCTCTTCTCCATTGCATTCATTAGTCTTGTCTTTTCATCTTTAGGTACAAATACTGTTTTGCATGGAGAGGGTGATTTCGATTTAGATCTCTGAACAACATCAGAATAAGTGGGTTTGGTCCCTGCAATGTGCCTTTCTTGCGTATGTGGAATTGGGAAGACCGGACTAGCTAGTTGTGAAATGCCCTCGTCTATTGAAGATGTGTCCTTACTAGACAAATCCTCGCTTGTTGGTGTAACAGAAAGGGAAAGTTCAGCATTAATAGGATCTGATAAACTACCAGGTGATTGCAATGGGGATTCAGTTTTTCTCTTAGTTTTCCTTTTCCTTGGCTTATGAGTATCACTCGAAATAGGTCCTGAAAATTGTTCAGTCTGACGTTCGTTTTCAATGAAGTTATTAGTTGCCTGTGGAATAGAGATTTGAGCTCGTAAATGAACTTCGTATGGTTCATCGGTAGATGTTGATATCGAATCTTCTGAATAGCCTCTAGGAGTTGTCTGTTGAGTGCTGTCGATTGTTATTACACTAGGTTTAGCAACCTCTTCTACAGCAGATACAAACGGCATTTCATGGACTTCTCGAGGCGTAGTTTGCTGAGTGCTGTCCACAGTAACGATTTCTTTTGCAGTATACTCTATTGGTGGTTCAACTTGATTTTCAGTTCTGGGTGAAGTCTGCTGTATATTATCAATCATAATAACTTCTTTTTTCACTACATCAAATTCTGGTTTTACCTCTTCAAATTCTCTCCTCGGAGATGTCTGTTGAGTACTATCAACGGTTTCAATTTTACCTTTGAGGTCTAGTTCTGGTAAGCGAGGACTTGTTTCTTTACTTAATGCTTCTTCTTCAATCGATAAATCAGATTGAGTGTATGTTGTCACAAGAGGAACATCAGGAGTTTGAATGCTGATTTCTTGTACTTCTACAGTTTTAACGGGTGTAGTTGATGTCTCTTTATCGGTGACCTCTTGATCTATTGTTTGTATAATACTTTCAGTTGTCTCTACAGTAATTTCAGTACTTTTCTCTTCTTTTTGTACTTGTGGTAGTGGCGAAGTTTGTATATCACGACTATCTTTTTCCACAACTGGTTTATCTTCTTCTTGTATAATTGGCGAAGTTTGTGAGAATTTGTCATCAGGAGTTTCTATATCTCTTGAGACAACCTGCGTAGTAACCTCAGATGTTATAACTTGTTCTGGTGTTTCTGTCCTACTTGTCTGGATTTGTGAGTCTGATACTTCCACCTTTTCTAAAATAGTAATATCCTCACATGTTTGTGTATGAACTTCTTTATCATCTATAGGTGTTGTTTGTATTAATGCTTCGCTGACCGGCGTAGGAGAAGTTTGTAATTCAGAATCAATAGTCTCAGTTTTCGGTATTTCTATTTTATCTTCATTTTCAGATTCTTGTACTTCAGGAGAAGTTTGTACAGAATATTCTGTTGTAGCGATTTCTTCAACGATTGGTACTGGGTATGTGACTGTAGTCGAAATTTCTTTATTAATAATTTCCGGACTGCTACCTATACATTCTTCAACTATTTTAACCGTATTTATATCTGATGTTTCACTAAACGTATGGTAAGATTCATCTTGAGGTGAAGTTGTTATTATTTCACTTCCAAGTTTAGGACTTTCAGGTTTTATCACTTCTGTTTCTGTTTTTTCTTCAGGAGATTTATCACTAGCTGGTGTCTTTTTCTTACCCTTCTTGGTCTTAATTTTTCTTTGCTGAATTGGTTCATTCATTTCCACAGGTGTTGATACAACTGTTTCCTCATCAGTTGTAGTTTGCTTTGGATAAACAGTTTCTTCACTGATAGCGTGAGATTTTCGTTTTTTATGTTTTTTCTTCTTTTCTGGGACTATTTCTTTACCTAAGGAAGTATCCTCTGGTTCATATCCCTTCTCTTCTGTGTGTTCTAATTCTGTGGATAATGATAGAGGCACATCCTTTTCTTCACTAATATTTATTGCTACTTCCAGCAAATCACCAGTAGGTTTTGGAGATTCTATAGATGTTGGTGATTGTAACTCAACATAATGCCTTAAGGATGAACTCTCAGTACCCGCTATACTTTTGTCGGTATCAATATAAGATTCTGTATCTGCGGATATATGGCTCTGTTGTGGTTCCACTTCACTTTCCTCAAAAGGTATATCAAGTTTATCTTTAACTAATTCTTTTGAAGTCGTCTGAAGGTTTGTGTCATCTTTTATATTGTCATCACTTTTTTCTACTTTCAAATGTTCTTCGACAATGTTAATCTCAGCTGGCAATTGACCCCTTATTTCTTTCTTTATAATTAAAGATTCACCAGTTTCAAACTCTTGTACTTTTATATCCATGCCAAACTTTGGATCAAATTTCATACTCTTATCTCTTTTTTCAAGACCAACTGAAATGTCAATAGTTTGCGTTGGTTCCTTCAAGCCAATATCTTTTAGTATTTCGGATTTCTCATTTGGCGGTATTGAATGTGAAGTATTATCAGTAGTTTCTTTTTCATCTGTTACCGGTTTTTCTTGTTTAGCATCAATTATATGTCGTGAATGGCTATCCAACCTTTCGGCTTCAATAAAAGCTGTAATATCGTATGATTTCTCTTTTGTAGGAGCTTCTATAATACCAAATTGATACAAATCCTCGATATTTTGATTATTTTGTGAAGAAATTAAATTGCTTGATGATATACATTTTTCAGTTACTTCAGGCGATTCTAGTTCGGCAGGCTTAAATTGCTGAATATATGAAACTTCTGGTTCTTTTTGTTTCATGTGTATATCTGTTTCGCTCATTATTGTTCCAATTTCTAATGGTTCAACTTTTACAGAAGACTGCGTCGGAAGAATGTCTTCAATTTTACAACTTTCTTTCTTATAGGATGGAATTTGTTCTTGTGTTAGATGAATAACATTTTTAAATGTTTTTGCGGGCACAGACTCCTCTTCGAATTCCAAACCTTCTTTTGTCATAATCACTGGTTGTTTTATAACAATATCAATGGAGCTTGTATGACTATCTGGTGCTTTATAAATATGCTCAGTAGTTTTTATTACTTGAGTGATACTGTGTTTGGATTTCTCAGTATCCAACTCCGTCGGTGCAAAGGTTTCAGTGATTTTTTCAGTAGGAGATTTTCTTTCTGATAGCGGTTCAGGTAATCTTTTATCGTCGATTTTTGAAATTGATTCGTGCGATAAAAATTCTTCAGTTATGTTTTTAAGTGTCTGTGGAATGTGTTCAACCTTTAGTTGATTGCTTTCTGTTTTGATTAAATCAATTTGTTTCGGAACTATTTCTTCTACTTTAGAAGAACCGGTCTCATCAATCATTTCTTTTTCTATTAATTGTTTTGTTAAATCTAGAGGTTTTTTGGATGATGAAGTTTCGTCAGACTCTTTTAATATTGTAGAACTAGGTTCGTTTTGCATGTAAATGGTATTATCAGGTAAATGTGAATCGACAGTATCAGCTGTTTTAGGAAGACTTTCTTTGGAGAGTTCTGCGACATATTCTGTTTCCTCAACATTTTGTACTTTGTGGATATGTTCTAATTGGTCTTTATATGAATCCTGAGGAACTGAGCTTAACTTGGGTTCTGTTTCAATTATTTGAATGATAGCCGGTATTTCTTTCACTTCTTCAGTTCCATCTAATATATTTTCTTCATTTGATTTGATTTGTTTTCCATCAACACAAATACTTTGTTTGTCAGTAGAAGAAGAACATGTATCTCCTTTTTTAATTATTATTGTATCTATAGAAGGTACCACAGTAGATTTTTCATCTCCAGAAAATTGTGGATCTTTGGTTGCTTCAAGAGATTCTTCAAGAGGCTGAGATGGCAGACTAATTTCTTTTGAAACTAAATATTGCGACTCGGTAATAATTAGATTTTTTGTAATATCAATTAAACTTTTATTCTGCCCCTCAAGTTTTTCTGAAATATTTTCACAGTCTTTGTCAGGTATCTGGGAAAGGTTTACGTCTACTTCAGATTTTTTATATATAGTTATATCTGCCGTATCTTTAGGTATTTTATCTAAGTCGCTGCTTACTAAAGCAACGTTATTTTTAAGCAATTTATCTTCTTTTTTATCTTTGATATTTTCTTTAATGTGATCTGGTTCTATTAAGTTTTGTTCTGTGAGATCAATAGGTTTGTGAACAATATCATAAGATAACGTTTCTTTTAATTCTTGTTCATGTGGTTTAGATGGTGTTTTTACTTCCTCGTCGAATTCTTTACCTGATTCTTCTTTTCTTAGTACAATTTTCTTCGAATCTGCAGATTCTGTTTCTTGAACTGGTATCAGTGATACAGAGGTATGACCCATTTCACTATCAATAAGTTCTTTAGTGAGATCTAATAAGGATCTATCGGCTGGTTTTCGTATTTGATGGGGTTCTAGCTTACCCACATGGACATCAATAGTACTTCTTACAGTTGAATCAGCAAGATATTGATCATCTGGATCTTCTACTACTTTTTCCATAACGTGTTCTTTGCCATCAATATTTTGAACCTGTTTTATTATTTTGATACGCTTAGTTTTAGTGCCTTCTTCTTGAAGAATATGAGATATTTTAGGTTCATTTTCCACAATTTCAATATCATCAGGTTCCTCGACGATTTCTTTAGTTATATTATGTTCTTTACCATCTATAATTTTAACATGTTTTATTATGTGTTTATCTGTTTTTGTAATTTTCTTTACAATAGTCTCATCTTCTGGACTCATCAGTTCATCATCTTTTGATTTTTCTGGTTCTTTTTTCAATATTTTTATATCAGATGTATCAGAAGGTTTAAATGTATAATTTTCATCACCTAATTTGTCATTAGTTTCAATAATTTCATGTTTAGGTGAGGCTTTTTCATCTTTTAATATAATATCATCGGATGGTTTCTTTTGTGCAATTTGTAAAGGTAAAGAATGATCAGTTTCACTTTGTATAAGAAGATGAGAAATATCACTAGGCGTCAGATCTTTCGGTTTTTTCATTTCAACTATATTTAAATAATCATTTGTAGCAATGACTTGCCTGTTAACTGATCCTTCTAATAATGTTGTTTTTGTTTCAGATTTTAAGGTCTCTATTTCTTCCGGTTGAACATCTTTTTGCTTGGATAATTCCGAGATCGAATCCGGGGGAATAGGAACTTCTATTTTTACTAAAGATATTTTTTGAGGTAAAACATCTTCATCCTGTTTCAAGCTTTTATCTTCAGCAATAACTATAATGCTTTCTTTTTCAGGCTTTGTTTTGTTCAAGTCATCAATTTGAACGTCTATATTAGCGGCTACAGTTGAATGAGCAATACATTCATCTTCAGGTTCTTCTATCACTTGTTCAGTGACCTGTTCTTTACCATTAACTATACGAACTTGTCTTATAATTTTAATACGTTTTGTTTGTGCCCCTTGTTCGTGAATAATTTGGGATACTTTTGGTTCACTCTCATTTATTTCAACATCATCAGGTTCTTCAATCACTTCTTCAGTCACATGCTCTTTTCCATCAATAATTTGAATGTGTTTTATTACACGTTTTCTTGATCTTTTCGTAATAGTACGGACGTGTATTTGATCACTAAATTCGGTTTCACCTTGTTGTTCTTGAGTTATTGTATTTATTGGTTCACCTTCTACAATTTCCACATCTTCAGGTTCTTCGATGACTTCTTCCGTCACATATTCCTTGCCATCAATAACCTGTATATGTTTTATAATGCGTTTTCTTGTTCTGGTTATAATAGACCGTATTTGTGATTGCTGGTAATTTTTAAGTAGTTTTTCAGAATCTTCTGGCTTTTCAGAAGTTTCTTCTACAATTACAGGTGATGAATCTACTGGTGTAACAACTGTTTGCTTAGTAGTTATACTTATAACTTTTTCTGGAGTTGGTTCATGCAAAGCTGATTTATCCATTTCCTTTTCAATAAGATTTTGAGTGATATCGATAATGGATCTATCCTTTGGTTTTTCAACAATTTCGGCAAATGCTAATTTGATAGGTCTTTCTTCTTCATCAAGCTCTGTGATATCAGGTTTTCCCCCTTGTAAGACATTCATATCGTCCTCAGGATCCTCTATTATTTGTTCTGTCACATGTTCTTTTCCATCAATTATATTAACTTGACGAATTATTTTAATACGTTTTGTTTGTTCTCCTTGCTCTTGAACAAAGTGTGACACATTAGGATCTTCTCCAAACATTTCCACATCATCTGGTTCTTCTATAACTTCTTCAGTAACGTGTTCTTTGCCATCTATTATTTGTATGTGTTTAATAATTCGTTTTCTTTTTGTAGTTATCTTCCTTGTCACTTGCTGAACAACAGTGGATATATTAGATGAGATTGTGTCAAATGTTGAAATACCGCTAGAAATTAAAGTAATATGTTCACCCTTGAAATCCTCATCACTAGTATGAGGCTGGCCTTTTGTTTGCATGGTTTGTGTGTATGTCATTTCTGTAGGAGTGTTTGACTCGATTAAATTACTTATCTCACTTTCTCTTGTAATAAATTCCTCTGAAACATTCTTTAATTCTTTTTCTAACGGAGAAGATTCTTGTGGTTGTTTCTGATCTTGTGTTGTTTTTGCCTCAGATCCTTCTTTATATGAAAAGTCTTCTAAGTTTTCATATTTATCCTCTTTTTCTATATCTTTACTTTCCTCTTGTGGTTTGTCGCCTTTACCGGTGTCTGGAGGTACTTCAGGTTTATCACCTACGTCACTGGCAACGACTCCACCTTCCTTCACACTTATCGACACTCTTGGTATTTGTTCTTCAAAGACCTCGACATCTGGCTCCTCAACAACTTCTTCAGTCACATGCTCCTTACCATCGATTACGACAACTCGACGGATAATGCGACGTTTAGTTTTTACGATACGTTTTGTCACTTGCTGTACAATGGCTGTTACGCTAGAGGATGATGTTTGTATCTGTGGTTGAATTTCTCCTTCAGCAATTTGTAGAATTTCTTCAGGTTTCATTCCTTTTTCCATTGTAATAACCATATCTGGTCGCGATGTGAATTCGTGTATTGTTACTTCTTTTTCAGGTAGTGCAGCCAAAGCTTGTCCGTCGTAACTCTGATATTGAACGTGCCTTACACCGCCATCATCTAACATCGTGGAAGTAGAACCTTCATCACGCTTCAATATTAGTTGTGACATCATTTGATCTTGAGGAACGTCTTCAGAGAAAATCATTTGTGTCTCAGGTTGACCGGTTAGTACTTGTTGTCTTGTAACTAGCGTTTTCCTAATTTTCCTAACGATGATCCTCTTTGTACCGTCGGCATCAACTACTACCTCAGTCGTTGTCTCATCAGGCTCTACCATGACCGTTTCAAACGATTGCGGCAAACTATGTGTGATAGTTAATTTAGAATCTTTATGGATGTTATCGTCCTTGTATTGGGCGTCAATAAACAAAGATTGATCTTCGGTCTTTTGATCTCGTGTAACAGGTCGACTGGCGATTTCAATAGTTTCGTGACCATCGGAAACGATCTGTTTTACTTGAATATTTTCCAATATTTCTTTTTCAGATTTTGGTTCACTTGTCTGCATTTCTACATCCTTTGGCAATGCACAAGTTATTGAAATATCATGAGTTATTTTCTCTTCAGGCTGGCAGATTACAGATTTATCAACAAGTTCTGGAGCATCAGACATGAGGCTTTTACCGGTCTGAGTTTCAATAGTTACACTTGGTTTTGCGTATTCTTTGTCTTGGATCTTTATTTCTAGAATTTTCGTTTTAACATCAGACTCAGTTTTCTCTTCTAGTTTAGAAACTGTTTCAATTTTTTCCATCGCAGGTTCTACAATAATTTTATTTTGTTCTTGTTGTTCATATTCAGGTACTCGTGGTGAAACAACTTCTTCAGGCATTGAAGTAGAGTCGATTGTTCGATCAGTTTGAGATATATCATCCTCTACAACTTCAGGAGCTGTTCTAATGTGTATTAGTAACTGCCTTAGCCTTTCAATCTCAATAATGACTAGATTTCTTGTTTCTTCTAAAGTTCTTCTTGTAACATTCAATTTTTCTCTTAATTGACTAGAATCATCACGAATTATCACAATTATAGACTGTATTAAAATTTCATATTCCTCATATTCTCGAATATATCTTTCATAAATTTCGATATACTTGATGATGTCGTCATCTGTGAGCACGTCTGTATGTTTGGTCGACTGTTTTAGTTCTTTATTGATGTCTTCCAGCCAGTGATCAAGTTTGGCAATCTTTTCTTTTTGCTCTTCAACTTCCTTATTTTGACGTGCTAGTTCTATTTTTGCGTCCTGAAAAACAAATTAAATGTAAGGATGATTTTTTAAGTAACAAAATTTTTATATATATACTAATACTAGCGACTCACCCGCTTCGTTCGGGTTCGTCCCTACGTACGTTTTAAATTAAAATGGATATAGTATGTTATCCTTAAGAGATAGACATATGCTATTGCTGATTTTTCTGTAGATCTATATAAGATACACAATTCCATTATACATTATTTTGTTATATCTCAAAGGGTTTAGGCAGCGTTTTCGTTGAAAGCTCCCAGACGGCGTATTTTTTTCCGACACCTCCAACAAATATCCGTTTAAATTTAGTCAATGTATACAAAACTTAATAAAAAGCGGTGCACTATTTTTGGAGTTTGTCGTGAACAGACAGACGGACAGACGCGCCGGAGGATTTTGTTTTATAATACGTAGTGATATGTATAAATATGATTTCACTGTTAAAATTTGTTATATTTTTATTTATATAAAGGCAAGTTACCTTACTTACCTGGATGGTGGTAAGACCTTGACGCGCCTGAATAAGTAATTTTGAGATTCTTGCTTTAATCATGACAAGTTCTTTTAACAGGATCTGCACCTCTGTTTCTTGTCGGAACTCCATGATCTTCTGCTCCAACAAAACAGCCGCTGCTTCACACTTGACTAGAATTGATATCCCCTCCTGAAATAACGAAAATTTTATCGATAAAGAATTTGTTTTATTGAAGCTTGAATATACATATTTATATTGTCACTGCCTATGGTAAGCATCACCTATCACAAGTGCTAACTGTATAGCATTGGTATCACCACTAGGTAATGAGAAGGGAACTATCCCTTGGCAGAGTCTGCACACTAACTTCACCAGCACAATGTGAAAGTAACTCTATATCCTTGGTTTTAAAAACAAATGACTCGTATTGAATTCAAACATATGGAACTGGACGACGCTGTAGTAAATGACTACGATAATATATTCCACGAACACGAAAGCTAATATGAAACGCTCTCAATCTCATTATTCACTAATGGAAAATTTAAAAAACATATAAAATATACGAGTATTTTGTACAATATTAACGAACGAAAGTATTAACGATATAAAACTAATTGTAAGCTTCTATAAAAAAGTGAGGCAATTTTCTACATTTGTTACGAATTGGTTTATAAATATTGTTTAAGGCTCTTATTTTATTGGTAATATTAATATTTAAGTTATATTCCCAATAATGCATAGCTATGTAGTCGTTAATATAAAAAAAAAGCTAAAGTATTTTTTAATGTTAAAAAAATCTCATATAAGAAAAATCTAAAATAGAAAGAATGTTACTTTTATCACAAATCAAATAAGATGCTACGAGTAATAGTTCGTAGTCTGGGAAAAATAAGTCATCATTACAATCTTATCTTAATATAAACGTAATGTTGCAATTTCTATTCTTAGACTAAGTATATTTATGGCGCTTAAATGAAGTTTTTTTCATCTATACACAAATAATAAAATTGTAACTGAGTCAAATCTGTACATTAAATATTTTTTGGAAAATCTTACTGAAATAGACATAATTATCGATACAGAGGCCGAATCTATAGTTTTTAGGAATTTTTATCTGTCTGTTTGTCTGTTTGTGTGTTGACCGCATCACAGAAAAACTACTGGACGGATTTTCATGAAATTTGGTATGATCATAGCTGATTATCTGGGTTAACATATAGGTACTTTTTATCGCGTAAAAATATCTCATTTCTGAGAAAAAATACAAAAACTATAATGTAAGAGTATACATACTAATATGTAAAACCTAAGAATTTGATTTTTGGTCATCTGAATGCGGGCCGAGCCGCGGGCAATGCTAGTAAGATATAATATTAATACGTAGATTTCTTATAAATTATGATTTACAAAATTAAAATTCCACATTAAGCAGTAGTATAGTTTATAATTTATAGATACACATATTTTACAACAATATGATCATTCTTCAGAACATATTTAGTCTAATGTAATCTAACTTTTATTTTGATCAAAAAGTAAAACCAATCATCTTTTTAACATCAAACATTTTGTGAATTAATATTGACTTGTGAAATATTTGTTGAATCAGTACTTGATTTTAAGTTAAGATTCAATACAAAGTGTTATGTTTGCTTAGACAATCAAACAGCCAATGCTAAGTTTATCGGTGATGATAGAATATTTTTATTAGCCATTCAATTAAATCACGTATTAATACTAATTGTAGCCATTTCCTTGAAGACATTGTTAGGCTGTCATAGTCTTTGCTTTTATTGGTTATGACATCACCCTGAATGCATGTTTAGTCACGTTCAATAATATAATCTTTTCGTTTTATAACTCAATTGATCTTTATTAGAATAGTTTTTCGTTAAGTTGCTTCTCAGTGCACATGAAACGTAGTTAAGAATTGGGTATTTTATTTGATATTTTAATCCCTTCACGACCGCGGACACGCCGGCGTGTCAGATAACAATAGATTTCTTAGAAATTTCATTAATTTCTTAGAACTATACCTGGAGGTGTTAAGACGATGTTATTAATATTTACAATTATTTCAATAACTCTAATGATCTGATATGAATTTAAGGATAATGTTAAATCTTTACATAGTATAAAATGAAGTCGCTTCCGCTATTTATTCGCTTATATCTTTTAAACTACTCTACGGATTTTAATGCAGTTTTCAGCAATAGATAGAGTGATTCAAGATAAAGGTTTATATGTATAATACATGTATATTATGGTACAGAAAAGCCGAGAAATTCAAAGATGTGTTTTTTTTATTTCATACTAACCGTTAAAACGTACTAAGGAAGAACCCGAGCGAAACGAGGGTGAGTCGCTAGTACTGAATAATTTATAGATTATACAAAATGGTTCCACATTTGCCACATATATAATTAATTATATTTAAGGGCAATTCTGCAAAATTAATAAATTATGTTACTTATAAGATTATTTCATTCAAAATTTAATTCCTTACCAATATATTAAAAAATAAACAAATAATTTCTTATTAAATGATAACCAATTTAAAGATAATCCATAAAATAAATAATTATAAAAGAAGTGCGCTTGATATAAAAAAAACACTACTAAATAAACAAAACATATTTATAGTACTATTTAAGTATTAAAAGTTCTGTTGGAATACGCAAAAATCAATATACCTATAACGTATTTAATGACTATTTTATGTACTCTTTCACAAGCTGCAGATACTATAATTTTACTTTTACGAGTTGACTATAATTTATTGATCCTGTATTAAAAATCAATGTTCTAATAAAATTGAAATTGTCCATTAATCCTTGTCTAATTTAAATTTCCGTGCAGCTTTTGCATTTATCAAATCTCAAAAATACAAAAAACACTTACTCAAGTTATATTTTTTTTGATGATCACTCAATATTTTTTACTAATAGGATTCACTATCACTGACTTTTCTATATCACTCACAATTCGTAATCGATTCGGAAAAAAAGTTAATTTTTATTTCGATTTAAAACTTTTCGATATTTCGTTTCGATTCGGGAGCTAGTTGAAAGTGCCGCGAACTAGTGCCCTACTGAATAGTGCCAAACACAACATTCATATATTTACCGCTGTCGTAACCGTGTGTATGAACGATGACATCAGATCATGAGTAAAATGCATTTGAAGGTGACGATGTCAACAATGGTGTTTTTGTTTAATTATTCCTGCCTAGTTTATTATTATTAATTAAATAGGTAAATATTATATGCACGAAATTTAATCCAGATCTAGTGATTTTTAAAAAAAAAATTAATTACCTAGGTACTATTAAAAACCGAAATCCATCTTTATTGTACAAAAACACATATTTAAAAATATGTACTAAATCAATTTAGACAAAGCTTAAATTGATGATTAAAAATGATAACTTTTGGATAATTATATTCTACAAACACTTTATTCCTACAAGATGAAAAGAAACTAGTTGAGATAAAGAGAGAGAATTTTAAATAAATATATCTTTAAAAAAAATGTTTGGAAATAAAATCTACAAATATTGTAAGGTAAGTACCTAATTCGGTGCTATTCCTGAATTTTTGAAATCATTTTGTAAAATTTTCGATAGGCACTGTCTGAAACAAGTAGTCTCTTCCGTGACCATGATTGCTGTAAAGCATTCGAAACATCGGCAACCAAAAATCAAAATAAATCCGCGAAAAATCCGAAAAGATAGTTTTATTTAAAATGTTAAATATTCGCGAAATCTAAGGAACTATTATGAGAGAGAATTTCTAAACTTCAGTAGTTTTCACAAATAGTATAAGCGCTTGCAACATAATACAACTAAGTATCATAAACGCATGAAAACCTACATAGTACAAGAATGTTTATATTATTACAGCATTTTAATATACAAATGAATAAATAAACTAAGAGCATTACACGTTTAATTCAGCACTAAAATCCAAATATAGTGCTCGGTCTTAGAAATTCCTTTAAGAAATACCATGAAATTGTTGCTTCAGAACTGTAAGGAACATTTGAAGTGGAGACCCAAATAGCAAGTCCGAGAATAGTGTACGCTTGATAGGTAGCGAGCGTTTCTGAAAGCTTGTCCTATATTAAAATAAACTATTGCGGCTCAGTCGAAAACAATAATATAGAGTTTTTATATTAATTAACAAGTAACATTTGAAAATTAACAATTCATAACACCAGTGCTTTATACAAATTTAAATCCTATAATGAATTTGTGCAAAGTTAAATGAAGGTCTGTTGCTACTGACATTAGCTCTGTAAGGGTCATATGTTATTTACAATGACTAAATGGCACTTACCCGCAGTCCCGCCTCCATTGCATCGAGACTTTCATCCGGCAGATCTGAGAGATTCGCTTGTACTATTTTGACTTCCTCAAGCAGCGTTTCAATATCGTTAGATAAGTCATCCTGAGAACACACCTCTATATTAGCCACACTTAATGCAATTTTGATTAGAGTAGGAATGCGAAAATAGATATAGATAATATTAAAAAGAAGTTTTAATAATTCACTTTATTAATCTATTTTCGCAATGAATTAGCAAGCATTGGGAAAAAGGGTGAAAATTCAAAAATAGCATTCCATATAAAAACCAATATTAGGACTTAAATATTTATCATTGCTAACATAGTATTAAGAATTAGGAAGGAGTATTAAGAAATTTAAAAACAATAAAATGCAGGAAAAAAACGATTGATATAGAAATAACTCCCAATATTGATTTACAACATCACAACATCGAAAACAACAATGAAAAAATTATTGATTGTCAATTTTTGGCATGACATGCTTAGTTCACAATTTCGTGGCATTCGTGGAAATCAGTCTGTTAAACGTTCACATTTAGGCTTAAAACTGAAAACATTCCGAAACAATGCATCTATAGGTATCACCAAATGGTTCTTTAACACTTACAAATACAAATGATAATATAAGAATTTCATCTCAATAAATATTCACAAGTAACAAACAATTTTGCTCTAATAGTATGTGCGTTCCGTACAAAGAAAGCTTTAAAAATAAAACCAAATAGAATATGTAAAGTCAACAAAAACATCATAAGCAACATCTCTAATATACAAAAGTATCAATCAAATGAGTACCTTTGCATGACTGCTCATTTTGGGTATTATATGTGATGCATTACATTCGTCGTCATCTACTGAACAAAATCTCGAACTAAGATTCCGAAATAGTAACTGGCTACCGTCCAATTCGAAACGTGAATTTATCTTTTGATTTATACATTTTAAGCCCAAAAGAAAGCATCTAAAATACAATGAAAGCTTCGTTACTATCGTTCGTCTTGTAGAAATCAATATTTTGACAACAGAAGAACTTCAGGGTAATGAATCTAAATCAAAACAGTTATGAAAATAAAACAATATTTGCACAACTTTTATCAAACATTTATTTCATTACATAAATTCAATAAATATATATCAATGACTATTGCGACTAGACATGACTAGATAGTTATACAAGAGATTTTAAATCCTATGAACTATATAAAAAATGCGCTTGCGTTAATCTAAAAGCAAATATTAGAATGGATGCCAAAACATTGTAACTACAAGACGACCGGCAGGTTTGGCGGACGACAATAAACGATACAAATTTCTGTAATAAGTGAAATTAAAAATTTTGTGAGAATATCATGCCAAACATAAATTAAAAAGTGTAATGTTTTACAGTACGACTGTAGCTCAGTCACCTTGGCTGCCTTCGGGATCCCTTCTTCTATAAGCTCCTCCTGTTTAGGTGAAGGGACGGTAGCGGGTTCGAGGGAAGGGGCTGTTAGTTTATCCTCTGGTATGTCGACTTCGAGGCGAGGCGTGTCCTCGCTTAACGGGCCGGTAAAAGAATCAGTAGGTGTCTCTAAGCTTAAGTAAGAACTATGATCTTTCCAACTACATATGCCGCCGGGAAGATCCATTGACATGTAGTTAGAGTCGAAAGGTGATCCATTCGACTGACGCGGATCTTTTTCTTCTGTATCAGATGAATGACCTGACCTACCATCGGGATCTCGGTCCTTATCGTTTTGATCTTTAAGTAATATTTCTGTTTGAACATTTGAACTCGTTTTTGTTTTGTTTGCTAACGACAAAAAGTATTGACATTCCGCATCATGATACAAATATTTTTCAGGCCAAAATGATTGATCGGACTTAAGATTCAATTTTAATTTCATGCATTCTCCGGAAGTTATAGGAATCGCATCAGATTCTACCATTACGTTAGAGTTTTGTACCGCTAAAAGTTTTTCTGCGTCATCAGTTACAAATTTGTTACACCAAAATGCGTCTGATTTTAGGGCTGATATGTTGTTAGTAATGTTACCAGGTTCGGTGTTAGTAGTTAAGGGTATAGAGATATTAATATATGTATTATCTTGTGCTTTATTTTTTGGTTTGTTTATGTTTTTATCTTCCTCTACGGTAAGCCCTACTTCATTTACGTTAATTTTAATGGACTCTTCAGATGGCACTTTCTCTTGTACGCCTTCGAACGTTTCTTGTGTTGCTTTTACTTCCGTTTCAGTATCTTCTAATACTGCATCAATCATGCTTACACTTACGTGTTGATCACCGTAAAGGTTTAATTCCTCATCGCTAGGTTTATTAGTACTTAGATCCTGCTGCATTGATACTTCTTCATATTCGGGTGAAGCAAGCAAAGGTGTTATGTTATCAAGCACTTCATCGTGTAATTCATCAATTGAGACGTTTGTTTCAGTAAGTTCGATGGGAATTTCATCACTCATAGTCGAATTATCGTTTTCAGGTAACAACATTTCTTCAATCTCTCTCTGGATGTCTGCAATTTTATTTTCAAGAGATAGTTCATCAGAAATTTTTTCCACGAAAATGGGTTTATATATGTTTTCCTTAACATCAATATTTATTTTGTTGATGTTATCATTGTCTTTTACATCATTAACATCTTCTACTTCTTTAGAATCTGCATCTTTTATTTCTTCAGAAATTGCGGCAGTTTCCAAAACATTTTCCTCAAGGATAATTTTGGTTTGTTTAGGATCATCTTCATTAACTTCTACTGTTAAAATATCTGTTAGGCTATTGATTTGTTCTAATCCACTAGGATCCACTTTCCAATATTGTGCTTCTGAGTAGAATCTATCTTTGATAGGTGTATGTAGGGATTCTGGCGTCGAAAGCGGTGTTTTATTGATTGTCTTCTTCGTTTCACTAGGACTCTTAATATTTTCTTGTTCAGACGATGTTATTTCCACAATAGATGTATCAGTAACATTTTTAAATTGGGTACCAAGTTTTTTGTCTTTTTTCTTTTTCTTGTTTTTCTTTTGGCTTTGTGTAGATTCTTTTAATTGTAGGGGCTGCTCTTCCTTTTCTTTTAATATAGGTTCTTCCACGGCAGGTTCAGATATTTTTTCAATTGTTTTATCTTTTGATTTTGAAGAGCGTTTCTTTTTATCCTTTTTAACAGGTTGCTTTTCTTCATCTGAAGTACTAGCAGCAATTTGAGTAGCTTTTACTTTTATTTCCTTTTCCTTAGATTTTGAAGGTCGACTTTTTCTTACTTTTTTGACTGATTCTTTTTCTTCATCTGATAGACTACTTAGAATAGATTCCGGCTCATTCTCCGGTTTCAAAGTATATGTTAAAGCATCAAATCTATTTTCAGATTTGTCTCGAGATAGGTTATTTTTTTGTGACACTTTCGACTGTGACATAGATCGAGTATCCCTAGATCTCGATCTAGACCTTCTATTTCTATCTACTGTTATAAATCCTTCGGCATCTACTTTTGTGTCTAATTTTCGAACGTCATTATCAGATTCATCTACTAAAATAACTGGAGCTTTATGTACAGGATGATGCACTTCAGTTTGAATACTTTCTGATTTTGGTAATCTCTCTGGAGAAGGTCGATTGCTTGCTACAATTTTAGCCCAAGAGTTAGATTTTTCATCAAGTTTTTCTACTTGCTCTTCAGGTTCTTTTCTTATAATAATGTTTTCATCAGTTTCTTTTGGAATTACATTGTCATCATATTTTTCTAATAGCGTTTCAATATAAGCATCTTTCTGCTCAATTACTGTTACTAATCCTTCAGAAACTACTTCTGCATAAGATTTACCTTCTTCTGCAGCTTTCACCCAGACATTTACTGGTTCCGCAATAGGAGTCACTATAGGAAGAACTTCATCTTTACCAGGGCTTTGTAGCGAAAGCATTTCCTTTTTGTCTTGTTCTTTTTTCTTTTTCTTGTTGCGTTTTGATTTTATTTCACTTTGTTTTTCCTGTGTACTTTGCACTGAAACCTTGATAGTTTCTTGACACTCAATTTTTTCTGGCAAACATGATTGTGTTTCTAATTGTTTATTACGATTACTAGTCATTGTTGAGGAATATGACAGTTGATGATCGTCTAAAGGAGTAGCAGATTTGGTTTCTGTAATGTTATGTTCACGTTTAGTGAATTTTTCGTCTTTATTTTTCTTCAATTTACTTTCAGTAATAACAGACTGATACATATACGAAGGTGTAAATTCAGGTGCATCAGCTGACAAATTGGAATACAAAATTGCGCTTGAATAGGAAGGTTTAAATTCAGGAATAGAATCAATTTCAGGGAGAAGATCATGCAAACTATGAATGGGAGATTTTTCAGGACGGGTTAGTGTATTTCCAGTATCAACAATATTAGTTTCTCTATTAATAATGTCAAAGTGTTCAGTTTTTATATCTGGATTAGGTTGAGATATAATTGTCAAATTAGTATCCGTACTTATAGTCTTAACAAATGGTTTTTGCGTATCAATAGGTTCAGTGACAGATGGCGATAGTAAACTACTTTTTTCCATATCAATGAACGCAGCCGAGATAGAGTCAGGCTCATCGGATTGTTGAATAATATTAGAAGACCTTATTAATAATTGATCCTCCGTTTGAACAATTGACGTTTCCGGAATAATTTCAAAGTCAGCTTCAATTTCTGTACATTCTGAAGGTTCGTTTTGTTTTTCATTAGTTTCTCCATCCAATTGATTACTCAATACTGTAGCTGAGATTTGCTTTACAGAATCTTCTCTTATAATTGAAGCATTTGTAACGTCTTCAATAGTTTCATCAATTAATTTAATAGCATCCTCGACTAACTCGCTAGAAGAATTCGGTTCATTAATGCCCTTATCGATCGACAGTTCATGCGGTAATGTGGTCTCCAATTGTCTTAGTTCATCTTTGACTATTTCGACAACTACAAATTCGTCACGTTCTTCTTCTGTTACTTTTATATTTGAATCATCTTCTACAAGAATTTCTTCAATGTTCTCTTCACCAAACACCACAGGCACAAGGGAATCTTTTATGTCCGGAACTTCTAACTCAGGGATTTTATCGAATTCAATTGATGTAGATTGGCTGTCTTTGTTTAATTCTACGTTCGTAATTATATCAATATCTTTATTTATAATTTTATAATCTGGGCTAACTTCATGTCTTGTTTTTTCCGTTGAGGATATCTCGTGGCTTATTAAATCTATTGTATATTCAATTTCAGTTTTTTCAGGCATAACTTTTTCTTGTATTGTCACAGCAAGTATTGCATCTTCGGATTTAGTTTCTTCACTGGTATGTGGGTTTACATATTTTGCAGAATCTAATGTTGACTCATTCTTTCCTCTACCATGATATTTGTTATCAGTTTGTGATATTTCTGAATCAATTACAATTTCATCCACGACCTTTTCAAAATAATTTTCTGCATTACTAGGAACTTGTTCGGAATCATTAGCCAGAATATTTTCCGCAACATTTTGTTGACTTGAGTCTATCGATATGGACGTGAGCTCCTTCTTAGTGTCATCTAATTTATTGCTGGAGGCAAGGTCTTGAAGTTGGAAATTAGAACTCTCAATAGACGCTACTTCGTGTTTTCGAGTCAGTCCAAATGTTCTCTCAGCGTCCTTTATTTCATTGTAGCTGATGGCTTTTACATCCATATCAATTATTGTTTTATTAAACGAAGATGTAGAAGCTTTAATTTCGCTAGATATATTTTCGTTTGCATTATCAGTACCTTCATTTAATCGTAAATTACGTTCGGTAGTACTTTGTATGGCTTCTATTTGAGATATCGGTTTTACTTTTTTTGCTTGAATAAAAGCTAATATCTTTTCAGGTTCTGAAATTTGTTCTCCAGAAGTGCTGAATTCAGATAAATTTTCGGTCTGTACAAGTTTAATATCAATATTACTTTCTACTATACGCTCATTACGAGTCTCGACTGCTGGTTCTATGCTTACTTTACGAGATTTAATAATACCCAAGAGATTTTCAGCTTTTGATATTTCTTGATAACTCTGCCTTGGTTGCTCATAATAAAGTTCTTTAGGTATATTTTCTTCTTCGATTTTAAATTCTTTTTCAGGTTTTGTTTTAGCAAGTAAATGCTCCGCGTCTGCAATAATTTGATAATTTTGTTGCGGCATTTCTAATATGCTTGGTATTAGCTTTGTATCATTGGTTTGGTCATCTAAATTATCACGGTTGAAGTTGGCTGACTGCTCATTCATAGAAACTTCATTACTTTGTACTAGTATTTGGGTCTCATTGTCTTTGTGTGAGGCATCAGATGGTATAGGCTCTTGAGACATCTCATTTATGAATTTGTTAGAAGCAATAACACCTAATCTTTCTTCAGCATCAACGATATCTTGGTAATTATAATTTAGTTGTTTATATAAACTTCCAAGTAAATTCTTATCTAAAGTTTGAATGTAACTTTTTTCAATCATATTTGGCATCATATCTTTATAAATATTTTCTTTATTAGGAACTTGTTGTTCAGTACCATCTGGGTCTATTTTAGACATATCGACTGTCTTCTTAAACGATTGAGCTGTAATCAGAGTTCCATATCTACACTCTGAATCATGTAAATCTTGATAATTTGATGTTAGTAAGTCTTTCTCAAATATCGATTTAGGCATTTGCGCCTTCTCGCAGGGCTTAAGATTTTCTCTTCCATTGAAAATTGGTGTATCTTCTATTTTAGTTAAATATACATTTGAAATTATTTCAACAGGACAATTATCCTGTTTTACTTTTTCAACAGGCATGTCTGACTGTTGTGGCTCTTTTATTTTTTCATCATCATTTTCTAACATTAATTCATTTTGTTCGTGTACTTTAGATGTTTCTTTTGTTTCAATACTACGTTGACTAGAAATATAGGTGTAATAATCATAATTTAACTGTTCAAAATCGAGGCCTATTGTGTAAGGTTTTACTTCTTCAGTAAGTTCCATACAAGGAATAGATTTCACAACTGGTCTTTTCCGTTCTTGAACTGACCCAAATATCGCTTGTTCAAGAATATCTTCATCATCATATTGACAAATTTGGGTTTCAGATTCTTCGATCAAAAGACTAGGAGGATTACAAACCTCTTTCTTACTTAAATCGTCATGACAATGAGATTTCGTACTATTATCAAATACATTATTTTCCTCAGTCGATGTTTCTTTAGGTGAACTTTGCATAATGTTTCCTAATCCTACTTCTTCAGTACTCTTTTCTTTATCAAATACTTTAAGTAATCCAATAGTATTTTCATTTATTTCTTCAGTTTCATGTGTAATCTTTTCTTTATTTTCAGTATCAACAGTTATACATTCATATTCAGTAATTGAACAGGTTTTGTTTGAATTTTCTTCTAAATTATCATCCACTTTATCCACGGTATTAACGCCAGCGATTTTACATGAATCTGATAAAATTTCATCTTCACTACCGCCTTGAGCTGTGTCTTCTAATGAATTAGACTTGCTACTAAAGACTTTAACAGTTCTAATAGGCGGTAATTTTTTCTCTTCATGTGTTATTAAGTAAATTTTACGAGTCTCTAGATCTTGATCAACAAACTTGTAGTTAGTAATTTCTTCTACGACATTTATGGAACGTTCTTTATGGGGTTCCGTTGAAAAGAATTTATCATTATTATTTTGTTCGTTTGTAGGGCTTGGTAAAGTTTCAATGTTCTTTGATATTGTTATCTCATTGATTGTGCCTTCTTCATAAGTGGGTATTTCAGCACTAGCTTGAGGCTCTATTACTTTTTCTTCCTTTTTGGTAGTAAAGGGTTCAGATGTCTCTTGAATAATAAGAACCTCAGAAGCGATTTGCTCTGAGCTAACATCAATAGAAGATGTTTCTTTACTTTCAGTAACTGGTTCAAAAGCGATATCTTCTTCTTCCATTAAAGCATTCCAATCCATTGTTATAATACTACTTTTAAGAGTACCTGAAGAATTTTCTTCTGATTCTTGCTGAGATTGAGTACACGATTGATCAATGGTGCATTCAATTTGATTTTTAACTGATTTAGTTTTGACATCTTTTAGATTAACAGTTTTGTCCTCATTTGTCTTTTTCATTTTTTCACTTTGCTCAATTTCTTTGAATGCTCTGTCAATATTTTCTACTTGAGATTTAATCTTTTTACTTTTTAATTTCTTTTTCTGTAACTTTATATCCTTGCAGGGCTCTTCAGTGACTAGTGTTTCTAATTCTTTATTTTCACTTAAAGGTATTTCAGGCGATTGCTTATCTTTAGGTGTAGACGATTTTTTAGATTTAGATTTTCGTTTGGGTTCATCGACTTTTTCATGTGCGATTGTGGTTTCAGAAGACTTTTCCCTTTGATTAGCTACACTTGTACTAGCAATCTCTTTTTCGGCCACTTTAATGTTTTCTACGTTTGCCATTGGTTCAGACTTACTTTCGGGAACCTTATTTTTAATATCTTTAACTAAAGAGTCCATGTTTTCATTTGGCGTTTCCAAAACAATGTCAGTTTCAACTGCTTGACTCTTTTCAACGATTTCATGTTTTTTATTTTTCTTCTTCTTCGTTTTTGGTTTCATTGATCCAGTGTCCACATTTTGTGTTTTCGCGTAATCTTCTGGATCGTTACTAGATAAAATTGGATCTGATTTAACTGGCGACTTCTCTCTTATCTCAATATTTTTGGATTCACTTTCTTTATTAGATGTTCTTACAACCTGAACATTGGAAGCTTTTTCTTCCAGTAAAGGAGAAATGTCCTCCGATTTGACTTCCAAAATTTTTGCTTCTGGAACATTTGAAGCTCTCACTATTTCTGTGTCAATATTTTCTACAATAATTTGACCTGTAATCTGAGAATCAAGTAGAGATTTCTGTACAGTACACATATACTGTGATGTTTCAGATTCAGGCAAGATGTCTAATTTGTCAGTTTCAGACGACTTCTTTACTTTGTCTAAGCTTTTTTGCGTTTTCTTTTTCTTATTCTTTGTGTTTGTATCAATTTCTTTAGAATCTACCATCATTTCTGTAAGATCTATAGTAGGAGATTCTAAAGCTTCTGTAACAATATCTTTATTTTTGTCGCTTATATCTTTAATTTTTTTCTTTTTATGCTTATCTGATTCTTCAATTTCTTTGAGAGCCCTTTCTATTTCATCTTCTGTACTCTTTGGCTTTTTCGACTTATGTTTCTTTTTAATTTTCTTCTGTTCTAATTCTACATTCTCTAAAGTGGAATCATCAATATTAATTATTTTTTCTAAGCGTTCAATAACTTCTTCCTTTTGCACAGTTTTAGCTTTTCCTTTATTTACTGTTTCTGCAGGTGCATTATTAATTTTTGTATGTATTTCTATTGGAGATGACTTTTCAACTTCTACTAATTCGGTATTTTCCTCAAAATCTTGAACTTCGATTACTTTTCTAGTCATCTTTTTCTTTTTAAGCGTTTGCACATCATGTGCCTTTGTTGATCTTTTTTCTGGTGCTCGACGCTGTCTTGGCATGTCTCGAGAACGACTTCGTTGAGGTCTTTCACTAATTTTATCTGTTTTTGGCTTCAGTGTATCCTTCGTTTGCGACTTTATCTCGTAATGAACCGGAGGAGATTTCTCAACTTCAACGACAATCTCTTTTACCATTTCTACTTGTGCCACTTGTGGTTTCGGCAACGCCGTAATACTTTGAGTTTTTGCTTGTTTTCGTAAACCTAATGCTAGGATTTCTGCATATGATAAATCATGGGATCGATATTTCATGGCCGGGCTGACCGATCTTTCAGAGCGTTCACTTGGACATAAATCCGTAGATAAAATTGAGCTCTCATCTATCTGAGAAACGGGAGGAACTTTAATTTCACTCTCATCATATTTGATTTGCTGGTCTGAGTAATAAGGGATTTCACTTTGATAGTAAACATTTGCGTCACTCGGGTAAGTTTCGCACTCACTAACTTCACATTCACTTAAGACTGTCGGCTCACTAGGCTCCACTATTTCAGTGGGAGATATATGCACGTCACTAATATTTTCACTTTGAATTTCGGGACTTGGGTCCCTTGACACTCTTGTGTCGTATTGCATTCTGTGCATTGCGGGGGAAGCGGATCGAGATCCGTGGCCCTTCACTATCTCGGCGTAGGTGGTGCCCGGCTGCCAGGCGCCCAGGGCGGGCGGCTCGGGCGGCGCGAGAGTCGCCGGCCGTCGCTCGCGGTTGGCGCGCGCGTGGTCTGCGCTACACACGAGCATGGCCAGCGTGTTGGCGGGGTCTTCACCCAGCGTGAAGTAAGGGTCGATCTCGTAGATACTGCGAGTCAGCTCTTCGATTCGCCGCACGACCTCCTGATACGCAAGTACGGATGTATGATTTAAAGGGTTCGCTGCATTAGCGATGATAATGAAAAACGATCGGCGATTCGAGAACGTATATTTATTTGATAATCAATTTAAAAAATTATAAAGGAATAGATGATAAAGACGACTTAAAGCTAGAACGCGAGTGAAAATCTTATATATCCCTAAGCGGATCGGCATCTGGAACGCCTCGTTGCATCAATAATTTGATTCGTTCGTACCGCGCCTGAATTTTACTTTGCAGCGACTTTACTCTCTCTCGACATTCCTACGAGGATATCGGTGGAGAAATTAGTTAGTGAAGGAGGGAAAACAGAAAGAAAACAAATATGAATCGCGTGATAATGTACATGGTGTATGGTGTATCTACCGCTAAGCGCCGTCGGTACGACAAATCTAAGAGTCGGCTGATGGTCGATAGAGGACTAACCTGTTGGTGTGCTTGGGCACGATCGGGGTCGCGGGGGCTGTAGTTGGGCTGCGCGGCCTGGCGCAGGGCCTGCTCGGCCTGCAGCAGCGAGGCCCGCAGGCGCGCCACGTCCGCGCAGTACGCGTCGAGCTGCGCCAGCGCCGCGGCCAGCTGCGCCGCCTGCGCGCCGGTAGCCGCCGCCAGCGCGTCCAGCGCCGCGACCAGCTCGCGCGCCGCGCTCTGCACGCCCTCTGGCGATCGCGACTGCGACGCCACGCCGTCTGGACCGAAGTGTACCTTCGCGGGGAAAATACACGTTACCTTTGCCAGTATTTTTATTAAATTAATAGCAAAAAAATAATGTTCTCCATCACCAATAATAAAATAATTAATTTCCTAAAAGGCTGAAAGAATTACATAGCGACATGAATACCAAGCTGAAACAGATTTAATTTATATTAAATTGAAACCCACAACCATTTATCCCTACAAAAAAAAAATACAACGAAAATGACCGAGCCAAGAGACCATGGACTTCACTCACATCGAGCTTCTCGACCGCATATGAAATCTTTGTTTTCTGTGTTGATATATCATTAATTAATTTTTCTCTGAAAGCCAGTCTATCTCGTAGTGGCTTTTTGGCGTTTTGTGGCGCCTCGATTGTTCTCGTAGTGGCTTCAAGCCAATGGCCGACATCTTTTAATTTCTTTTCACATCGCTCCCATTCTTCGGCCAATTCTTGCAGTAAACCATTCTAAAAGAAAAACATGATATGTCAGTAACAAGTTAAAAATGCGAGTATTATGATAAAGTAAATTTTTGGTTAAATACGAACGGTTTTTGCTAAACGTTTTTCCACATCAACTGTTGCATTTTCAGCGGATTCCAGCCTAGAAGGTAAATCTCCAGGGCTAGTTACTCGTTCTATTGCCTCCAACTCCTTAGTCATATCTGCTAAATTTTTAGCTTGCTGCTTACAACTCTTAAGAGCATTCTGAAACATAAAAAATAAAATATTAGATTTTTTATCTCTTAAAATATTGTGTTTTGTGAAACTATCTTTCCATACCCCATATTCAGTCTGTTTTTGTTGTGCCTCCTGCAGATCAGCCAATGGGAGTGGTCGCGCGAGGAAAGCACGCTGCGTTTCCACCCATAGTAAAACTTTCTCTAGTAATGCTAAAAATCTAGATACTGAATCGCAGGCATCTTCTACCGCCGCTTGTCGAGCTTCTAGCTCACTGCAAACAGCTGAAAATTGTTCCGTTAAAGCTGATACAGTAGATTGTATAAGCTGACGTTCACCAGAATCGCGGCTACCCTCAACTATCGCGCGGGCGTTACGAGTTAGCCGCTCGACTCGGTCTGATATCGCAGGTATCTCGGCCCGCGTGGCCACGAGTCGTTCTTTGTAAGGCTCCGGCGGTAAAGTCCGGTCGCGGGCGGTGACCTCCGCCCCGCGCACCCAAGCCTGCACGCTTTCGACATCACTCGCATATTCACTGCGAGAGGTGCGCGCGCGCTTCCATTCCCTTTCTTTTTCCTCCATCGCAGCTCCTAAAGCCTCCGCGGACAGTTCTAGTGAAGATAGCTCCTGCGCCACGTCTGCGGGCGCGGAGCCCCCGTAACGTTTCCTACTCTCTTCAGTGAAAGTTTTCGTCCGTCCCACCAAATCGGACACCTGCTTAGCTAAATCACGAACTTCCCCTTCGTTGTCCTCTCCGAACACGTAGAATGTTCCTACTTTAGCTATGTATACTTCGATCTGCTGCCGGAGCTGCTCGATCTTCTCCGACACGCGATCGAATTCGGATACAATTTCGTCGATCTCCGCAAGTCTCGCCGCAATAGTCTGTCGCAATCTGTAACAGAAAACGCCCTTTAAGCACGTTTACGAATATTCGAAGTCGTGGTACTTCTGGCGAATAGGGAAGAGCTGCCAAAAAGCGACGAAAATAATCCGGCGGCGCGGCGTGACGTAGTGTGACGCCGCAAGGTCGCATTGCAATGCGTTACCTCGTCGTTCGTGGCAGCGGCCCGCGGCGATCTGCTCGCTTCGCCCGCCCGTCGCTCAATGAATATCACGAGAATTTCACCCGTCGCGTCTAATTTTATTCTACGTTGTTTGAAATGACATCAGCGAAGTTTTCGGTGCACTTGTGTTTACGTTCCGCGCCGGCGTGCAGTTTATGGTGACGTGACATTTGCGACCTTGCGCCTAGCTTGACAGTGATGATAAGGCGCTTATGCCTATTGCGCAACTGCGACATGCGCCAATGCACACGCGGTGACCATAGCCGGCCGGCGCCGTCGAGTGCAAGTGGGCGAAGTAAACATTTATAGACCGGCTGCCAAATTACGCCTATTCCTTGATTTCCGAAAACTACATATACAACTTGCTTTAATACGAGCCGCGAGTGACTCACCGTTAATAAATATGCACAGTCACATTGGTACCACGCTGCCTCGAGCACACGGTCGTTTGCTGCACGCACCTACTTTACCATGTATTCCTTGGAATATTATAGATTATAATCTTAAAGCCAGCTCGGTTAGTAACGGTTTGATCGCGGAAGTGATAGAGGGTTGCTTTCTCGTGCATCGCTTACACGTTGCGTTCTTGAAAATCTATATTGTGTTGAGTAATGGCGAACATTCTAAGTATAACCCCCGGTTCACACTGCGAGGCCCTGACCCATTAAATGCGGACTACGCATGCGCCGTGCGAGCTGAAATAGTCTACCAGTTTGAATACGTAACGATTACGTCTCCCCCGAGCGTCTGGAGCAACTATCGATCGAAATTAACCCCTATGCAGACATGGGGAAGCTCGACTGTAGCCTCAACGCAATGTTACTTGTACCGTTTTTGCTGTGCAATGGCTACCGTAGAATTGCTTCTATTTGTAGGAGTAGAAAAAAATAATCTTATTAGAAATTCTTGGAAAATTATAATTTTATTAAACATTTCTAGGTATGTAAACGAAGTAAGACGAGATTAAGATATTTTTATTTAAAAAAAATTAAAAGGTATGTTTTTTATAATTGGTATATATATATATTATGGTAAAAAAAAACCATTAAAATTTATATATCATAATAAAAAGATATTGTTAGATACAACATACCCATTTATAATATTTTTATTCATTAATCGTTCTCTTTAAAGCATATAAAATTATTACTTTAAAGGGCAGTAGGCACTGACAGCTCAACATTGGGGTAGGCCACGCACACTTCAGTATTAACAGCTATTTATGCACCCTCCACCTGATTCACCCTTAATTTAAAACCTATATTAGTCACGTAAACACAAGTGTTTACTTGTACCATTTATTTTTAACAGCATTATGTTATAGCAGATCGATTTAAAAACCTATTCTAATAGCATTTTAAGGCTGCATTTATATATAACAGCATGGTCTCTATGTGTAGTTCAGTGAGCAATGCTACAAAAATGTACCGCAAAAATAAATTTGCGTCGCTCAAATCAACAACTATGGCTTCCGATGACGACATTTTATGGTTGACAGCCGGCGCTATTCGCCCGTAAAGATAAACTCTTAAAATCATCACATGCGCTCACGTTAATATATTTAATAAAAAAAATTAATAGTAACTTTTTCATATAATAAACATTAATACCGATTTTGCTGAGCCATTTTTTTATATAGGCAACCAAAAAATATTATTTTTCTTACTAATTCTGCCACTTTTTTCATGACGAGGATTGAATTTCAATATATACTTAATTTACCGCTATCATTTTAGAAGTACGCAGTCAAAATTTCAGCGCTTTATGTGTAGCGATTTAACCTAAGCATTAATGACTGTCATAACAAGGATTTTTTTAGGTGCATATCGAATATTTATATTTTAAAAAAAATTGGAAATACTGAATTCTAGAATATCTATAATTTTATACAAGTAGATAAATAAACTTATATCTATGTTTTTTTTAAAACAATTCTCTTAAAAAACAAACTTGAATTATCCATGAGTGTAAAGAGACTAAAGGGCACAATAGTTGCTGGAACTTGATTTCTAGAAATCGAGGTGAAAAGAGAAAGTACTGAAGAAATCTGACCAGCTTATCTTACTTACTGAAGCAAATGCATTATTTATACTGCCTGCTACTATATTTATTACTATCAATAAACACTTTATACTACAAGAAAAGACTAGACGGAAAACTAATATAACTTGTAATGCTTTACAACTACATGAAAATATTGGTCACTTCATTCCGTATTACGCAAGTATATAAAACTAGCGACTCACACTCGCTTCGCTCGGGTTCGTCCCTAGGTTGATTCCCCATACAAACTTTCATCCCCATTTTCACCTCCTTAAGATTTGATTTCCGGGATAAAAAGTATCCTATGTCCTTTCCAGGGTCTCAAACTATCTTCTTAACAAATTTGATCTAAATCGATGCAGTAGATCCAGAGATTACCCCCTACAACCTCACAAACTCACAAAATTTACCTCTTTATAATATTAGCATAGTCGTAGTACAGTTACAACTTTTTAATCAACAACATGTACTAGGCTCAGTTCGATCCCACGCATTTTTCTTAAGACAGCTGAAATGGTACAAGGTTGTCTGTGAAGCATTATTCTCTATCTCTCTCTATCTGCACCATAATGGATATCAAACGAAGCAACATACACTTATAGCTCATATCACGTGAACCATTGTTTTATGAAAAGAATTTCAAATAATCATTCCTTCAGACATATTTAAACGTGATACAAACTTAAAAATATCTCAAAATCACAAGTCCTCGAACATAGAAACCATGAGCTAATATAAGTTCGAGCGTTTGCTATGACATCATAGGCCGGAATTATCGTATGTGGTGGTCTGATGACCTAATGATTTAAATATTGTCATTGCAAAATTTGACGTCATCTTGATTTTATAACGACTACTTCACTTGGATCTCAATGTCTTCAACTAAAATCCTTCTAATGTTCAAAGGAAGTTACTACATAACTATTCATTTTGGTTATCGAAACATGTACGTAAGAAATACTTAAATATGCTTGTGTTATGGATACCAGATAGTTGATACTCTATACACATATAACTTTAAATATATACATATTATAAATATAAACACCCATAACTAAGTACAAACATTTGTGCTCCTAACACAAATGAATGCTCCCAGCGGGACTCGAAGCCGCGACTGCTGGCACAGCAAGTAGTGTTACTACAAACTGAGCCACACGCTTAGTCTCTTTACCGTTTCAAATACAATAATTTCGATTTGTTTAAATATAGAGTCGCACAAAATAAGGGCGTTTTATGAGTCAGGTGGCAAAAAACAGGTGCATGTCAATTGTCAGCTGTAATGATTATAAAAAATAACATGGTAGTAGGAAATGTTTTATAATTATTGCATTCTACGCATTTTCCATCCTCATTATTGGATTTAAGTTATTTTAAGTTTTAATATGCGTAATTAGTCATGGACGGTTCAGAGGTTGCCCTTGACCGTTCCTTGTATGTATGTAGGTCTCAGACTTAACCAATTTCATGGCTATTAATAACGCCCTTATTACAACAACGCTAGGTTTATGTTACTATATTAAAAATATATTCATCGTCTTGTAACGTAAAGCTTCTATTTCGAAGGCATAAGGTTGCAAATGCGTTGTTAGCTTTTATAATAATATGTTGAATGGGTTTTAAGCAAAAGGCAAGCGGTGCGACTGTGAATTGTACTGTTGAATTTTAATAGGCATTTCTCTCGCCATACTTGTGATTTTCAGTAATAAAAATAATCGGTAATATTATTTTAATATCGAGCGTAAAAGTTGTCGACTTCTAAAATAGCTTCTTTGTTTTTTTCAATGTTAATAATTTTTCTTATTAAATACCACGAATGAACTTAAATATAATAAAATTAAATATAATAAAAATGAAAAGGAGCAAAGTTTGAAAGAAGAATCAAAATTCATCGGTTGTCATACTGTAAGTTTAAAAAAGCAGTTATAGATGGCCTGAAAATGTTGCTAGGTTGCAAAAGTTAGTATAAAATACTCAAGCTATGTTAATTAATTTGTTTTAACCGAACGTCCAATGGAAACCAAAAATATTTTTTAATGTTACATAAACGTCGGAAGTTACATCTCATTTTACACGATTGGCGTCAAATTGATTGGAAAACAGAAGCTAATGATTTGTGACACCATTTGTATATTAATAGAACGGCAGTAGAAAAAACTGTAAACCACAGCCAACGTGATCAAAAACAAAAGCTTTACCAGAATTCAAGACACCATATTATGAAACAAAATATGTTATGAAGCTAGAGGAAAATAACACGGCAATTTAAACTTTATTCCATGGTGATAAGATGTTGATTTATGAATTGCATACAAAATCATCATTATAACAAACGAGATGTGAGAACAAACAAGTAGATGACAAGTAGTTGATTCTCTGCCAAAATTCTTAAAACTTCCGGGTTTTAAATTTTGCTTGAATAATAGTTTTGTAGGTAAAAACTACGGAAATTAACGCAGTATAATATAAATATAGTTTTAGACATAATTATTAGTTACCTATAGTTTTATATACTTAAATATTTTTTATGAAGTTTTGTATATTTCATATCAGATTTAGTTCGCAACCTCAAGTAGTATTCATAAGTGAACAATGGTATCGAATTCTCGTAAAACCTGCACAATCGTTTTCAAAGATCGGAAATAGGTTACACTGCCATAAAGAAGTTACAAAGTACTTCTAATGTATTTAACGTTGAAGAGATTACTTTTAAATTCCACCGCTTAAACGCATAAATTTACAAGTCTTCATAATATTTTATTTTGTAATATTTCTACAAACATCAATATACTTAATTTTGGAACAATTTAACCGAATTCGATCGTTTATGAATAAAAATCCTATTCGCCAGAACACCGATGTGTACATCTTACGTTTAACTAAATACAACAAGGTTAAATATACTCATAGATAAGTTGACCATTTAACAATCTTAATCGTCAATAGAAAACTAAAAAAATAGCGATTGATAAAAGCGTTACGTCATCTATACTTATTATAAAAATAAGTCCCCCGGCCGCGTCTTTCTGTCCTCCTGTCTGTCCTCCTGTCTGTCTGTACGCGATAAACTCGAAAACTACTGAACGGATTTTTATACGGTTTTCAACAATAGAAAGAGTAATTCTTGAGGAAGGTTTAGGTATATAATTTATTATGCTTTTATGTAAATTAGCTGAAATACGGCGACAAATGTTGAAGAGGTCGCAAAAAATCTCGCCAAATGGGAACTTTCCACGCGAACGCCGCGTAAACTAGCAAAGATACAGTTAAGTAATGTACTAGAGAATTCAAAATCTATAAAAATGCTACAAAAAAGTCCGCGATAGCATATCTCTATCTCTTACGGTTGACTTACAATAACCACTTTTATGTTAACATTTTTAATTAAAAACATTACGTTATTTTCAAAGTTATTTTCTTTAGTTCGGTATTAATCCTTATCCAAATGAATATTTTAGTTAGCTTAGTCATTTAATGCAGATTAAAATTGCTCTTTACACTAAATCAATCAGATGAATAGTTTTTGAGATATCGTTGTTAGAAGTAATTAGTAGCGAAACATTTTTAATGCTTGGCGAGCATTGAGATGCCTACGGCGAGTCCATCCCCTCTGCCCCGCATCGCTCGACCGCCTGCTCAAGCTATATAAACCGGGCGATGTAGCGCGCGATCCTAGGATACTTTTTACCGCGGGAAAATATCTTATTTCTGAGGAAAAATACAAAAACTGCAATGTAAGAGTATACTAATATGTAACACCTAAGAATTTAGTTTTTGGTCATCTGAACGCGGGCGGAGCCGCGGGCAATGCTAGTTGTAATATATTTCTATTTTGCCATTTTTCTATTAACTACATCGATTGTAGAAGGTCACCTTAACAATGCAAATATATGTTTAGTAAACATCTAAAAAAAAATACAAAACTTTCCTATCTTTTTCATGTGAATATTTGCTTACCTTGAACTTCTTTGAAATATATAAACATTTGTATATGCATGCATTAAATTATAAGATTAAATTTAAAAATCAGCTTCATTACAATTTAAAGAGTGATCAAAAATTTCAGTTTCGTTTTCTTCTTTCCTTTGACATGAATCATGTTTTTTTAACAAAGAGATATATAAAAGTCACGTACTTTGGTTGGTACATTAAGAGGGGTTGACACTAGTCTTTTATATAAAATGTAAATAAATATAATTAAATTATCTCCTCAATTTTTATAATGAAACTGATTGCCAAAAATAATGCCTTACTACAGCAAATCTCGTTGACCTCTCTCTAATAGGCAACTGGAGTCTTCTAATTACACAAATACTTACCTATATTAATACAAACATGCATAGCTCTGTAATCAAACTCACGACCTATGAACAAACAACAAGATCTATAAACATCTACAATCATCAAAACACAACACCCATACTCACTTCTCATACGCCTCCACAAGTTCTTTGACATTCCTATCTGTTTCAGATGCAGCCTCCTTAGAATGCGGGGTCAGTAGTGTTATCACTACATCTGCGTGTTCCAGCAGATCGTCCTTAGTCTCTTCTAGACTTGAAACTTCACTTTGTAATTCCTGTACAGAAAAATCATTACCTGATTCTCTACTTTAAAAAGAACGTGACTAATATTTCTAGGACCACTGCCAACAATTTTTTTATACTTTCTGTAATCTGTAATATAACTATAAATTACGATATTAGAAAGTAAGGAAAAATAAATTTAATGATGATGAATATAGTTTGAGAGTATGTATGGATGTTTGTTATTCTTTCACGCTAGATCGGCTGAACGGATCTGGATAAAATTTGGCACAGATATAGATTATAGTATGGAATAACACACAGGCTATTTTTTATCCTGGAAAAATATACGATTCCCGAGGGATGGTTTTTTTTTGTTTTCTAGAGGCGAACCCGAGCGAAACTAGGATGATCCGCTAGTTATTAATAAACTAATGATAAAATTACAAAAAAAATCAAGAATTTATTGCAACCTTTAAAAGAAAGTAATATAATAAATATCTTATAAAGTGTCCTTACCTGTAGTGTATGCCTAGTGTCTAAAGCACGACGCCTGGTGGCGGGGCTTGCGTCCAGCTGACGGAGGCGGTCGTTGGCAGATGTTACAGATGAAGACAGGCTCCTCTGAGCGTCGAGAAGCTGGGTCCAGCGTTGTAACTGATTGTCTGCTGTTGCTGCACGTTTTGCTAACCCTGAGTGGGAATATACCGATTCATATTATCGATAAGATGGTGACACACTTTTAAAGCAAATACATATGTGTAATAGGACAATATCTTTTTTATAGAAATTATTATTTGACTGCTAGGAATAAATTATAAAAAAGAAAACAAATTGAATTTTCTTTATCGTAAAGAATTTTCTTTCACCAAATGTTATTATAATATAATCCAGTAATAATTTTAAACAAGTTTCATTACAATGCATTTCGCTAAATATACATTTATTGAGGTTACTCTACATATGTACATAATATACATAGAACATATAAATATAGATAAAATAGAGTGGCAATCGCTAAAGTCACACCTTTTTTGTTACTTATATTGTAACCATTCTTGCACTATTTTTATAATTGTTGGGAATATATATATGTTGGGACATTGACACACATCACCATCTGGTTCCATGGTAAGCTACGAGACTTGTGTTATGGATACCAGATAGTTGATACACTACATATATATAACTTTAAAGACATACATATTATAAATAATCCATCCAATAAATAAAACAGCTAATCGGACTCCTTTTGAAAATGGGAGTGTCTGTATATGTGTACATTCATACAACTCAACTGCTACTCGTAAGTACCTAGAGATGCATCCGAGTAAATCACGAGTGCATACCTTCACAAGCCACATTCCATCTATCAGCTAGGTCTCTGGTCCTGTGCTCTACACGCTCGCCACTGGCCGCGTCCGCGCCGCTGCACAGCTCGCGCGCCCGCTCCCGGACCACGTCGAGCAGTGGCTGTTGGTTCTAACATAACAAATGATAGAAACATTGTAAAGGAAATGAAATCATGTTTGAAATAAGAAAGCAAAAAAAATAACTTTCAATATCTAAGATACAGTACACTAAAACATTGTATCAAGAGTAAAAAAAGGTTCCAGAGTCGATAAAAAACTATAACTGATTTTTTTTATATATAATGGTGCAATATTAAAAATTCGTGTGAAATCGCTAAAATATAATATATGCTAAAAAGATAGTTATAAAAGGTCGAGATCTAGAGGTTTATTATTATTAGCTTATTTAAGTATTCCATATCAATATTAATATTTAATATTTTCTTTTTTTTTAAGAAAAAAGTAATAAAAACGTGGGATCAAAATGGCGTTACATATCAAGTGTTTACAATACAATGTTATCAAGAATGCGATGACTGATAAGAAGATAACGCTTTATTGCAACGTTGGTTAGTGTTACTTGCCATTTTTATTTCATACGCAACTTTTTACAATTAAAATTTTGATATACCTAATCTATGTAAATTATAGAAATTGGAGATTTTTTCCTTCTAAAAGTAAAAACTAAATACTTTAGCAAGAGACTTACAGAACAAAAGCTTACTTTTTAATGCTTGACAGATTTCTTTAGTTTCATTAAACCTTAGGCTCTAAATGCTTTTAAGTGTAATAAAACAAAGTTATTTTGTAAAACCATTATAACTTTCTCAGGGAAGTCAACCAAACATAGATGTTGTTTATGTCAAAGCGATAACATTAACAATTGTTAGAAGATTTGTTTTGATTTTTATTATAAACTGTTCTGTTACTTCCACATTCCAAAGATGGTAAAACGGCATTCTACTTCCTTTCCATGGCATATGAAACATTACATATTATATCTCTGATCTTTAATAAATTTAATATATGACCTTTTTTAAAGTTTTAATAATATCTTCATAACCAAGTTACATCACTAATCAGTGTTTTCAAAGAGGAAAACCTGCACGAACGAAGGCGACATCGCGTTCGACCTTGAAATATCGCATGGTTAACTCATTGATGCTATTTTTAGCGCCGGTCAGTTTGGTAGTCTACAATCTGCACCCAATCTAATTTATATAGAAATGGTACCAACTAGCCTTTTTGGAACTTATTTAATAGTTAGGTCTGTCCTAAATTGACTCTATGTCTCGTACATCTTTAAAAAAAGTCTATGTTCAAACCTACACATTAAAACAAGGAAACAATTTGAATGTCCATAAATTATTAACATTATTATTGATTGATCACGCAAAATTCCTGTGTTAATTGTGCAAATATTCATGTCTCATCTAATTTTGACCGGTGACTAAATCGTTAAAACACACTTATCAATACTAATTATTTTTGGTAAAACATAAATATGCCTACAAACCGAAGTACTTTTGGTAATATCATGTACATATTTGTTTAGACCAGAAGATGATTTTTCAGCTACTAACGCAATGTATTTTATTTGATGGGACATTAACAGACAGCACCATCTAGTTCCATAGTAAGTTACGAGGCTTGTGTTATAGATACCAGATAGTTGGTACACTACACATACATAACTTTAAATATATACATAATATTATAAATATAAACACCCATGACTAGAGTACAAATATTCATGCTCATCACACAAATGAATGCCCCCAGCGGAACTCAAACCCGCGACCGCTGCGCAGCAAGTAGGGTCACTACAAACTGAACCAACTGTCGTCAAACGACACGTTTGTATGAACTAACATTTTTTTATAATTATAAATCTACTGGAAAAGATTATGGTATTTTTATGTTTACTTTACCCGAGACAATATAATAGTAAATCGTATTAAAAGAAACTTAAGACGTCAGTTAGCCGGCTGCAGGCGCCTTACTGATTAAACAAGATAATAAAGCGAAATGCACTTAAACGTATGAAACCGTTCTCGTGTGACTTGTTGACACTTGTTTGGCAATACGCCTTCATGAAAACTGGTTCATATACAACCTATAACTGAAGCAAGATATGTCTCCATTTCAACAACATTTATGATACTATGGAAGATATTACAAAACCATTTTAGTGAATCATTATGACTCGATGTAGGAATTAGAGATAACGTTGATAAAAAAATTATTATTTTATTCTAGTTTAAAATAACACGACAGACTTTTTTATATGAAATTTTTAATGTCTACAATGCTTTACTTTAAATGCTTAAATTTTGCTAAGTAAAGATAACAATTCTACATATATCTTAGAAGAATTATTAGAATGTAGAGATGTGACCGATGGTCCATCAAGTCAGTCAGTCAGTATGCCCTATAAGATATAAAAATATCCTCTACACGATTAAATTTTACTTTTATTTGTATCCAAACACGATAGAGCACGGTTACGGTCCGCGAGTCATGATAATGACAATTTATGTACCTTGCTTAACATTCAACAAGTTGTTTTACATATTTACAATGAATTGTGAAGGTCCAATTATACTGAAAAATATATAGCTAACATTCTACAATAATAGATATAAAGTAAACAATAGATAGAAGGGTCTCGAACAACAATGTTTTGATCACATAGAAAAATCAACAACACCGGCGTTTCACAAACACGTGGACTCACCTTCCTTTTACGCGGAATTTTGGACACTTTATTTACAAATTATATAAAAATATATATAATCTATACTTATGTAGTAACGTAGGTGCACTTGTACAATAAGAAAGCAGTAAAATAATATATGTTTTGATAGCGTTGCGTTCTCATTGCTGTGTGTACGGACTACGACTGGCGAGCCTTGACTCTGTTGCATGACATCATCCGTTAAGGGGAGCCGCACTCGGAAATCGTGCGATTATTTTGACCCTATGTGGTTTTACTTTCGTATACTTAATTTAGTTTTCTAACTTTATTTTTTAACGACGATTGAAATGAATTATTTCATTAGTAAGTTAACAGAAATCTTTGCTATACTATAATTTTCATTTTGAAGTATTAATTAATAAGTTTAAGTATTTTTTTGCAATTATCTAATAACTATATATGTATGAATATGTTTGTAATCTCTAAAACCAGCATAGCAAAGCAAGATACGATAACGTTAAGTATCACAGTTAAAACGTGGAACGGTGCACATTACGTCCATACAATAGATTACAGTCGTACACTTCCTTTATGCAGCTTGAACAAACCGCACTATGCATTAGTCACGACCTGTCTAGTGCAATGACCGAAAATGCACAAAGTAGGGATAGAGAACCCTTGATGGGTTACAAAAGAAAATTTTGCTAAATTTTAATAGGTACGCTACGGTAGGTTTATTTTACTTGAATATATTTATACTAATACTATAAAGTTTGTGATTTGGTTCTGTTTTTATATAGCAATAGAGTAACTGATCGACGCGACGTGACTTTTTGCAAATACGACAAATAACAATTTATAGGCCAAAGAGTGACTTGGCTACTTTCTATTTCAATAAATCAAGTGGACTATTAAAAATTAAAAGTATTGCAATGTTCAAACCTAAAATATTACACGCTTACCGCTTATTAAATACTAAAGGCAGATCAAAAATTGTAGGTAGGACAAAAAAATAAATATCTTGTATTTGATCTATCTGTAAATAAATTGGCAAACACGAACTAGACGCTGTCTAAACGTCTAATTGTGTAATCGACTTGAACCTAAGACATGATTAGCCATTTGTGACGTAAATTTTGTTTCGTTTATATGATATTGTATATACGAAAATTAATTTATTCAAAATTTCACACATACACTTAGGGTATATAAAAGGGAAACATGATAATTTTTTATCCCGCTTCATTGACTAGTTCCCAAGGGGTGCGCGAATGAAAAGATTCCGTATATATCAGTTAGGACTTGAGCGAGATAAAGTCGACATGCTAGTATCTACGTATTTATGTAATTTCTTCGTATAACTGCTATTTCGATTTAAATACAATTAGATTGGATCTACATCGCTAGTAGTCCAGTTAACAGTACATTGTGCGTATTGCTGAACCATAGAAATCATTGCAGAACCGTATAGCATAATAACAAAGTAGATAAATAAAAACAATGTGGTGGAAAAACAAAATGTGTGAAATATGAATAACACATTGGATTCGATTGAAAAAGAAATAAATAATGAGAATATCTAATATGTAAAATATCTCGTGTCACGGTGTTTGTGGTCGCACTCCTCCGAAACGGCTCGATCGATTTTAATGTTGTTTTGTTGTTTTCACCCTCCTATCCTCACACCCATTTTTTATCGCAATTCTTGTATTTTTGTTTGAACAATATTATATAAATACATAAAGACAAAGAGTTTTTTTTGTAGTTTGAACGCGAGTGTAGCCGCGGGTTTTGCTTGTGTTCTTATATTATTCTAAGCTAGATAGCTAAATACACAATCAGTAACAAAGTATGGCATTTATAATATTAGTGTTATTATTATTATTATTGAATTTATTTCTGTGTCGTATATTTTACATTAGCGACTTATGTTATATACAAGTAGCTACAGGCTACCAGGCAGTGATAGCGCCACCTTTTGGCCAATTCTATTACTAACAGTAGCCTATGTCTTCCAAGTAGTCTTTGTACTAAATCCAAACCCGTCCAGACGTTCGAGCGTGAAAGTGTAGCACATTTACAAACATACACATGTTTTCAAACTTGTGCGATATATTTTAGTAGGAATATTTCCATTATTATCGTTTAACTATTTGCAATGTCGTCGCCTTAATACAGTCATAGGACGTGAGGTGAATTCAATGAGCTGCTAAGTCAATTTGGCGCTTCTATCGACGCCATTATTATGATTAATTGTGTCAAAAGATCTACGTCTAAATATCTGATGATTTTACAAATAACCCATATTATAATTATTTAGTGTTAACCTTGCTTAATACGTTTTTATTTAATTTTGTTTTTTAAGTAACATTGTTCTATAAATTGCCATTCAATACTTTTTTCTATCAATTCCACTTATTTATTTAACTCTCTATTCTTCGTAGTAACTAATTTCGTAGTCATTTATTATTTAGTATTGCTTGCTGTTTAGTTTCTGTACGGGAATCCCCTAAACAGGCAAAGATTTAACAAGCTCTACGAGTGCATCTTTTCTCTATGCATGGGGAGTACCCGAATAACTTGTAAGCGTATCGCTTGAGTACGGCTGGCTAGATTTGCCCAAATTTTTATTCTTTTAAACTGTTCGTAATTATTTGAACAAGGTTTATATAGGAAAAATTAGAATAAAAATGTTACTTAGAAAATTGGGAAATAATAAATAGTTTTTTTATAGGACTTCTGTATGAATTAAAAAATTACAAACATATTTCAATTAACTTTACCTATGATTTAGTGTTGGGACATTTTACACATTGGATATCTAAGCAAGGGGATCAAAGATATTAATAATAAATTCAAGCCATTCCCTAAAATATCTTAATGTAACTATCTCCATTTTACTTTTTAATATTCTTCTGTACATTTATAAAAGAAACATGTAATATGAGAGGACGAACGTATGTACGCTTATAATACATCACATAAACGCAACTCAAGACTCAATTTCGCAATAATTCAATTGTAGAGTTTTCGCCTTAATCGGGTGACAATGGATCGATGAGTGCAGTAACCTCGTTCAATGGAAAGCCAATGGAAATAAACAAAATGTATTGTAACCTAAATTTATTCTGAGAGCATTCAAGTAAATCGTTTACTAAGGTTACACAAAAAGCAATTAAAGTAAACGTTAAACATCTCGTTTAATGATGTTAAAAAAAAATCTTTGAACAAACAAACGGAAGTTTGATAGTGTTGTGATAATATTTCTTGGAAAATTATTTTTGTTGAATATTACTTATTGTTTGGAGCACGTTGTGTATACTAAGATTATAAAGCGAAAAAAAATTGTTTTTGGTATTTGGTGGAGGTTACTTAAGAAGTCCTATATGAAAAATTATTATTTAATTATAGTTCCAGGATATATAGAATCTAATATTTAAGATAGTTTTTATATAAGATGTTAATAAAATGCTAAGTTAATACTTAGATACATAGACTAATGTCTACAATTTACGTAACACTACTTCTTACATGGAGCAAATAAAACCTTCTTAATCGTCACTTTTTTCTTAGTCTTTTTACTGAATCTCACATGGTCTGCGGAAATAACTGTGTAAATCCCAAAACAATCTTATTATACTTAAATGTTTATAAACTTTCACGTCATATAAATTCGGTTTCTAGTGACTGAACCCGTGATTCGAAACAATGTCAATCAAATATGTCGGAATTTCTGGCATTCGTATCGACAAATGCCATTTAATATGTTTATATGCACGTATACAAGTATGTATCTGAAGCCATTTTAATATGTATGCATTAATTAATAATTGTAGTACAATGACTTTGAAAAGAAATACTATAATTGTATTATATCACTTATCTACGATATCCATCGTTATCTGGTATATTTATCAATTTTTTGTTATTTTGTCTTTGTCAAGTTACAGGTGATTATTATATATTACATCATTATATAAAAATGGAATACGATTTAAATTTAATCGTAAAACGATTAATGTACTGTATCTTACTGGTAATTAAGGGTTAATTTAATATTTTAATTATCGATCAAACTAATGATCCGAAATTTTATTCATACGATCTTTAATTAGAGCTCTTTCTGATTACGGAAAATCAGCCGTAAATAAAAAAATAATAATGACTTACCTCCAAATCATTTCTGGCGTGGTTTAGCTTCTCCACGTACATGCGGAGGGCGTCCACTGACGTCACAGGTTCTTCTTCTATATCGTTCTTATCCAAAATCGCCTTAATCTTCTCCACCAGCTGACAGAAGTCTTTCCAGATCTCCAAATCTTGTTCTAATTGCGCTTGACGCGATTTCGCCGAATTCAAAGTATTCTTTAACAGTTGATTATGTTTTTGGTGTTCTTTAGATAATTCCTCTTGTTCAGAAGATGTAAGGGAAGACCATATTTTATCCACAATATCCTGCATACGTTTGCCAACTAGATCTTTCATTTCTGGTTCAGATACACTGAAGAAAGTCTTGTGTTCTTCTAAATCAGCTTCAATGTTTTCAAAATCGGTGCCATTTTTACCCATCTCCAATCGTATACCTGCTTCGTTCACCCAGAGGTTGAGTTTCTCCACCATTTGCTGGTACTGCTGTCTATATTTCTTGTTGTCTTGCAAATGTTTTTCGCGATTTGCCAATTCAGCTGGTAAAGATGTTTTTAAGGAATTGCCTTCTGATACCATTTCTAATAAGGCACCGGGTAGACCATCATCATTCTTAATCATATCAGCGATTTTTGTGAATTTGTCCAAATATGATTGAACATTTTTGGCGAGTGTGGCGTGTTCGATAAGTTTTTTATCGACACTAGCAACATCTCTGTTTAGAAGAGGACGAGAATGGACAGCCGCTTCATTATCGTGAAGCCATTGCAGAATTTCAGACAAATCAGCCGCGATCTTCTTGTGTTCTGCCGCAGCTCTTTCGTTTTCTTGACGTTTAGCTTCGACAGTTCTTCTCAATGTAAGCAACTGTTGTTTTAATGATTGCAGCAGTTCTGTTATATTATTCCTGTCAATGACTGTTCCTTCTGCCGCGATTTGTTGTCCTTTATCTGTGGCAGTTGCGAGTAATGCTTCACAGCCTTGGATTTTGCCGATGATGTCATCGTAACGTTTGATCTTGTCTTCCAGAGTATCATTAGATTTTTCGATTTCCGATGTTAAATCCGTGTATTTAGAGATGAACTCTTCAATTTCTTTAACAAGCGCAAAGAATTGCTCGCGTAACAGCAACAACTGTTTGAGTTTAGATATTTGATCTTCAATAGTGCTTACTAATTCGTCTTGCTTCGACAAAATATCCTGTAGGTCGTGTAGATTACCTCCCTGTAGTTCATTGAGCATTGCCTTATTTTTTCTCAGATCGTCGAGAATAGACTCGTAAGCCTGAATTATTGGTTGAACGTCTTCAACTTTGCTGCCGATCGGTTTGTTCAATGCCTTAAGCTTATTTTGGATTTCATTCAAGAACTCCAAAGCAGCAGCAATTTTAGCGGCAGCATCTTTGTATTCCTTAATATGCTTAAGTAGGATGTTCTTTTTATCCTTTATAATAGCGTTTATTCTTGCAAATCTGTCGGATAGTACATTGACTTGCTCTTTAAGTTGTAGTTTATTAGAGTCAGACAAGCTGTCCATAATGTCTTTGGACTTGTCTTTAATTTTATTTATGTTCTTTTCAACGTCATCGGCTTCTTTGCTGAGTTTCTCAAACTTGGCCAGTTGTTCCTCCAATAACTGCAGACTGGTGGTACGAAGTTCAGGAGTTGCTGACACTTCAGCTTCATTCAACCAGCTCTGACATTTAGCGACATCTGCCTCGAAATCGTTTCTACCTTGCAATAGTTTATTTAATGCTGCAAGTTTCTCATCGATGTCCACTTTAGCAGATGTGTACGATTTGTTTAGGTCATCAAGTATAGCCTGTAATTTAGCTCGGTTTTCGCTGGAACAATCTTTCGAGACAGCGTTGCCTTGACGCATGATTTCACTTAGCGTATCATTGTGGAAGTCGGATAGCTCACTTTGATGTTTCTTGTGCACTGCAATTTCCTTTTCCACCTTAGCAACCTCCAAAGGCACGGGACCGCCCAGCTTTTTGATTTCGGCCAACTTAGCTTTAAGCCAGTTCTTGGCTTTTTCGATGTCATTTTCCAGTTTCTTTCTCATATCGGCGCATCCGCCTAATCTTTCAATCTCTTGCTTAATAAGTGTAGCGAGTTGTTTTTGCTTTGAGGCTAACTCAGATAGTTCTGACTCTAATTGCATTTGTTCAGAAGGTTCTAGTTCAGATTGGATGTTGCTTACCTTCTTTTCCAATGAGTCGATGACTGTCTTCTTACCATCGGTCTCTTTGAGCAAATTGGCCATTTTCTTTTGGCGTTCCTTCACAGACTTGCTATCATATCCGAGTGGTTCCGGATGAAGAATGTTATCGATTTCTTTTTGCATCCATTCGTTTTGAGCAGCGACTTCACTCTTGGTTCCATCGATAGCTTTGTAGGTGATTTCCAGCATTTGTAATTTGCGTTGGATACGTTTGGCGATGTCATTGTATCTTCTCTCAACTGACTTCATCTAAAATAATATTTACGAATTAGTTAATGATTTTAGATAATGATTTAATTATGATAACAATAAAAGTAAACTATACCAATTATTTATTTCAAACTAAAAGTCCTTATATGACTTCATTAAAATTCTACTACCGTAGTATCAATGCTAAACTAATAAAAAAATAACATAATTACTCACTTGCTCTTCCACTTGTTGAGACTCTAAGTTGCTAACAATATTAATTACTTGACCGCCCACAGCTTTAATCGCGTCCACTTTATCTTTACCCGCCTGTCCGAACTCTGATGATAACTCTTTCAAAGCATTTAACTTTTGTGGGCAAGGTAACCCAGAGCCTTTATCAGCTAAGCACATCTTCTTAAGCACTGAGTCGAACCAGTCGTGGATTTCTTGGCATTTGTGGCGGAAGTCATCGATGATAGCTTGGTTGCCCTTCTCTCTTTCTATCGCCTTTAGTATTGTTTGCTCTAGAGCATCTAAATCTTCTTCTAGGTTTATCTCATCTTCTAGACCTATAGAAAATTAAAAAAAAACAACTCATTTATACCATTTATAACAATTAATTTTTATAACCCTTAATTATATTGTCGTTGTATACATAATAAATAAAATAAATAAAGATCTTATTTAATTCCTTACATTGCATGCATTACATTCATTCATATTAAAATTTACAATTTTGTGTTAGTTATATATTTATTGAATTCCTTAAAAAGTAAATTGTTAGTATAAATTGATTATTTTATTTAATTATTATTCTTATAATATTTATATAATTTCAAAACTAAATTAAATTGTTGGTATTTAATTATATGTAATAAATGATAGTAATTAAATAAGACACTCACCTTCAGTAGGTATCTCGGTAAGTATCCTATTCCTCTTTTCAGCCAGAGACACTAAAGCGTCATTCATTGCCGTGATATCTTGTTTGGCAGCTTCAGGGCGCAGTTTGGAAGGATTGGAGAGCCAGTCATGTGCTAACGCGCTATGTACATTTATCCACTCTTGTATCTCAAGGACTTGCTTCATAGCTTCCTCCATACCACTTACTGCATCCCGCAAAGTTTCTAGATGGCTTTGTACCTAAACGTTATTTTTGAATTAGTATTAATTTAAATTATAATTAGTACGTTATACTACATGTTGAATTTAGTGCAGATTCAGTATTGTAACGTAGAAAAGCCTTCAGTTCAGTGGAGTGCCAATTAATTTCGTATCGTGAATAGCAAATTATGAATATACACAATGCTTTTTGTGCTATCCTATTATACTTAGGAATATATACAATAATTTATGACTGTAAAGTTCATATGTGAAATTGAAATTGCTTTTTATTACAACATCATAGTGCAAAAAGCGAAGCCTTACCCTTTTCTCAAAAGCCACGAGTTTCTGGCTGAACTCGGGTGCTTCGAGGCTCTTAATAAGGGCATCAAGTCGCGCACTGCCGACTTCACTTACGTGTTTCTATAACAAACCATGCGACACACGGGTGCTAGTTAGTAGTGCACAGTGACAGACGTGAGGTGGAAGAAAATCATATTTTTGACCGACTTCAAAAACAGTTAATATTAAATTCGGGCGTATATTTTTTAATGCCTTGTAATTAATGCCTCATCCGTTACAAATTTAAAGCCATCCATAGGGGTTAAATAATTGATTTTAGTGATTTTGAAGTCGGTGTTCATTATTAGTTAAAAAGTGGTTATATTAAATCATATCAAAGTTATATAGTACAGCAAATTTTTATATTTTATGTTATTTATATTTTTAACAATAATTAAAAAAAATATAAATAATATTTTCGCAGAGCGGTAAAGAAAATTGTCATAAGTAATATCTTATTCCACGTTTCGCTTTCCACTGAAATCAGCTGAAGGAAATATTTCAATAATTAAAAAATAATCATCACTCATAAAATTGTTTTTTTTTTCAGAATAAAATTCCTGTCAATTTTCTGTCAATCTGAGTTTTTAGGCCATATAAGATTTTTTCTATTAGAAAAGTCCTAACGCCAGCCGGAAGGTACTCTGCTCATATGTTTTGGTCTAGATTCCGCATACTATCAGAATTCTGACGGGTCTGACATCCGCTTCTGATGCGTCCCAGGTGCAATCGATCGGACGTCAGAATTTTTTCTGATCAGAACGTCAGAGGGCGCGCTCTCTATACATTTTATACTAGAACCCGCACATTTGTCAGAAATTCGCATCAGTTAACGAGCGGGACCCTCCGAACTAAACTAATTGTCAGACTCGCTGAAGCGAAGTTTCTGATGAGTGTGCGGGGTGGTATCGGCGGACATCAGAAATTTTCTAACAGAAAAAATCTTATAATATGCGGTCGGCCTTAATGTTATGTAAATAAGTAAATAAAGTCACATGTAACTGACACGTTACAAGATTGCGGATATCCTTATAAAACCAATAAAACCGTCTTGAAATATTTGAAACGGTTGTAACGTCTGTAAATATTTTCATACTCTGACTCAATTCGTGCCATTTACGTGAAGAAACAATTAGTGTTTCATCGAATGCGTAAGTAACTACGATCACACGTTTGCAGTGCTAATTGTATTTACAAAGTGATTTTTCTGAATCAAGATAATTTGTTGTATGTTTTTAAAATAACTTAAGTTGTTGTAGATTTATTAAGTTTGCAAAGTTTGTTATACAAATTCTTACTATTTGAACTAATAAAGGGGCTTAAACGATATGCCCTTCTATATCCTAGAAGTAAAATTGCATTGAAATGGCAAATTTAATCGTTATGTCATAGAATCATAATATGCCATTGCCATATTATTTTGATGTATTTTCGTCAACAATTCTAAAATATCATCTTTTCTCAATCCCTAGCTGAAATCTAAAATGCGCAATTAGTTTTTTGTACATGCAAATGTTTAAAACATAGATCTTGATTCAGTTCAGAAGCAATTTTACCAAAATGTACCCAATTAAGTTCTAATTTAAATATTGAAAAAAAAAACACTCAATCGAAAGGACACATTTTGACAAAATCTTCATTTTTATTACCAGGTGCAAAAAATTACATTGCCAACGTAAAGCCTGTACATTTTCGCTAACTACGTTTTGAACTAGCTACCACTTCCATAGTGTTCTTTAAAATTAAACATCTTACTTTAACTGGTACAGTTTATAACTCGTTGATTTTGTTCTTTTTTGGACCTGGCAATTTTAAAGCTATAATATGAGCGTTGTGACGTAATATTTATAGATAACAAAACCCTATAATATATTGACTAGACCATTTGAAACTAAAATTTAATATATTAATGTAAAAGTTTTAAATGCTTAACACTAAAATCATTTATTTTTTATCATATCTAACTTGTGCATTATATTTGGATGACCCATCCAATGACTAGCAATGTACTTAAAGTTCAAGACCTTACAAATAATAGAAGTTAACGTTGGAATTGCTATCGGAATTTCCAAAGCTGAATTACTCATATCATTTACAGTCAATAGCCTAACCAAAGCTGTTCCAAACTAAGTATTATTTTAAGGATGAATAAATTAAAATATTGCAAATCAATTAAGTACCTATCAAAATTAAAGTATGTATTACAACAAATCATATTAAATCCACAACAACAACACGAACAACAAAACAAAACATCCATCAATCACATAGGGCCATCAACGGTCCTCAAAACAAAGCCATACCATCAAACAGAATTTAAAACATTCGAAGCAAAATCCCCAATGCAAATACATAATCAAGGATGTCAAAACAGAGTATGTGCAGTGGCGAAGGGTCAATACAAGACGTCTTACCTTAAAATGTATTTTGCTATAATTTTACATACATTTAATTTATTTCTTTTTGTATTAATACGTATATAAAAATTATATATCAATATTTTTTTGTGACTTTTTTTGGAATGGCTTACCTCTGCTAAGATTTCACCCTTCGCCACTGACATACATACAAATCAAAGAGAAGTTAAAACATCCGAAGCCAACACGTTGGCTGAGCGTGCAAATACCTGGTCGATGAGGTCCTCGAGCCGCGCGCGCACGTGCAGCTCGCGCGGCGGCACCGGCAGCGGCGCGCTGTCCGCCGGCGACGACGGCCGCGACACCGACGCCGCCGCCGCCGAGCACGCCGCCACCGCGGCCGACAGACGCGACTTCTCCGTCTGCAGGCGGTTGTGCAGAGCCTGGAGGTATAGTTATTGTAATAAATATCATGTTTCCCAATAAAACATGCTGCGGATAGGTTTGTATACTTATCTATTTAAATCCTATCATATAAATAACTTGGTACGTTTTAACAGTTAGTATGAAATACAAATCTTGAATTTCTCGGCTTTTCTGTACTATAATATGCATATATTATACATGTAAACTTTGCTCTTGAATCACTCTATCTATTACTGAAAACTGCATTAAAACCTGTTAAGTAGTTTAAAAGATCTAAGCGAACAGACAGAGGAAGCGACTTCATTTTATACTATGTAAAAATAACATCATGAACTAAATAGAAACGGACAAACGGACAAAGCTGTATGACAGACGCGACTTCTCTGATTGCAGGTTATGAAAAGCCTAGGAGAATATAGTTATTGTAACAAAAAATCATATCTTTATTCTCACACTTTTCAGAATATTAACTACTTCTCTATTTAAATTCTATCGTATAAAAACAACATTGAATAATCATGAATTAAATTGGAACGGACAAAGATGAATAATGACAACAACAAAAAAACTTGAAAAAAAAGATTATAACTTACTCTAGCCTTATCTAATAGATCACGTCCATGAGACAATCCATCGACAGGCACATCCAATTCAGTAATCGCTGGCTCACATTCATCCAAGTTGTTCAGAATACTCTCCAAAGTGTCTTCGTATTCCTTGAATTTAGCCAAACCTTCCCTCAAACGTCGCTCGATTTGTAGCGCTGTAGCTAATAAACTCTTATGACTGTCGTTCACATTTTTCAATTGCTTTCCAACGGTATCTCGGATAGATGGCGTAGTTTTCTCATAGCGCTCGATTTGAGCACGTCCTTTAGCTTCTAAATCGTCCAAAGTCGATTGGTATTTCTGAATATCATCTAGTAACACTGCGTGTTGAGCCAATTGTTCTTCTGTCTGTTCACGGTTCGCAATGTATAGTGAATTATGGGCCATCAGTTGGAAGGAAATTTGTAGAAGCCATTTCTCTGTGTCTTGCAGCGATTGGTGGTATTGGTTGTAATCTTTGATTTCTGATTCGAGCTCTGCTTTCTTTGCATTGCATTTGTCTTTTAGAGCGTCACATTTTTTCTCAATCTTCGATACCGAGTCTCTGACTGCGGGTTTCCTCGCCCAACTGGCTAATTCGCCCGACTCGCATTTAAGACGTTGTAGTTCTGGCGCTTTATTTTTAATTTCTTCTTCGATGTGCTTATACTTTTCTAGCAAAGTTTTCATTTCACCCAACTCACCACCGTTAGGTGGAACTTTGTCAAGATTTTGCTCGGTGTCTTTGATCCACTTGTTCATTTTATTCTTAGATTCCTCAAAGTCCTCCCATTTTCCGATAGCTGCCTTGAGTTGAGCAGTTATTGAGTTCAAGTCTATTTTAAGTTGATCCCAGCTTTCTTGCAGGACTTTGACGTCGTTACGTAGACCATCTTGTTCTTCCGGTGGTGTGTTGTTAAGAGCTTTCTTAAAAGCTTCCTGTAACACTACTAGCAAGTGATGTCCTTCCGTCATTCTATTGCTTACTAGTTTCACTGTTTCTAATTTGTCTTTTGTGGCATCAATATCACCGACACCAATTGAGTCGTGCACAGTTCCGTGTGCTGTTTGCAGCCATTTCTGTAGATCTTCTTTAGCTTTTATGAACTCAGTGTGATCTGATAGGTTCTTCTCGCCATTGGAAACTAGGCCTTGTATCTTAGTTAGTAAAGACGTGTATTCTGTTTGTAGGTTAACTGTCTTGTCACGGACCCAGGCGCAAGCACTTAATTCCATTAGATTTTCACATCTATCGTTAAGTTCTTCTAATACGTGTTTGTTCGCTAACGCTTGTGCTAGAAGATCCTGTATCAAAAATAATGAATTAGTAGTTTAGTTTGACTTTGGTCCAAAGGCACAAATGATTTCAAGAAGAATGACTAATGCTTTAATTAGTTATAGATTTTAATTTAAAATGTATTATATTTTAACATTTATTTAATACAAATTTTATTATTATTTATATGTATCATTATAAGCTAATCATATATCAAATAAATCTCTTAATTTAATTAATTAAAAAAATATATAATTTAAAATATTTTCTTAAGAATAACTATTATATTTATATAAAAAATATAATCTACTTACGCGACACTTCTCAAGATACTCTGGTGTTATTTTATCAACCTTTTCAACATTCTTCAACTTGCCGTCAAAGTCTTTGACCCAGTCGGTCATCTTGTTTAGAGTCTCCACGAAATCAGACCAGGCGGCCAAGCACTTCTCCAATAACTTTTTAGTATCTTTGCAAATCTGCTGCAAATTCTCCCATTCTATTTTCAGTTGCTTGATTTCTTGATTGATGTTATCTTTGCCCTCGATACCAGTTGTTTCTAGCACCGCCTCACTGAGTTTCACTGCTTTCTGAAGTAAAGCCTCTCCTTTGGGTAAAGAGCTGATGATTTTGCTGACATTCTTCAGTTTTTTCTGAACATCTTCCTTAGCTCCATGAGAATCTGAGCATTGTTGGATTTCTATCTTACAATTACGAATCCAATCGTAGAAGTTATCGTATGATTCCTTATATTGGATGTGGGAGTTCACGTAGTCTTCAAGTTTCTGAATAAAACGTTAAGTTAAAATTAATTAAATTAATTCCAAAGTAATACAGAATATAGTACTCTGACGACAACACGTTTGGCTCAGTTTGCAATGACTCTACTTGCTGCGCCAACGGTTGCGGATTCGAGTCTCGCTGGGGGCATTTATTTGCGTAATGAGCACGAATGTTTGTACTCCAGTCATGGGTATTTATATTCATAATATGTATGTATTTAAAGTTATATATGTGTAGTGTATCAACTATCTGGTATCCATAACACAAACCTCGTAGCTTACCATGGAACTAGTTGATGTTGTGTGTTACTGTCCCAACATATTTATTTATTTATAGTAGTGCTAATTGCATTTTTTCCACATTTTACTACTAAAATTATATAAATAATAAAAGTTACGTAAACAAAGGCATCGTATTGCCGCTTGGCATTTAACTCAATTCAAAACAAATAAATCATATTTTAAATAAAACTATCTTTTCTGATTTTCACCTATCGCCATGATTGCTGTAAACTGTAAAGCATTTGAAACGTCGGCAATCAAAAATCTAACTAAATCCACGAAAAAGATATTCTTATTTAAAATGTCAAATATTCGCGTAAATCTAAGAAAGTATTAAATTCATTTTTGTACATATTTTTTGGAAAACTTACCCCAATCATATCATTAACGGTCTTCTTAATATCATCATAGCGCTTAAGAGTGTCCTCTATTTCTTTCGACTTCAGAGATGAATCTTCTTGTATTTTCTCATTTAGTTTGCTGACTAAATCCTTGTGGGAGTCGATGTCTCGATTGAATGTTCTGAATTTCTCCAATTTCGCCTTTTTCTCGGACAGATCATTGAGGAGAGAGTCATCTGATTGTATCTTTTGATCGATGTCATCTAACCATTCTACTAATAATTTATGGATCTGTAAATTTGAATAACGGCATAAATTAATAATATCATTAATATATTTCTCTAAATACTAACAATATCGATACAATACATAAGGATTAAAAATAAGTATTAAAATCTTTTAATTTTGGCTAATTTATGGAAAAACGCAGTCTATAGTGCAGTAAGAGTATAGTGTACTATTATGTTAAAAATATAAGTTAACTCCATTTCCAATTTTATTTAAATCCGTTAAAAACATTAAATAGTTAGTTATAAATATAAAAAAATAATTATATAAAAAGTGCTGTATGGGCCAAATACTATTTCCCTCAAATACTCGTATATCAACTACAACCAACCTTTGAAATGTCATCAAATTGCGACGCCCTATTAGTCAGTTTATTGCGAACGTCTTGCAAATCTGCTATCAACTTATCGAATTCTTGTTTCAAATTATCTGTATCTTCCTGTATCTTCGCTGCACCAGCCTGTTCAGTGTTCATTATGACCTTTTCTTTCAACTCTAGTAAATATCTTAGTTTATTTTGACCTTGCTCCAGCGATTGTCGCAGTAATTTGACGGTGTTAAGTTTGTTATTCACTTCTTGCAATGTATTCGGAATTTCAGCGCATTGATTGAGCTTTTCTCTGGTCCTGTCGAGCCAGTCTTGACATTCTCCGTACAGGGCGTTATGCTGTTGGTGCTCCTGGAATGTAATTTTTGTAAGTATTTGACTTTATTTGTTATTAATTACACAAAAATATATTAGCTATAAAAAATTGGATGACAAATAATAAAATATTCATAAATATAATCCGCATATAAAACATCGTTATTAACCACAAACATAATCTATGATGTTCTCTCCTGACCGATTCCGGCCACGGCGGCCAATCTCATTGAGACTAGCCAGCTGCGCAGGAGATATTATAGTGCACAAGTGTACGCGCAGACACAAATGCATTCTCTATTCCTGTCACTCTCATACTCTGGTGGGACGACCACTCGACACGACCAGTGAGAATTAAGGCGCAGGACCGACGGCATTACGACTCCGAGGCACGGGGGTGAAACACCGACAACTTCCCAACTCCGGGCTGTTACTGAGACTTAATATACAGAAAGACTCAATAACTAAACTGGGCCCGACCCGGGACTCGAACCCAGCCAACCTCCGGGTGTGCAGCCATACATGCTAGCCACTACACCACCGAGGCAGTTAATCTATACTAATAATATAAAGAGTAAAGATTTGTTTATTTGTTTGTTTGTATCGAATAGGCTCCGAAACTACTGAACCGATTTAGATGAAATTTGGTAAGAAGATAGTTTGAGGACCTGGGAAGGACATAGCATAGTTTTTATCCCCTTATTGATGTGAAATTCAGCCTATAGTTACAACATACATTTTTAAACTTCCTTATACACAACCTGCGTCCACTCTCACTTTTTTACCAACCTCTATTATTTTTTATTATACCCTCATATTTTATTAATGTCAAAATTTATAATTTATAATCATTGCTACCTTCAAATTTAGATTTATTAGAATCAATATTACAAAAATGAGTATAATAATAAATAATAAATAGTGTCGTTAAAACTAGGGACGAACCCGAGCGAAGCGAGGGTGAGTCGCTAGTTTTAATGATAAAAAGTATTTAGGTGCTATTGAAAATGTTTGAGAATGTTACAAATATAAGTTTTTACCTGGTAATGTAACTCCAGTCTCTTCATCACCTCCTTAGCCAATGACAATAACGCATTATATTTAGTTGTCAGCTGAGTGATACCGTTGGACACTCGCGTGTCTGAACAAGTTTCGAGCAACATTTGAGCTCGGACGTTTAATTTGTCCAGCTCAGCTTGCCAATCAAACAGAGTTTGGAGGTGACCCTGGAAATAAAATAAAATTGGAAATAATACATGACAAGTTTATTATATATATATATATATATATATATATATATATATATATATATATATATATATGTATGAATATGTACATAACATATGTACCTACATACATACATGTATGTATATATAATCGTTATAATATTTATTATCGTTACTTAATAAGATAAAATTAAATAGTTTAGTTATATTTTTCATAAAATTATAGACCTGGACAAATTCTCTTACCTGGAATTCTTCTAAAACAACTTTCTTCTGTTCTAAATTGTTTTGCAGTTTGTTAAAGGATTGCACCAGTTTTTCAGTCTTCGACAACCAATCCAAGGCTTCTTTATATTGCTCTTCGTATTCTGTCCATTTGACGATACCACCCTCGATCAAAGCTTTCGTATTGTTTAATTGTTCTCTGAGCATATTTAAAAAAATCAAATATTATTATAAAATAAAATAATATGTATATTCAAAAACTAAAAACACATACCATTGAAATAATTTTAAAAAGTTTAAGTAAAAAAGTTTAAAAAGAATTATAAAGTATGATATGTTATAAGCTGAAAGGCTTTACATATGAATAAATATAATACTTACACGTAAGTATCGTATTCTTCTTGCATAAGAGCTACTTCCTCTTCAATATCCTCTCTGTCTTCATCATCAGCAAGGCCACAAGATATTTCGCCTTGTTCCAATGCCTTTTGCAGTTTCGCTTGTCCCTCGGGTAATTCGCTTTCTAAAACTTTGAGTTGCGAGATCTTGCTACTTAACGATTCCTTATCACCGGTCGCATCGGAACATTTGCCTAACTTCTCTTTAGCAGCTCGTATCCATTGGACAAAGTCTGTACCAGCATCGATAAATACTTGATGTTGTTCCACAGTTTCTCTCTGTTTTTCATACAAGTCCTTAGCTTGTTTAGACAAACTCTCATATTTGCTTGTAATTTCAGATGCTGGAGCTTGTTGCATAAGTTCTGAAGCCTTAGATGTTACAGACTGAATCATAGGTTCAAACGAAACGATATCCTGAACAATATTGTTTGTTTGACGAAGTGTGGCTTTCCTTTCGCCAAGACTTAAACCAGTAGTAAGACCCGCAAGGCGGTCTTGACCTTTTTTGGACTTAGCCACTTTTTGTTCACACACTTCTTGTAATTTAGCTTCTCTGTCGGAGATCCATTGCTGTAGCTGTGAATAGCTTGAGCTATAGTCAGCCCATTGTAATAATGCAGTTTCAAGATGAACTTTAGCTGTTGTCATTTTCTTGACTAAACGGTCCCATTCGTTTTGTAATTCTTTTAGCTCTGTATTGATTTTGTCTTTACCATCAGATCTGGTGTTTCTTAGAACTTTCTCGCCACTATTGACAGTAGCGTGAACAAGATTTTGCCCTTCTTCGCGACGTTTCAGTAGATCTTCGATTTGTTCTAAGCGCTTCTGTAATGCTTCTTTGCTACTGTTGCTGCCTGCTTCACTTCCAATTCTTGTAATTTCCCAAGCGTCATCAATCCATTTCTTGGTCTTTTGGTAGTTTTCATCATAGTTTTTGTGTTGTTCATGATTCGTTTCCACTTTCTTGAGTACATCATTTGCCATATTTACTAGCACTTGGTACCTGGAGTTCAAATGTCTAAGCTGGTTGTTGACGTATGTATCTAAATGTGAAGAAAGTAGTCCAGCAGCTGAGGCATTGAAGTTTTCAATATCAGCCTTACCCTTATGTAAGTGATCGACGATTTCTTTTACTTCGTTAACTTGAGCTCCCTTTTCTTTAGCAGTGCCTAATAAAGCCAATTTGTGATTTTTAATAAGAATTTCTTTTTGTTGCAACCAATCTGATAGTCTCTCATATTCATCTTTGTATTCACGCCATTGGTTAACGGTGTCTTCCAATTGGCTCTTTTGCTGTTTTATTTCATTGAAAAGATGATTAAAGCTTTCTTTAAGAGCCTTCATTTCGTTTTTAATTATAGTCTGTCCATCTGGTGAGGTACTTGCAAGCACCACTTCCCCAGTATGTTGTAAATGTTCAAGCAATAGTTCACCTTGAGCCTGCTTATTAATCAAAGCATCCAAGGGAGCAACTGAATTCTCTATGGCCAATTTGTCACTGAGTGGCTTAGATTTTAATGATGGTACTTTTTCTCTTGCCCTACCTAGCCACTGAATAAGTTCATCATGGGCTTCCTTGTATAATCTATGGTCTTTGTATTGTTCTTCACGGTCAGCTAAAAGTTTCTTAATTTTATCATACAACGTGTCAAACTTGTTGAGAGTTTCTTGAGCTTTAGATGCAGCCAAGTTTTGTTGACCACTCGCTAGCATTTCAGCGGCTTTCGCTTTCAATGTATCAACTTCCAAGCGATCACAACGAGCTTTTTCTTCTACTTCTTTAAGCTTCTCTAGTTGTGCTCGTTTATCTGACATCGATGTTTCGAATGGAGTTAATTCAGCTAACATACTCTCTAGCCATGCGTTACTCTTTTGAATCAATTGAATTTGTTCTAAAAAGCCAGCCCATTTAGTAACAGAGTCGTCTAATAAGTTCTTGGTCTCGATCATTCTAGATAATAAGGCAGACCATTGCTCTTGTAAGGCAACTAATGAATTATTTATTGCTTCATGTCCAGGTGGGGCTGTATTTGCCATTACATTTTGGGCAAGTTCTACAAGAGACTGTACTTTAGTAAAACCTTCATCTTTTGTAAGTAGAAGATTTTGAATAAGAACCAATTTAGTCTCTAAATCATCTTGCGAGCAAGAACTTAGGTCTGCACAGAAGTCTAATTTATCTCTTAGTTCTTCAATCCATTGAGAACATTCAGATACATTGCTAGTAAATTCTTGATGAGTCTTTACATATTGCTGCCACCTATTTGTCAAATCCTTAACTTTTTGTGATAAAGTTTGGTATTTTAGAGTTAAATCAGATATTTGAGAGCCACGTGGACCAAGTACACCAGTATAAAGATGTTGAGCTTTTTCTGTAATGTTGTCGATTTCAAGTTCTTTAGCTCGAACTTCACCTTGCAATTCTTGGAAAATATTATATTGCTCTTGTTTTTCAGGTAATGTTGCTTTAAGATCTACAGCATGAATTTGATTATCCGTATTTCTTATCCAAGCCAAACACTGATCTTTCATGTTCTCATACTCATTCCATTGTTGGATTTTACCTTCCAAAGATTCAATTGTTTTGTTGATGAAGGATACTAAGCCTTCCCATTCTTGGTGAGAAGCGTCAATTTGGTTTCTTATATTAGTTTGTCCGCTAGTTATTGTGCCTGGTAATACCTTTTCACCAAGTGAACGTATTTTATCAATCCGATTCTTTTCTTCCGGAAGATTTACTTGTAATGATTTTAGTTTTTCGCAATTACTGCTAAGAGCTACCCTTTCTAAATTAACGTCACCCCAAAGTTGAGCGGTATTATGCGTGGCTTCGACCCATTCTTGCAAATCCATAACGGCTTGACTATATTGTTGATGGTTATTTACAATTGCTTCATATTGTTCTACAAAAGCTTTAGCACGGGCTAGGATATTATCATGCCTCTTCTTCAGCTGGTTTATTTCCTTAGTAATATTTTTATTAACGTCAGGTAAACTCTGAGCACGAACTTCTAAATCAGAAATGTCCTGTTGATGGGCAATAGCATCTTGTAAGTAATTACGGTAGACACCAAGTTGACCGCGTTTTTCGTCCAATGTAGCTTTAAGTTCAATTTCTTTTGGTAGATTTTTCTCAGCTAGGGACAGCCATTCATTAACAACCTTAAGATTTTCATCAAATGACGACCATTTGTTTAGTTCAGAATCTAAGTCACGTTCAGCTTTCGTAATGTTATCGTATAAATTATCTACAGCTTGTTGAATATCTTGAAGTTGTTGTTCGATCAACTCCTTACCTTCGGGTGATGTTGACGGGTATAATTTCTCTCCTAATTCAAAAGTGTTGTTGACTAGTAGAGTAGCATTGCGTCGTTGGGTTAGCAAATCATTCAAGCTTTCTCGTTTGGCATTAATTCCTTCCGGCGTATTAGACAAGTCACTCTGACATTCATCAAACTTGTGTTGTGCTGCCCTTATCCAATCTGTACATTGATTATACTTTTCCTGATAGGCGTTATGATCATTAACAGCCTGTTGGCACTTTTTAACTAATTCATTCGCAGTAGAATGCACAGATTGGAAACGTGATGTCATCTGTTGTAAATTCATCGTTATCCTAGTGTCGTTACAATTCTCGATAAGGTCACTAAACTCATCGTTGAGTTTATCAACATCATTCTCAGTTTTCTTCAAATTAGCTAATATAGCCTGCAAGTAAAACAGTGAAATGTAAATAAATTTTATATTCATAAAACTTTTTAAATATGAGAAAGCTATAACTACGACATCTACCATTAGTAACATTAAAAGAAGTAAGTCTTTTATTTTATTGTCTATAAATTTTAAAATATCCCACACCCCCTATACTCGTTATTAGTAATTCCATATTAAATAGATACAAAGTAATATTAGAATAAAGTACATGATACTTGTAAATAGTACCGTATTGTTAGAATTTCATTTTTTTTAAATATACTGTGAGATTAGACCACAATCTACTGAAAAATTAGACTACACCCTACGGTGCTCATTAATTAAAATTTTGCTTCCTTTGTTCTTACTTGATCCAAGGCTTCGCCCAAATGAACAACTGTACTCAGATCATACTCATGATTATCAATTGCTTTAGACAAATCCTGTTCAAAATATTTAATAATTATTATTAAAGTACGAAATATTATGCATTGCTTATTATAACTTCAATGGTTCACTTACCTGATACTTGTTGAGTTGGTCAATCTTTTCTTCTAATGTTGCCTTTGGAGTATACGTTTTCAAACTCATTTCTGTGTCGCTTAACCAGTGCTGGAGTCGGTCATTAGCAGTGTCAAATTCTATCCATTGTTGAATCTTCTCCTCTATTCCTCGTTTTACATCATGTACTGTAGCAGTGAATTTTTCTAAATCAGCCCTGAGTAATCCTAATTCTCGTGACATGCCTTCCTTGCCACGGGGTGACAGTTTTGACGCGTTGCTTTCAATAAGATCAGAAAGTATTTTCAATTTGTTATTTCCATTAGGAATGGCATCTAAAAGTTCTTGTATTTTGCCCAATTTACTTTGCAATGTTGCTTTATTACCCGTAAAATCTGACAATAAATGTAAACGATCCCATAAATGCTTTTGATAATCTTGTAAAGACTTTTGTTGATCAGCGAATTGTTGGTAAATATCATATGCATTTTCATGCTTATCGATTACGCCTGATAGTCTGTTAGTAAGAGCATTATATCTATCCCAAACCGATTGGATAATAGATGACATTTTGTCGCTTTCATCTTTGCCAGAATGTATGCTTGCTGCAATAGATTTAGCCTTATCAGTTACTGTTTCAATAACCCTTTTATGTGAGTGAATCTCTTGTAAAAGAGTTTTGTTTTTAAGCAACCTAGACTTAATTTCTTGAGCTGAGTTAAGGATAATCTTTTCTTCTCCTTCAACAATTTTTTCTTTTTCATCTAGCCAAGATAATGTTTGTTGTAAAACGTCTTGGTAACTAGACCACTGTAATGCCTGAGATTCAAACTCCTTTTGTTGCTGTAGAATACTATCATTTAGTTTATCCCATCTTTCTCGTAGATCTCTTATCTCTGAGCGGATGTTTTCTCTGCCATTAGCAGCAGTCTCAGGTAAAACTTTATCACCAGCTGTTGAAAGTATACCCATTTTGTGTTCTCCATTTTCTCTTTCTAATAAGAACACTTGTAATTTATTGCCCTTACTTTCAATACTTAATTTGTCTTCTTTTGTTATCATTTGTGATAATTGTTCTTCTAAAGGTTTTAACCATGCATCAAATTCGTTTCTTAGTTGAATGTACTTTTTGTGGTCAGCAACGAGTTCTAACCAATGATTATTAATATCCTTTGAAATAAGATGAAGCTGTTGATAACGGCTGCTTATTTGAATCACAAGAGGTTTTAATCTTTCTACTCCACTTAATAAAATAAGACTGTGCGATTCATCAACAAAAGCATCTATTTCTTTTTCTTTAGCGTGAATACTATTACGCAAATCGACATATCTTTGTAACTGTGCCTCTTTCTCTGGCAATGTTGAGCATAACGTTTGATCTCGGCACTTGGTCTCCATATCTTTTAGCCACCCAGTTATTGATTCTATAGAAGTGTCAAACTTATTCCAGATCTCTAGAGTATGTTTTAATTTCTGTTCGGACGTGTCAATACTGGCAACTGCTTTAGTTAACTGTTCATGTAAGTTGTTAATCTCCATTTTTATAGCTGTATTTCCAGCCTCCGAAGTACTTTTACTGACACTTGCAAATATATGCCTAATTTCATCTAATTTATTAGATCCAACCTTTTCAATATCCTTTAAAGTAACAGCGGAATGCAGTTTTCTTATAATTTCAGGTTTTTCGCCTACTGCATTTTCAATATCAAGTAGTTTTTCAGATTGTGAGCCAAGCCATTCTCTGAATTGTTGAAGAAGACGTACAAGATCTTCATGCCTCTTGACACAGTCTTCTAGGTTATCTTGAAGATTTTGTGATTTTGTAACAATATTTTGGAATAATTGCTTAATAGATTGCAAGTATACGTTCAAGGATGCATCATGAGTTTGGTCGACCAATTGTTGAGCTTTATCACAAACAGATTCAACAAGTTGTACATGTGACATAATTTCTTGATGTAAGATCTTATGATTAAGTAGCTGCGCCTTCTTTTCTTCTAAAGACGTTTTTAGTTCAGTGTGACGCTGCATAGCTTTTTCGACATCTTTAAGCCATTTAGTTAATTGTTCTTGAGCTAATGAAAAATCGGAAAATTGTAAAAGACATTGATCTAACTTATTAACAGTTTCCTGGAAGCTATCACCAAAACTATCCCACAACGTTCTTATTTTACGAATCTTCTGGCGAATTATCTCTCTACCATCTGGGCTTGTATGAGTGTACAGTTTCTCACCTAGACTAAGGAAATCTTCGAATGCTGGAGTTTTCTTATTTCTTGTCTCATAAAGTTCTTTTGCTTTATTTTGTTTTTCCTGTAAAATAGCATAATCTCCTACAATTTCATTTAAGTCTTGGAGATCACCTAACATTCCCGTAAGCCATTTTTCCATATTATCATATTCATTTTCGAAAGTTTGATGTTCAGATACAAAAACTTCATATTTGGATATGATTTCGTTAACTAGGTTATTTAGTGTGTGGTATCTCGTAGCTAACTTGGAAGTTTTCGTTATCAATTCAGACTCTCCAGATACATTTTGCTTATCAGTCAGAGCAACGAATTCAGCATTCTTGGAAGCAAGTTCACTTTGAATTTCCTTCACTTTTTGTAAATGTGCAACTTTAGCCTCGAGATTACTTTTAAGGCTTTGATCTCTAATTTGATTTTCTTTAAGCTTTAGCCATTCATCCAATTCATCTAATGTTTTTTGACTCTCATTCCATTGTTTCAATGTATCTTTAAGCTTCATATCTTGCTCTTTACATTGTTTTGCAAATTGGTCCCACGTTGTTTTTAACTGTTCAAACTCACTTATGAGTAGTGGATGACCATTAGGACTAGTAGTTTCTAAAACAGTATGTAATTGTGACTTCAAGCCTTCTAAAGCATTGTCAATTTCTTGCGCTTTTGATACAATTTTTTCAATTGCACTGATTTTAGAGTCAACATCTTCTTTCTGGGAAACTACTGCATAGCTAACTAAAGTATTATCAGCAATAACATGATTCAAACGATCACGTATATCTTCAAACATTTGAACATATTTATCATGGTCTGAAACGTGAGATTCATACTTAGAAATTCGATTAGCAAGTTCTGTTGACATATTTCTGTAACGGTCAATGATGTTTTTAAGACTTTTCTCAGCATCATCATCGGGCATAAGCTTAAGTTTTTCAGTGAGTTGAGAAAGCATTGATTGATGTAATTCAACCTCTTGGTGTAAAATTTTAGTAGTATGAAGTTGAGTTTTCTTTTCTGGAAGAGTAGGTGAAAGTTTAAATTCCCCTAGCTCTACTTCTTTATCACTAATCCATTTTTGTACCTGATTAAAAGTATCGTCGAAGGAAGACCTCTTATTGATTGTTGTTTCAATATCTTTTATTACATTATTGAGTGAGTCAACGGAATCCTCGAAATAATCTCTTAGAGCTCTTAATTCGTTTCTTATCTGTTCACGAGCTTCTGGAGTTACCCCACTGAAAAGTGCTTCACCTGATTCTATAGCGCTGTTTAGCAATTTTTGTCCAATTTCTTTATTATCATTCAATTTTTTCACTTGTTCTAAATCAGCAGCAGAAGGCTTAGCATGCTTACTCAATGCGGCAATATCTGCAATTTTGGCATTGGCATCTTGGAGCCAGTTCTTGAACTCGGCAATTGATTTATCATATTTATTCTTATTATTCTTCAGATCTTTTAGCCTATTCAATTGGTTGTCCATAAACTTAGTTACTGCTTGATATCTAGTTTCCAAATGGTTTATGTATTGTGATACTCTTGAGTCAGGATTGCGTGATAGTACTTTTTCTCCTATGTCGGCTAGTTTATTCATTTCTACTCCATATTCTTTAATATCTTGCCTAATTTTTTCAATTTCAGAAATCTTATTGTCAATATCATTAACGTCTATAAGAGTTGCAGATTCTTGGCGAATACGATTTTCTTTATCTTTTAGCCATTCAGAAACATTTTCTAATAGAGTTTCATAGTCTTGCCAAGCCTCAAGGTTCTCTTGTAATCGTTTTTTAATTTCATCGAAATTAGAAGTAAGGACCTCTAAATTCTTTTGAGCTTTTTCAGTTTGTAATGCTGCCTCTTGAGCAGTTGCTGGTTCCGCGACCACACGTAATATTTCACAAGCTTCTTTAAGATCAACTACTTTTTGTTTGCAATCGGATATTCCATTTTCTACATCTGCTAAAGCAGCATTTTTGACTTCTAAATTATATTTATCACTATTGACGTCTGGCATACACCACCTCGTCTTGTCGTCCAAGATTTTCAAATTCCTATTAAACATGCTTAATTTGTCAGTAAATAATTTCTGCAGGAATGTAAGTAAGGTTGTTTCAGTTTTATTTGCATGTATAAGCACACTTTCGAACCGTTTTTGTAACGTGCTAAGCTCTTTGGGGACTAAAGATTCGTAGAATCCTGGATAATTAGCGTTCATTTCCGATACATTTTGAGCAACGTTGTCTATTTCATCACTTAAATTCTGAAGGTCAACTTTACATGACTGACATTTTTTGAGGCGATCGAGTATTTTAGCATTATCACCTGACATATCGTCACATTTTATAATATCATCTCGAATTTTACTGACGTTATCAGAGAGTCGTTTGATTTGTTCTTTTAACTTGTTCTCCCTAGATTCTAAAGACGACACCGCGCTTTCCAAATTGTCAGCTAATGTATGCAGTGCATCGAATTCGTTATCGAGATAGTCAATTATGGAAGATACTTGGCCCAGAGGAATGCTTTTGTTTAGATTTGTTATTTGTTCACATTTAGCTTTCATACTATTCTTTAAGCTCAAGTAGATTGGTAATTCTTCTTTATATTTCATAAGATGATTCTGGCCAAATCTTATTTCTAAATTATCACAAGCATTTGCTAGATTCTGTCCAGTCTCACTAAGCCATGTTACCACTTGATTTTTAGTGTCATCAATTTGTCTCCATACTATTAGTTGAGATTCTAAGTCTTGGATTCTTTTTATAATTGCATCGTTTTCTTTTTCCCAGTGTGTTTGTGAATTCAAAAACGCATCCTCTAAAGGACTTGTGTCAAAACCACCTAATGTAGATGCTTGTTTCAGAAGTGATTGCTTAATAACGTCCATTTGGTCTAGAAGTCCCTTTGATCGTTTTAGGAGCTCATAGGATTTTTTCGCTTTATCTAAAAATTGAGCAGTCTGTACGTAATCATTTGGTGCATCTTTACATTCATTATGTAACTGCTCAGCCCTACTCATTTCCCTGTCAAAAGCAACAGTAAAATTCTTAAGCTCTTGCAAAGTAGATGAAAGAAGTATGTATTTATTTTTAGTGTCACGAACAGAGTTTACTACTTGGTCCCAATTGTGGTCAGCGGTGGTAAGGGCATTCTGGATTGTGCCCATGTTGGGCTGATCTTCTCTCATCAAGTGGAGCCCCTCTTCTCTAAGCTCTTTTCTTACTGCTTGCTTTTCCTTTAATTCACTGTCAAGATTATCTAATTTTTCAGTCATTTCTTGAATAGTAGCTTCAGTCAACGGGACGGTTTGCTGAGACATTTCACTTAAAACAGACTGTACATTATGTAGAATTTCATTTAAAGCTTTATTTTGTACGTTAAACTTATCCCATCTAGCGCCAACTTTTTGTACTAAATCACGCTTTGATGTAACTAAATTCAGTAATGAATCTGCTTTCATTTCGATTTCTTTGACTAAACTGTTTGGCGGAATGATTCGGCCAGTATTTTGATCTGTCACTTTAATTCTAGATGGTCCATCTAATAAGGCTACATTGCTTTTCCATTCTGGGATTTTTGTTATAATATTGACTAGCTCTTGACGAAGAGATTCATAGCTTTCTGGTGTTAGCTTAGGACCTTCGATCTGATATTGGATATGGCCAAGCTGTTGTTTATTATCTTCATACCAGTTTAATAAATCTGACCACTTCTGTAAGATACCCTTGTTTTGTTGAATATTAGATTCAATTATCTGATAGTGTTGAGCAATGTTGGAATATACGTCACTCAATGATCTAGTCTCTTCTGGGTGGGACGCCAAAGTTATATTTTTAACTTCATTGTAAATATCAGTAAATTCAGGAACTTTCGCTGCGTGCTCTTGGAGTAATACATGCATTGACTGAAGTGTCGGTTCTACTCTGTCTGTACTAATCTGATCATAGCTTTCCGTCTTTCTTCGGAAGTCGGTTATCCAATTATCAAAATTATGAAGTTTAGTGAGGAACTCTTGTCGAACGATAATCTTATCAGATAGTTCATTTACTTTAGTTCTTACAGTATCAGCAAGAGCATTCGTGCGATCCTTGATATCTCCTACCTTATTTTTCAAAATTGTTGCTCCTTCAGGTTGAACGCTGTGACATATGGTATCACAGACTTGTGATAAACTTATTATTTTAGCTTGTTGCTGAGAAATTTCGTTCCCGAATGATTTTAGTTTGTTTAGTTCTCTATCTAATTTTTCAACTTGTGGGGTTTCAACATTGACGGTACGTGTACTGAGGAGTTTCTCTCCATTTTCGATCCAACTTTCCAATTTTTCAGCTTCTCGTTCAAAGTTTTCCCAGTTAGTAACAAGTTTATCTAGCTTATTGTTCCATTGATCAGCCAAGTCATGGACAATAGCCCATCTAGAATGTATAGCATCGACTTCATCTGGGGCGCTTGTTTTTCCAGATAATTGATGACTGACGCTGGATAAAATTTGTAAGTTCATAAGTTGTTTTTCACAGTCTGTAATAAGGGCTCTAGATTGTTGTTGAAGCTGCTGAGCTTCGGGAAGTGTTGTTGGCTTAGGAACATTTCCTAGTTTGATCTCAGCCTCCTCTATCCATGGTTTAATTTCTGCAACCCCTTTCTGATATTTCTGCCAACTTGCTAGATCGTGTTCTACGACTTTAGTTTGGTGTTCGATGGAACGTTGTAAATCTGCCATCATTTTTTCAAGCAAAGCGACTTCGCCTTTAAGTTTATTTGCATCTTGAATGCGATGTTCTATGGCCAACTTGGTTCCTTGTTCAGCAACATTTCTGACAATTTCTAACTTTTCAGCAATTACTTTCTGCAAGGATTGTGACTTTTCGACGCGTTCTTCTGGTGTAATATTTTCTGACTGAACTTGAGATATCTGTATAGGACTTTCTTTCTTAATCCATTCGCGGACATGTTCTAATTTTTGCTCAATTTTAACCCATTCGTCGTTGAACTTTTCAAGATGATGTACTTTAGATTGCACCTCGTCCTGAACTCTTTCTAGCTTGTGTTCGATTGTTTGTAAATCCTTTTCAATGACAGGTTTCGGTTTGTTCGCGGTTAAACTTTGTAACTCTGCGTACGTCTGTTGGAGTTGTGGTAGTTTCTCTGCCTTCGCACGTTCCAAGTCAGTGTTTATGACTTTTGTTTCTTGCAATTCTCTACTAATATTTGTGACACCGAGCTCTAGACCCGGATGGGCGACGTAACTTTCAATCTTATTGATATCAGAAAGCAATTCCTCCTTTTGGTATTCATAATTAGACCACACTTTTTGTGTATCGCGAAGTTTGTGCAGACGTTCTGTGTTAGTATCGTATGCTGTGGTCCATCCAGTTTCTAAGTTTCGTACGTCTTCCCTTACAAATGCTGGGGCATTCGCGTCTTTGATAAGTTCTTTTCCTTTGTGTAACATGGACATTACAGAAGGTCGCTGTCTGTCTAACTGTTGAACAGCTGCTTGCTGTTCGAGGACTAGTTGTTCGACGTGTTGCAATGATTGAAGATCGGGTTCTACTTTAGCCTTTTGTTTAGCGGTTTCTAGGATACAGATAACTTCGTGTACCTCTCGTCTGTAAGTATAGCATCTTGTGTACGTTTCAGTTTTTATCATAGTGATTTCAATGGTAGGTATGAGATTCTTGTAACGAGCTATGAGGTTTTCTAATTTAAGTTGTTCCTCCTGGGCCTCAGTGTCAGAGCAATGGTGGGAAAGCATGTCCAATGTTTGGACTAACCATTTCATATCTTCACGTTTGCGGTCAGCTTCGCGGCAAATATTCTAGAAATGAATTTAAATATTAACTAAAATATAATATTTATTATAAATGTTACAACAAAACAAATACGTAAAAATAAAACATGTTGCTGAAACTTAATTTAAACAAAAAATAGCATTTTATAAATGTATGCATGACATGTATAGATGATATGAAAAATAACACTCATACAATATAGTTACCATTAACTCCTTTAACTGTTTGTCCAATGATAGCATACAGGGATAAACCAATTAGTCACAAAATGAAAAATAATTTGGAAAAATCATTTTTATTTTTATATAACCACATTAATTAATAAAATTCGCCAAAATAGATTTTCCGATTACAATCAAACTTGGAAAAAATATATTATATACTTAATCTGGCTATGCACTAGCAAAAGTATTCGTAGAGCTTTTATGTAAAATATAGCAGTTTATTCGTTCTCATACTATCCTAGCAGCTATTTTTTCTATGGAATAAGAAAAATGATCATATAAGAAAAAGTTACGCAGTACATTTTACAGTATGCTACGCGACCTTAGTATCGAAACCTAATTTATAGCCCGCAAGTAACATACAAGTAACATAAGACAGTATGGCTTGGAAATCCGAATGAAGATGGTTCAAAACCTGGATCTCTCTAATATTTTGATGTGCGTATCATTTCCAACATGATTACCACTTGTCTTACGTATAAGGAAAACATCATGAGGAAACCTACATGTCTGAGAAAACCTAGCAAGTTTTCGAAAGACATGCTCAGTCTGCCTTGGCCAGCGTGGTGGACTATGGCCTGATCCCTAGCATTGATGGGAGGCATGTACCCAGCAGTGGGACAGTAAAATAGTACTGAATACAAGTAACATACCTGGAAAATAGTCTTCTCCCGTTCAAAAGCTTCAGCAGAGTCCACTTCTCTTACAATACTGTCCATAGTCTGGTCAACGTGGTCCATCCATTTTTCCATTTCTCTGAATTTCTCTCTATACGCGTCCCATTTCGCTGGTATTCTTTGTAGCTGCTGTCTGAAGTGTTCTACTCTATGGACTGTTGTCTCCCATTGTTGTTCGCATTTCTTAACTTCTTCTTCTAAATGCTTGTCGTTGGTCTGGTTTGTGTAACTGTGGGAGATCTTTTTGAGGTTCTGAAGACATTGTTCCACCTGCATTATCTTGCCTTGGTTACGGAAGTACTCTTCGTTTCGTATTAAGATACCGTCGGCGTCATCGCTTTGGTTGTAGGCCTAAAAAAATAAATATGGAGGGAATAATAGAAATTAATTGTTTTTTTAGAAAATATTTAAATCAATAAATTACCTACATTCTTCGCAATTGTTGTTTTTACAGCATTTTTTTAGTAAATCGATTTACTGTTACGAGTACAAAAATGTACGAATAGTGGTAAAAAACGATGTGTATGTAATATATGTATGTTTATAACTTCTTTACGCTGAAGCGGCTAGTCGGTTATCGTAATGAAAATCAGTACTCAGATCAAATCATTAGTAATCTGGAGTTATTTAGATACCTAGGGATGCACCCGAGCGAAGAATGGTTAAGTCGCTAATAATAAAAATAATAATATGCCAAGTGCAAGTCCAATTAAAGGTTTAATTAAAACACGTACCTGTTCCTCATAGACGATCTCCTTCTCGATATCCTTGATGCAGTGATGGAACACGGCCTCGTCCAGGCGGAACTCCAGGCGCATGAGGTGCGGCGGCGCGCGCTCCAGCAGCTCCTTCCAGCGCCGCTGCAGCTCCTCCACCGTCTGCACTACCTTGGGTCGGTCTTCTTCGTTCACTAGCTGGAATGCGATTGTTTTGTTTAGATTTAGTGGTAAACGTCTTAAAATTAAGTAAGTACTATCTATACAGATAAATAAAATTGAAGTGCCTGTTTGTAATGTCAAAATAATAGCGCTTTACTAAATGGATATGAAATTATATACGATACTTATACGAAATACACTATTTATTAATTTTTTGTCTTTCTGTCTATTTGTTCTGGATAATCTCTGAAACGACTGGACTGATTTTGACGAAACTTTCACTGGATGATAGCTGATGTTATAGGGAGTAACATAGGCTACTTTTATTGTAAAAAAGAATTAGGGTTATGCTCAAAAAACTTAAAACGTACCTAGGGACGATGAGTCGCTAGTTATGTATAATATGTCATTATTCTATAGAATTTGATTCTAATAAGTGATTATTATAAATAACTAGTGGGATAATAAATGTGTGCATATTCTTTATAAACAATATGTCTGATCATAAGCTTGTAAAATTAGTTTGAACAAATATTTGAAAAAAAAAACAATAATGTTTTAAGCATAGTGACTCTTTTGGGCGCTTTTGGGCTAAACTCTGCCAGTGAAAAGTTTAAAAAGTATGCTAAGTAATGCATTGATTTGTATCGGCTGGCACCGACTTCGAAAATATCTGATTAGGTGTCTATAGTAAATGAAAACCCCCGTTTAGTTCTTTTTTACTTTTTAATTCGGAGAAGTCGGTTTTTATATATTTTTTTAAGTTTTTATTTTTCCACTTTTAGTGTAGACATAATAAGCAGGTAATTTGTAAAAAGAAAGTTTTAATAACATATTCGAAATCGATTAAGCCCTTTATTTAAAAATAATTTGTTGTTGATTTTTTTAAAAAAACCGATCGACTGATTTCGATAATATTTGAATGGGACCTGGGAAGTATACAACTTTAGACAAAAAAAGAATTTTCCAAATCGGTTCAGGCGACTTAGAGTAATCGGTGAATATACATAAAAAAAAGATTCCGACGAATTGAGAACCTCCTCTTTTTTTAAGTCGGTTGAAAACCCAAACGTACCTCAATAAGCTCCCGTCCAGACCTAACAAGTTCAGACACGGCCCTCTCATCAGCACCCTGGAAGAACCTCTTGTGGAAGTCCACGGCCTGCTTGGAGTCAGCGCGCTCAGCCAGCAGCGCCTCAGCACGCGATGCCCACTCCTCCACAGCGCGCTTCTTGGTCTCGAACTCGTCCCAAGCACGCACGAGCCGTTGCAACTCTGCTTCACGTTTGGTCGCTTCGGAGGATATTTCGGCAAATCTGTGTTTTTATATTTTTTTATGTTCATTATTAATATTAAAAAAAAGTCAGTTTAAATATCAATTTTCATTTTTTACTTTAAAATTGATTTCTATTACAAAACTTTCATTCTCTGCTTTTGGAGAAGAATTTTAATAAAATATTTATTGCTTCTAAAAATACTACATGTATAATAAAATTTTAATCTCCTAGAGCCAATTTGTTAAAATCTTTATTAAGTTAATTCATTATCATCACTCACATAATTTTAGAATCAGATTTTTCTTTCTCGCTTTATCAATACAATCATTAATACAGGATTCGCAAAAAACAATCATTTCTCAATCCGCTAACTGCCTGCTACGCCACAACAAACTAAAACACTTATCTTACCATCTCTCTCACACACACACTTTCCCAACAGCTCTTACCATTCGCTAAGCCACGTCGAGCTTCAGCCCTTCTCTACCCATCTCCCTCACACACACACAGCCGCACAACATGCTATCTCGCTCACCGCTCGTTGAGGTCTCGCATGAGGTGCAGCTGGTCGGCGACGTCAGCGCTGCGGTCGGTGGTGGCGGCGTGCACGATGTTCTCGAACACCTTATTCTTGCTCTCCAGCATCGAGCGGTAGTACGTGGTGCGGGAGAAGAAGCTACGGTGAGATTCGTAGAGAGTCTCTACCACTTCCCTGGATAAGGAAAGGCAAAATTATTATCCATCTATAATATAAATATTATAAATAGTAAGGGGTAACTTAGTGACAGTCGTTAACTTTGGTATTAACTACTTTAGTACTGATTTTCATCCCCATTTTCACCCCGTTAAGGGATGGCTTCCGGAACAAAAAGTATCCTATGTCTTTCCCAGGGTCTCAAACTAACTTCTTACCAAATTTCATCTAAATCGGCTCAGTAGATCCAGAGATTACCTCCTACAACCTCACAAATTCACAAACTTTACTTCTTTATAATAATACTCGTAGTATAGATGAAAATATGACTTGGTAAAGTAACTCCATTGGACTGAAACAGCCAACGGAACATTCAGACATGCCTGGCGGTGCCGGCGGGGCGCAGCCGGTCGGCGGCCTGCTGCAGCCAACGCGCCAGCTCACGCTGGCCGGCCTCCAGCGACGCGTGCGCCGCCAGCAGCTGGCGGTGCGCGTGCAGGCGCAGCGGCACGCCGGCGCGCACGCGCACCAGCGACTCCTTCTGCTGCTTCAGCTTACCCATGTTGGATTCCACCTCCTCCCTCGGGAGCGACGCGATCGCCGTTTGGAATGTTCTGGAATGTGTCATGTTATTTCATTATCACACTTTTTTTAGTATTTTTACACGTTTTTCTTAGGCAAGTCATAAGAATCATTGTTAATGCGTCTTGCGTCTCTGATATTTTCATATCGTGAGAAAACCTTCATTCTGCGAGAGCCTAGTAAGTTTTCGAAAGATATGTGGTATGCCACAATGGTGGACTATGGCTTGGTCCACCTCGTATTAAAAAAATGCCCGTGCCAAATTATGGGACTTTAAAAAAGGCTGAATACAAAATATACTTTTTCCGTTTTATCGACGTGCGCTGCATAAATAGTAGCAATAAAATTTATGGCAAAAAGACAGAGACGTACCTGAGGGTAGTGAATATAGCGCTAGTACTCACAATACGGACAATGTTAAATATATAATTTTTCATTCATTTTCCAATCATCTAATGTACTTTTAAATTCGTTACTTATAGTTTTATTAATTTGTTGCAACAATTTATGAATATTTATTACTATTTATTGCCACCCTCGACCCGAGTTTGTCAATTAACTAATAAAAATTTGTAAATATAAATACTTTAATCTTAATACTCTTTGCAAAACCTTCACACGAACTATTACATAAGAAGGGATTACTAAACAAAATAAGCTAACTTAATCAATGAAGCCTTATTCTAGGGAGTATTATAATTAATTAGATAAGCCAAGTCACATGTTTCTGATTTATAGCTATTAATGAAAAAAAACATAAACTAAATTTGCATTTACGGGCCAAGGTTTTTTTTATTATTATTCAATAATAATATATAATACCACTATAATTTTTTTTCATTCTTGCCACTCGAAAATAATATAAGATTTTATACCTAATAATAATAAGTATAGATATACAATATTTAACATAAAATTTTAGACACAATATTTTGCAATCTTTATTTTATTACATAATTAACTTATACAGCTTAATATTTATTTTGAAATAAAATATTAATTTTACAACACTCGCATCACTCTGGTTCGCCTCAATCTGAAGAAGCAACAAACATACACACGCACACATATTTAAGAGGAGTCTAATGAGTTATTTATTACTAATATGCAACCGAGTGAAGCGGGTTCAAATCTCGGTCTCTCAAATCTGATATTTTCATGTGCGAATCATTACCAACATGATTATCACTTGTCTTTCGGTGAAGAAAATCATCTTGAGGAAACCTGCACGACTGAGAGAATCTAGCAAGTTTCGGAAAGACATGATCAGTCCCCTCGCACTTAGCCAGCGTGGTGGACTATGGTCTGATAGAATAGAATATAGAATAGAATATATCTTTATTGACATATTTGTTGTTACATAAGCCTGTTGCAGCCTCTGACTCCCAAACTAGAATAAATCTATACGTCAGTTGTCAGAGCCCTCTTCCATCTTTAATCATAACTGCAGGTCAATAATATCCCCTCGTATTGAAGGGAGGTCCATCACCAACCTGCTGATAGACTTGAACAGTTCCTCATGCTCCTCGATCTCGGAGTTGAGCTTGAGGAGTTGGTCAATGTACGCCTGTATGTCCTCGGTGGCGGCCTTGGGCTGGCGCGCCAGCAGGCCCTCCGCGGAGAGCAGCCACGCGTCCAGCCGCTGCGTGCCCTGCGCCAGCTCGCGCCGGTGGCGGAGAGTGTCTCCGCCTCGCACGTAGCTGGGATGGAGAGAGAGAGAGAGTTTAAGTTTAAAGAATTTATTCTCAAAAAAGACAAGGTCAAAGTAGGACTCAGTTAACGAGATGGGATATACTTACAAATGTATGTGTATGTATGTTAAATGTTATTAAATTGGTTATTTTTCAAAATATATTGTGAGAACTGAGATTTAAATCCGTTATTTGAGCTAACTTATATTTTTTATAGTAGAGGGTAATTTGTTATTAAGTTGTGCTTTTGTTTACTATGAAATTCTTTTGATCGATCTCTCATAAAATGTGGGATAATTGTTAAACGTAAAAACAGAGTAACAAAACAAGTATAACTTACCATTCAGCTTCTTCCCAAATACGTTCCCAACGTTCAGTGATTTCTACGTACTTTCTCTTTACTTCTGTAGTTATTTCTTCAGAGCAAGTCGCTGCTAGGAAGCCAGCAGCATCCCCTAAGAGCTGATGCTTCTCTTTCCAAACAGTCAAATCCTGGAAAAACTCCAATCTTTCATCCTCAGAAACTCTAAGCATGTGCTGGGCTTTGTCCAGCCAAGAGCTGAACTGGTCCGAGAGAGATGTCCACCTCTCCCAATGAGCTATGACTTCTTCTAAAACACTTCTAGCACATCTCACATCAGAGGAGACTCTTCTCCAATTCTCTGAAACTTCTCTCAAAAACGAGTCAATCTCCCTAGCTTCGGTCCTATCGACTTCACAAACCCGCTTATACTCTTCAGCTACTTGCTTAATATCAATATACGCTCTATCAAACTCTTGGAAAATTTTATTTTTCGTAACAAAATTATCATAATCTTCTAGTAAGGCACGAGCGTGATCAACCCTCCCGTACTTGCCCGTCCAGGCGGCTAACTTTGCTTTGGTGAGCTCGGTGAAGGCTACAATACAGCACTTGTGTTCTAAATACTTTAACCTAGCTTTCCTTTGTGGGGCAGCTCGTTCTACGATTTGAAGACGTTCCTTCATATATTGGAGTCTCTCAGCTGGTATGCTAGACGCTTCGGGAGATCTTAACGCTGCTTCGAATCTATTCATAATCTCTGGTAAATCAGCAAAGAATGACGTGTGCTCCTCTAATTTTTCGCTTATAATGGCTGCCGTTCTATCGTCTAGACTTGTGGGTATTTCGTCGAAGTATAGTAAGTATTCTGCCCGGGCTAACCATTCGCCGACTGTCCTAAAGTCACCGGGCAGTTCCGAGTCTAAAAGCCAAAGCCATTTCCTATGCAATCTCTCTAACTCTATCCAGAGCACGACCAGTTCCCTCCAAGATTTCGGTGCGATTGCAACTAAGCTCTGTGTGTACATGAGTTTTTCTAGTTTCTGGTATATTGGTTGTCGGGCTAAACGTTCGTTTTCGGCGAGTATATAGTCTTCGTAGTGTCGGGAGAGTGTCCTGGAGTCATACTGCCGTTGTATGGTGGATACTCGTTCGGAGAGCCAATTTCTTAACATTTCATATTCCTCTTGTACTGCCGCCACTGCGTCTGGACCTGTTGTCTGTAGGACAAATGTATTTAGTCATTATTAATACTTAAAAGAAGTACTTGTTTTATTATATTGGATTATTTTTATTATTCAAATTTATGGGTCTATTATATAGCCTACCCACAAGTAACACAATGTATTCAAAAAATTGAAAAATGTCACCAAAGTATTTTTTTTTACTTTTTTGAAATTTTTGAAATTTTTTGAACTCATTTTGTTATTTTGTCTGTAACGAATATAAAATCCCTTTGAGATATGTAACACCTTAGTCTCTCCCGTGACCGTGATTGCTGTAAAGCATTCGAAAGAAAATCCGGAAAGATAGTTTTATTTAAAATGGCAAATATTCGCTTAGGTAAATCTAAGAAAGTATTATATGAACATTTTCAATATAAAAAATAGCTAAATCGGTCCAGTTATTCTTACGTAATTCTCCTTACTTACGATACTTATGATAATTTTTAATAAACATTCTCATTTTAATTCAAATTATTTGACATTATCAGGATAAAACAGTCATACTAATCTAGTGAAACAGAATATGCTTATTATCATATACATCAATATGCACATTCTCATTTGAATAAAAGAAAAATAACAACTTCTTATAATATAATGAAGATTTATTACATTAATTATAAGCTAAATTGCTGATTCCTTTTAGATAAAAAGTGAAAGGACAACTTTTGTTTTGACTTTATTCAAGATAAAAACTAATACCAATATTTGAATATACAGTCAGTCATAAATTTACTAGCGACTCATTCGGGTTCGTTCCAAGGTACGTTTTAACGGTCAGTATGAAATACAAATCTTGAATTTCTCGGCTTTACTGTACTATAATATGCATTTATTATACTACATATAAACCTCCCTCTTGAATCACTCTGTCTATTGCTGAAAACTGCATTAAAATCCGTTAAGTAGTTTAAAAGATCTAAGCGAGCAGACAGCGAAAGCGACTTCATTTTATACCATGTAAAGATTAAATAAAAAAACAACCACTCTCCTATGATTTTGGATTTTATGATTTTTAAAAATTATTGGAAAAATATAAAAAAACGACTTATTTTTTAATTTTGGTTTTATATAAAACGGCAACAACATGCTTTCTTTGCTATCCGTCCCTAGACTAAAAAATGGGGCTGTTACAAATGATACCGAAAATCGTTATTTACTCCATTTTCAACCGACTTCAAAAAGGAGGAGGTTCTCAATTCGACTGTATGTTTTTTTTTTTATGTTTGTTACCTCAGAACTCCGTCACTTATTAACCGATTTGGACAATTTTAGTTTTGTTTGATAGGGTATACTTCCAGATTGGTCCCATTTAAATTTCAAAAAAAAATACCACCCCTAAGGGTGGAAAAACAACTAATGATGAATTTAACCTACTTCTAATTGTCATATTGACTTGAAACTTTGCAAGTATTTCTATTTCCGTTGATAGTACAGTGGTTCGGTGTTGTTGACCTGATCTGATGGCAAGGCCAGAAGGTGGATAGGTGGAACTCTTCAACGGCTAATAGTAGATACTTTGAGTTTGGGCTTATTTTGTTTGATTTGACAAGCCTAACACGTTAGAATCCTTACTTTGCTACTACTGTCTACACTAAAAAGGGAAAAATAAAAACTTTTTAACAAAAAAATAAAAACCGACTTCAAACTTTTGGCTAAGTAATTAAAGCCTACCTATTAAATACATACCTAATCAAATATTTTCGAAATCGGTGCCAGCCCATACAAAGCAAAGCACACCGACTTCGAAAATATTTGATTAGGTATGTATAGTAAATGAAAACTACCAATCAGTTATTTTATACTTTTTAGTGTTTTTGTTTGAAGTCGGTTTTTATTTTTTTGTTAAAAAGTTTTTATATACTGATAAATTATTATAAATTATTCTTACATTAATTTGTCAATTTTACTTAGCCAAGTTAATATAAAGAAATAAATTATTATGAGGCCTAAACACGATGGGAAATTAATTACACTCCGAAATTATTTTTAAAAGAGCAACAATTCAGTTTTTCGGCTTCGAGGTCAGCTGTCCTCCCGAATTTACAATACTTATATAAATTAAATATGTAAGTTAAATCAAAAGTGCTTGGAAAATTATATTTAAATAAAGTAAAATTCGATTTGGAAGATACGTCACTAGTTCCTCTCTTGCTAGGGAGGTTCAAGAACCCCCTCAGTAGTGCCCAGCAATCCAGCCGGGTGCGAAGCCAAGAAACGCATAGGGAGGTGGCCCACTTCGGTGGGCGGTGGGAGGTGGCCCTCTTCGGAGGGCGGTGTATCATGCGGGTTGCTCCTGGTACTTCTCTGATAGCAGAGTGGACCTTGGAGCAACCCCATGGTTGTGGTGGTCTGCTTTGGCAGACCTGCCGTCGGGGCGTCGTAGTTGAATGCGTAAGCGATCCTGCGACGCCCCATTAAGACGGGGGAAAGTTTTGTTGGGTTTTAGTGGGTAGTACTGGCTTTATGTCGGTGAGTCCCACACCTCGTGCGCAAATGCATTTCCCAACGTAAAAAAATAAAAAAAGGATGTTCAAGAAAAAAAAAATTATGAATAATCTTACCTTAGGTTCAGGGTACTTGTGCAGGAACTGCGCCACATAAGTCATGATGGACCTTTCGTCTGGCTTATCTACATCTACGTCTTCAGCGTCCAGAAGCTTGGCTATGCCAAGTTCGGTTTCTGCCACATCGAAAGCATGTTCCAGACGCTGCCTGTTCGTCTTTCTCTTCATTTCTGCTAAATTGATCAAATTCGCTTTGATTGCATCGATGATGGCCAAAAAGGCGATACCGTCGCGCCATGATGGCCCGAAATCTGTCACTTGGATGTTTGCGTCTCTGAAAAGATATTTGAGAGTGAGATGGAGAATTGAAGTCAATAGATATTTTATAATAAATGCATTTGTTGTTTAAAATATCTATATTCAAACTAAGCCATTTGGTGTGAACACAAACAAGTCTTTCAAGACCGGTTTAGTTGCTAGGTTATTTTAATAATAGAAAAATTTATGTTAAAACAGAAAAGTGCAAGGGAACTCTTAAATGTAAATTTAATGTGTTATCGAAACATAATATTTTCGAGAGAAAAAATAAATACTTTTTAATTTATGTAAATAAATACACATATTTATTAATAATTTATATTTCAAACAAACAAAAATCTAATCAGAACTAGTTTCCCATTATACATTCACTTAGGTAATCATTAAAGCATTTGATTTGTAGTTTAAAAACAAACCTTCACCTATCTTTACAATATTAATCATAAGTTTTTATCATATTAATTAAATTGTTTATTTAAAGAATCAAATCTATAATTTTAATATATGTAAGCCTCGCGATACTCATATTTAGTAGCTCTACTGAGACTATATATACACACGTTTGGAAAAAAATATGAGAGGAAATTTTTTACGATGCGCGCGCGCGACAGCCAAAAAGCGACATGATGTAGTTACCTGCATTACTTTTACAGAGAGTTGTGACATATGATATATGAAATCTTTAGCTATTTTTGTTTTGTTACGCCAAAGAAGTATAGCTTCTTACGTGCATAAGTACATACACGTTTTTTTATACATAAATATCCCTTTAAAAAGTAAAAAAAAACTTTTTATAAATTAAACAGTAATAAATGAAACTTTTGTAATTACCTACGTAATACTCGTATGTATGTCATAAAAAATAATCATAAAAATTAGCTTATGATTAGAGAAGATCGAGTAACAAAACCCAAAAAAGTATATACTCCGATATGAATATGTCATATTTGAAATCGGTCAAATATTAGAAATACAAGTTTGAAAGTTGAGAAATCTAAATATCAAGTTCCTTTAATCGATACTTATATTACGTCGTCATTTACTTTGCGCACTATTATAGGACGTGTATAAATAGGTGTCCTGTTTCAAAGGATTTTCTAACCAGATTTGCAAGTCTTTGAAGTCAAAAGGTCACTGATCCCGTTTAGTATTTTATGTAATATGGTCCTAAGAAACTGGTTAATCCTTCCCCATACTTATCGATAGTGGGATTCTTATATTTATGTGGTTAAAGTAATATTTTATTCATATATACGTCGATATCATGTATGTATACTTTATTCGTAAATGAAATTGAATCTGGTTGGCTGTTGTGAACATGGTATATACTTATATAGTTATACTAGCATTGCCCGCGGATCCGCCCGCATTCAGGTGACCAAAAACCAATTTCTTAGGTTTTGAACTTTTACATATAAGTATACTCTTACATTGCAGTTTTTGTATTTTTTCTCGAAAATGAGACATTTTCCCGCGGTAAAAAGTATCCTATATGTTGACCCGTATAACCAGCTATCATCATACCATATTTCATCAAAATCCATCCAGTGGTTTTTCCGTGATGCGGTAACAGACAGACAGACAGACAGACAGACAAAAATTCTAAAAACTATAGATTCGCCCTCTGTTTCGATAATAATGACTATTTCAATAAGATTTTCCAAAAAATATTTAATGTACAGATTCAGCTTAGTTACAATTTTATTATATGTATAGGTTGTTATGAGTATAGTTATATCGTATGCACGATACCTTAGCTCAATTAAAAATTAATTTTATTTTTATAAATATTTTATATTAGGTGATTTTTTAAGTCGACATAACTATTTTATTTACGATCCGATCGAAATAAAATAAATACTAAATGTTAAGTGAAGCTTACCACAATACAGTAGTGAAAATTGCACCCAAATTGGATATGCCATTTCGGATATTATCGCTTACAAATGTACAGACAAAAAGATCAACAGACCAAAATTCTAAAAATCAATGTTTTGGGTTCAATTGCGTTAGTAAAGACCCCCAATAATTGTTTTTCTCGAATAGCTTCCATGTGCAGACAGCGATCAGTTAGAATTTTATTTAATTATTAAATTAAATATCTATCTCTTTGTAAAAAACTGAGCCAATTTTAGCAGCATCAGAAGCCAACCTCTATCAGACTCGCAGGATCAGGACCTACGTGGATGTAACACAACTAACATCCCAACGCCCCTTTGGTACTAAAAATTTCTGGAAAACCTCAATAAAAGCTTCTTTAATTCCTAACCGGAACCTACAGCCGTAACGAGTAGTACCTATCAAATCTAGTATTCACCAAATTCTCTAATCAACAAAATGAAAAAGTATTTATGTATTTGTGTGTAACAAGTAGCACCGCCTACCATTTCATTTAATTACTCATGCGCCCTAAGATTGCCTGGAAAGGATCGCTTGTAACGATAAGGCATCCTGTGCATCTTCTATATATTTATTTCTTCTTTTGTATATTTTCTGTGTAATTTACAATAAAGTATATCCATCTATCTACAACTTACTTAGGCAAAGCATTCGCAACCCATTGGAGTAACGTCTTCTTAGCGCCTTGCTTCCATCTATCCTCTGCGCGGTGCGTGGGTGTCGCGGCGCCAGACTCTTGCGACATGACGGACGCGCACCGCGACCCACCCAAATATTCCAATGCACGACTGTTTTCTTCAATCTAGACATATTAATTATATTAAAATGTTATTTTTTAACATATATTTTCTTTTAAAATAACATTATTTTTTGGTTTTTGTGATTGTATTTTGATTTTTGATGTCCGATATATGCTTTATACTAATCATGATCATGGGAAAGACTAGTTTTTAGTTTTTTCGAAACTTATTATATAGTTAAAGATACCTTAATTTGGACGAAATAAATGGAGCCGGCGTACAATTTAAAAAAAATTAGAGACGTCAAAATCCTCAGTTTCTCACCTGACCATGATTCATTCATTCGAAATGTTGGGAACCAAAAATCTAAATAAAACCAAGAAAGTTCCGAAAAAATAGATCTATATAAAATGTCAAACATTCACTTAATTCTAATAATTTATTGTTACTTTTTTTTAAGTCTTCACGTTACACAAAAATATATGAAAAATATTCTTTATTTATTGCCATTTGATTAAAAAAACATGTGTTCAAAACAATGGCATAAAAATAAAACATATGACTGAAAAATTAAAAAAATAAATAACTAGCAACAAAACAAAATTTGAAAAATTAAATAGCAATGAGGATTTACATGAGTTATATTATAAAAGAGCTCAGAGGTAATTTTCTAGAGCAGACAAGCCAATAAAAAACGTGCCCAACAAAACACAAGACAGTAGGTATTGTATTTAGCCCTTTTAAATGTCCTACTGCTGGGACTGGGCCTGCCTTCAATACGAGGGGGATCAGGCCATAGTCCACCACGCTGGCCAAGTGCGGGCGGACTTCACATGTCTTTCGACAACTCACTAAGTTCTCTCAGACATACAGGTTTCCTCGCGATGTTTTCCTTCACCGTAAAGCAAGTGGTAATCATGTTGGAAATGATTCGCACGTGAAAATATCAGAGGTGCGAGACCCGGGATTTGAACCCGCTTCACTAAGTTTCCCAAGTAAGCGCGTTACCATTGGGCTACCACTGTGTTCTATTAGATAGTAAGTATTATATATAATTTTAGACATAACTTGTCTACTCCAATTTTATCTCTATTTATATTAGCATTAGGTTACTTTTAATTCTAATCATATTATAGTATCTAACTCCTCTAAACAACTCTGGCATATGTATAGATAATTGGAATATTCTAGAAGCTTGCATTACCCACCTTTTGTCCTCTTTCCTGTGGGTCCAATACATTGAATGAAGCTTGCGCAAACAAAATACATTCAAGCCAATTAAAATGAGAATATATCTATAACACAGAATGCAATGCGAGGCAGGAATAGTAGGAGGCTTTGAAAATAAGCGAAATCAAATAGATGGACACTAAAAATAATCACATCCATCGATTAGGCAATATTTACGAAGAACGATATAAATTATGTAACAACATTGCTTAATAGTGGAATACATATTGTAAGAATGTGTCCTTTACACCCCAGCTTTCTTGTTTTTGAAAATACATTTTTCTTTGGAATATCCACAATTCTAAGCGTCTTTTCATCTCATAAACTTTATTTTTTTAAACGCTAAGTATAATTTAAAAGTTGGTCAAGATAAATCGATCTAACCGCCTTAATGCCTCACTAATTATTCAAACACGCTTCGTTGATATTAAAATCGATTCAGATTTATCCTCATTAAAACTGGCTAACTGTTAGTGCATACAACCGTGTTATCTGTTTGTCTAGATTCTAGACTAATGGAACTAAATTTACAGTGAAATATGTCTTTGTGTAAAATAACAACAATTAGTATTGACTGCAATACGCTAGATTGACTGTACTTAGTCAAAGTAGCGTATAGAAGATTGAAAGTAGAAAGTGGGTCTCGAAAAGTTCTAAAGCCTATACTGTGTACAGAAAGTCCTTTCTCTATGGACAATATTATCAAAACGTTATTTATTATGACTAATGGGTCTCTTTGTCTAATTTTTTTTTAAATGGCAAAACAATTATTAAAGCTTTAAATACTAATAGCTTTACCGATAAGAGACTTAACTATTTTCAAGCCGAAAGCTCAAAAAATTTTATTTTTAAGGAAAATTCTTAATTTAATCGTCAATTATATATTTGATAGATCTGAAAACATAATATAAGTAATAAAAAAAGATACAGTAGGTGTAACAAGCTTACAAACACAGTAGATATCTATTTTAGTCCAATACTTTAATTTTCTAAATTTTACACATAAAAATCGTGTATTCAATCAACTAACATAACTAACTTGTGTATTTACTTGTCCCTAAAATGTTCATGAGTAATGACTGAAAGCGACATATTAATAGTTGGGAGATAGCAATAATTACCTGGAAGTAGAGGATGATGGTCCAGATAAGCCCGAGGACAACAGCTGGTCTCCCATCAACCAGATCTGCTGCATTAATGTTCACAAGCTTGATTCGTTTGCCAGCTAAGAAGCGAAGTGCAGTGTTCGCGTTCGATAGGAAATGTGGTCGTCGGAGAACTCGGCCGCGTTCCATTGGCTATGGAGGAAATTTGATATGTTTGTGGATTTATAGTATTACTATCTTACTTATATTTTCACTTACGTCCATACATACTCGTATACTATTTACTTACTTTCATCTATACTATGATTGTAAAGAGGTAAATTTTGTGAATGTGTGACGTTGTACAGGGTAATCTCTGGATCTACTGAACCGATTTAGATGAAATTTGGTAATAAGATAGTTTGAGACCCTGGAAAGGATATAAGATCCTTTTTATCCCAGAAATCATCCGTTAAGGGGATGAAAATGGGGATGAAAGTTTATATGGGGAATCATCTCTAGTACTTATGTAAGACTAAATTAATTAAATTAAAGCCCTGAATCAAATCAAATAAGTATTTTTTTCAACCAAAAACTTACTAAATGCATTAAATTATCAATTGTAAAAGCTAAAGCTAAGTTAATTATCTTCCAAAGAATCGTTCAACTCAAAAGATAAATATGAATCCCCCGGTGAGCAGTTAAAACATCGATCATGCAGCAATCTAATCGGGCATTACTCGAGAAATGTTTGAAGTCGATACAAACGCGCATCGAGCGCTCATTGTCAAGTGCCTGACGGATATGCGCTGGAAATATTTATGGCCTTACGCCAACGTGAGAGCATCCTTAAGATAAAAGCTTGTATATGAAAAGAAATCCTTCGTTATTTATTTTAAAATTATTTAAAACATTTTAAATAAAACTAGGTATCTTTTCGGATTATTACACGGAACGACGATTTTAGACGTCTCAGTGGCGTGTTATACTCTCCCGTGACCATGATTGCGGTAAAGCATTCGAAACGTCGGGAACCAAAAATCTAAATAAATCCGCGAAATAATCCGAAAAGATAGTTTTATTTAAAATGTCCAATATTCACGTAAATCAATTAAATCAAAATATTAATCTAATATAAGAAGGTATTATTTTAAAGTTTAAACAATACAATTTATATGGCGCTTTTTGTTAGAAGAAGAAAACTTTATTTAGCTTTACATATATTCTAATTAAAAAAGCTTTAGCCTAAATTTCTTGAATGTCATTCTTTTATTTCACACTATTCTTGCTCCTTTCAACGAAGGTATATTTCATGAAAATAAGTTTAATTTATATTGTATAAGTGTAAAACTTACCAATTTCTCGCCAGATAATACTTCAAGTAGAGCCAGAAGCTTGGTGCCGTCTCGCAAGTCGTAAATCAGGTCGTCGATCCGCATTGGTGGTATACGCTGTGATGATATTCCCAATTATTAATAATATATATAAAAAATTATAGCAAATTTTATTCCACATCAGGTTTTCCAAATTCTATATTCCTAGGTTCAGTATATTGCAATATACTGAACCTAGGAATTTTAAAAATATGCGTAGTGTGATGGTAATAATACAATTTATGATTTAATTTATTTTTTTTATTAATTAAAAGGTACACTTAAAAATTAATCTTTAAGTCCTTTAGAATCAATAAAGTGCCTCTTTGTTTGAAATTGCTTCCAAATTAAGCTGTGTAATATATAATTTTGTGATTATCTTCTTTTATTTTAAAATATTTTAAAGCTCTGAGTGAAAAATGTGAGTGTGATAACTATGTGCTTACTATTTCGCATTATAATGGCTTTACTTATCCTTCATTAAATTTTTAATAATAATTTATAACTATAATTTTTCAGTATTATAAACAAAATAATATTTTTATCGATACATTTTATAAATAAAATAAACTTAAATAAAATACTGTTTAAGTCCTTTGTTGTTCCAAGATTATAGAATTATTTATGTCCTGTACGTGCTATATGTACTTAAATAGTCGATACTAACTGACCTCCGACACTTTTATCACTTTATACAATAAGTATTTTATATATTTATCATGCAAATAACTGCTATACATATGTTACCTTTGATAAGTGCGAATTGATCCAATTAACGAAAGTCTTCTTTTGTACTCTTTCCTGTTCATCTGCAACAAAAAGATATATTTTTAAAATTTTTGTTCTTTAATAATATAGATTCTGAGACTCGCGTGCAAAACGTCATCAACGATACAAGATCGTTAAAGAATTGGAAAGTTTTTAAATTTTCGTTAAATTTTCCTACAAACGACTCGTGTGAAAGTCTATAATTTTGTATTTTTCTTATCTGTACAAACTATAAAGAGGCAGGGTTCGTTTGTTTTTTTGTTTGTTTGAACGCTAATCTCAGGAACTACTACTCCGATATAAAAAAATCTTTTTACATTAGATAGCCCGTTTATTGAGGAAAGCTATATACCATCCCGGAAAAACGTTCGATTCCCGTGGGATAAATTTGTTTTTGCTAGTTTATTATATTAAGGAAAAATGAATATTTTAGAAAAAAATATCCAAAAAAATATAAAAAGGGTATAGGATAAACTTGGGGCATTCATGGCTATTCGAGCCCAAAGCAATATTCTGCCATGACAATCATCTAAGCAGATATAAAAAAAATCGTGTAATTAAAGTATCTGACTCAGAGTACAGTTACTTGTAGCTTTATTTGGCCAACGTCAATTATTTACCAAAACAAAAACAGAAAAGAGCGATAAATTACCGATTTAATGCTCGTGTTTTGAATTAAAGCTAATTTAAACTATGTCGTCAAGTGCATGTGAATCATGATGCAACTTGCCAAGTTCAGTGCTCCGATAATGTGTGCATTGTTCCACATCTGCCAAATATCGTGAACGCTTCTATATCACCATAATATCTATTTCTAGTTTATGAGTTCATGCACTTTTGTGTTGATTGATGTAAGGTGAGTAAATAAAAGCTTATATCATCGGTTTTGTTTTGTAATTTGTCATTCATTACACAAGGTCAATTTTCAAGTGGTAAAATTATATTATTACGAGTATTTATAGCCGCATAATTGGCTCGTGCATATGAGTACCTTACTGTTTGTATATGGATGGTTTTTTTCCCATAAAAACGCCCAAGTCCACTTTAAAAATGTATGTTGATTATAATACAGCGTACATAACAACATAAAAGCAATACGTTTTAGTGCTGCCTATAAATAATTTATAAATTAAATAATTATTTAATTATTGTTTAGTATATACATATAAAAGTGCCTGGGCGACCGAGCTTTTGGACAAGAGGACAATTTTCTTTAAAAAAACTAAAATTTTGAATAAATACAAAAAAAACACAAAAGCAAAACTTGATACCTGGGATTGTCAATCTTACGCCTTGGCAGCTTGACCACGATGCCTATGCCCGTACGCGTACGAAATTAGCGATCATATTTTGCGTGGAATAATGCGAAAGAAAACCGCATTAAAACTGGAAAACACGCGTTTTCCCAGAGATAACACTAATTTAGATTTCGCCCCCGAAAATCCCATACATACCAAATCGAATCGCAAAATCGTTAGAGCCGTTTCCGAGATCGCCGGTATTAATAAATAAACAAGAATTGCTCTTTTATATATAAATATAATAATTATTATTAATATATCTAATGACTAACTATTAACTAGGATAACATATCATCAATTACTATGAAAAAATATAGCTTACGATGGTATATGTGATGTGCATGTTGTTTGTACGGTCGACGCATAAAATTCATAATCAATATAAAATTCCCTTCGTTCGACCTACTTTTTATGTCCCAAAGCTTTTCCGCGTAATAATATCTGGCAATAATCGTTTAACATATTTTGCTCTATTTGGTTTCAGTACTACATAAAAGTGTACAAAAACGTCGATTAAGTCCAATGGGCTGATCAGTGCATGTTATGGTTCCTGAAAGGTGCACGCAATTGGTAGCGCCTGGTACGGGCAACGACCTATCTTTGTTGATATACAAACGGTATTATTCAGTTTCTCTTGGATATTATTTCATGTGATTATTTAATAAATTTAAGCAGGTATGCTATGGCCTGACCCTCCTTGTGTAGAAAGGAGGCACGTGCCCAGCAGTGGGACGTTAAAAAGGGATGAATACATACATACATACAAGAATTTATAAATTATAGGGTTTTTTTTGGCTCCAATTTATAATAATATATTTTACTAAAAGCATACGACTATTACTTTATTTATGTATTAATTGTACCTATTAGTAAGTTCAATGACACGAGCGTTTTCATAAAAAACTTTACTAACATCTCTTTTTGAAACCCTTGTGAGGGTAGAGAAATATAAAAAAAAAAAGTTCAATTAAAAAAATACGGTTTTGATATTTAAACTACCTGCCAGCTACATACATATAAGTAATTAGCGGCTCACCCTCGCTTCGCTCTATGAAAACTAAAACAAATCTATCCCACGGGAACCGTACATTTTTCCGGGACAAAAAGAAACCTACATGTTATTCCAGACTGTAAGTTATCTCTGTGCTAAATTTCATCCAGATCCGTTCAGCCGTTCTGGCGTGAAGGAGTAACAAACATCCATACTCACAAACTTTCACATTTATAAAATTAATACGGATAAAGAAGTTATGATATACGAACATCATACATTTTAACTGTGTTTGTTATGTTTAAGATACACGCAACAGGAATCATTCAAGAATTTTCATTATTCCCTTATTTGAATGCATACCTTTTGAAGTGGATATCATAAAATATACAAAAATTGATCGTAAACATTTACGTTCTTTTATAAAATTAAATCTATCATGCAACATCTGTAATGCAGATTGGCATGTACATATTATGTTAATCTGTTATTTAAGTTACTGGAACACTAGGTTTAAATATTTGCAAGACTAGAGTACTAGAAGTGGTTAATTCGTTCATGGCTATGACTAATGAAACAACGAGAAAGTGTTAGAATTTTCATATACCTATCTAATTCGATAACCAATCTCTACATCTAAATTTAAATCAAAAGTAAAATTATTAAAAAACTTCTAATATGTTATTATTATAATTATCATAGGGTATACTATAAAGTACATAGGTTACTTTTTTACGTAGCTACATTTATATAGTACTAGCGACTCACCCTCGATTCGCTCGAGTTCGTCCCCAGGTCGATTCCCCATAGAAATTTTCAAGCCCATTTTCACCCCCTTAAGGGACGATTTCGGGGATAAAAAGTACCTTATGTCCTACCCCGGGTCTCAAACTATTTTCTAACCAAATTTCATCTAAATCGGGTCAGTAGATCCAGAGATTACCCCCTACAACGTCACAAACTTACAATTCACAAACTTTACCTCTTTATAATATTAGTAGGTATAGATAAATAACAACTTCTTCCATCTTCTTTAAGTGCCGCAAAAACATCTCTTAGTTTTTCCTATATTCCGTTTACTTAAACTATAAGAGATCTAAACTCCACCAATATTTAATTAAACTACAAATGCAAAAGTAATAAAAGTTTACCAATTATACCAATTTTAGATGTAGCAATTAGCATGACAAAACACATTAACGAAGTCGCATTCTTGAACTTTTGCTGAATTTGAATTATAGCTTATAATTTTTTAAATGGCACGCGACATCATTTCATATTAGTTTTTTCTTTGTAATAATTTAATTTTCCTCGATAAAATCCATTTCAGTCAAAGCTTATTGTTTTCTATATATGTAGGAACGTTCACAAGATCGCATAAATCTTGTTCAAATATATATATATATATATATATATATATATATATATATATATATATATATATATATATATATATTATCACGTTCATTGATCAATCAAATATAAACAGTATAAGCATTACTCGTATACGTATGCAATAAGTTAGCATTTCTTTCAAAATATTACTTAAAATATTTTTGAGCGGTTCTGTTATCAATTTCTCACTCGCACTGATAATGACTGCCGCAAACTGTCCTCGAAGATGCGCTTCCCAAAATAAAACCTGTTCTTTTTTAAATAAAACAGGCTATTATGTTAAAGCAACTAAAACATTTTATAATGCCCTAGCGAGAGTCGAACCCGCAACCGCTGGCACAGCAAGTAGGATCACTACAAACTGAGCCAAACGTGTCGTATAATGTACATATTAAAAATAAATTCGAATAAAGTTCAACTATATTAGAACTCGAACGAGCACAAGCCCTATAAAAATATACATTAAAGTATCAACAGACGATAATACTTGTTAAGTACCTAATTAGTATAGTTATAGTCACTAAAAAGTACCTTTAGTTCCGTAAGAAGCCACTAAGGAAATCTAATCACCGCCAATAGCGTGTAGAACTGGCCTGTAAAATATTTATGTTGTGTATATCGCGTTTTGAAGTTTGCTATTCGTGTACATTTAATGGCTTGTCTTACGATACGTCTTTAATTGGTTTTAGAATAAATCGATCAGTCCCTACAGCATTAACTAAACATTCTAGGGTAATGGCTTTTAAAGTAAGTTGCATGAAATGGAGAGATTTAACATGTACGAAATACTTGTTTTTTCGAATGCGAAAAGAAAATCCTTTGTTTTTTCGAAACGAATTCTTATATAAAGTCAAGGAAAATTTAATTAATATTTAAATTTATTTACTCAAATCTTAAAGGGTAAAAAATCATACAAGAAAAACATAATAATTTAGTATAACAATCTTGGCTACACACAACTTACATTCAACTGGTACGCTTTGAAGCTATTAACAAAAAAAAATATGCATTTTGCTGATTAGTTAAAATAAAACTATCTTTTCGGATTATCCGCGATTTATCCGCGACAAAATCCGAAAAGATAGTTTTATTTAAAATGTCAAATATTCGCGTAAATCTAAGAAAGTATTAGTTAAAATAAATAAGCAAATGCTACTTATATAAATAAATAAAAACATTGACACACAACACCATCTCGTTCCATTGTAAGCTACGAGGCTTGTGTTATGGATACCGGATAGTTGATACACTACACATATATAACTTTAAATACATACATATTATAAATATAAACACTCATGGACAACACTGGTGTACAAACATTCGTGCTCATCACACAAATGAATGCCCCCAGCGGGACTTGAACCCGCGACCGCTGGCACAGCGAGTAAGGTCACTACAAACTGAGCCAAACGCGTCGTGTGATATCTATTCGTAGTGTATGAAAAGCATTGCCCGCGGCTATGTCCGCGTTCAGATGACCAAAAACTAAATTCTTAGGCTTTACATATTAGTATAAGCTTACATTCCAGTTTTGTATTTTTTCTCAGAAATGAGATATTTTCCCGCAATAAAAAGTATCCTATATGTTGACCCGGATAACCAACTATCACCATACCAAATCTCATCAAAATCCCTCCAGTGGTTTTTCTGTGATGCGGTAACAAACAGACAGACAGACAAAAATTCTAAAAACTATAGATTCGGCCTCTGTATCGATAATAATGTTTATTTCAATAAGATTTTCCAAAAAATATTTAATGTACAGATTCGGCTTTGTTACAATTTTATTATATGTATAGATAGAGCAGTATAACAAATAAAAATTCATTACAAAACTTAATTAGGCTATATTCATATGCACAGTGACACAGCCTCCACCCAGGGTTGGAATAAAAGATGACGCAAGCTAGGTGCCAACCATGCCAACTGAATGCGAACGGACATTAGTACATTAATCATTTAAATAATTGTAGTCACGGCTTGTAAAAAGCGAATACGTCAGACGTAATGAATGCCGAATATGTATGGTAGAGATTGAACGTGGTAAACGAATTTCATAGATAATGTAAATAAATTATCAGATTTCATTAGATTTTTCTAATTGAAATAAGCTTTTTTAGGACGTTTTCCAAAAAGATAAATATTAAATAGTTTTATTTCAAATGTTAAATATTCCAGTTAATGTAATATATAAATATCTCGTGTTACGGTGTTTATGGTCGCACTCCTTCGAAACGTCTCGACCGATTTTCATGATTTTTTTGTACATTTGGTAGGTATGAGAATAGGTTATAAAGTATTTTTCACCCTTCTACCCCAATTTTTTAATCGCGATTTTTGTATTTTTGTATGAACAATATTAAATTAAATAAATAGTTGTTTTTTTGTAGTTTGAACGCGGGCGTAGCCTCGGGTTCTGCTAGTCTAACTATTAGAAAGTATTAAATATTCCAGTTTTAGCTTTTCCATTTAAAAAGTCTGCCTATTAGTTTTTTCGAATAACCTTCTAGCTAACAGCGAAACCAACTAATGGAACTATCACAGGCTGGTCACGGGGAATTAGGAGTTAAGTATGAGCGTGACAAATGCGTACCTATGTAACTGATGATATTATCTATGCCAATCTTTACTGTAGGTTGTAATAAAGTTATTTAAAACCAGACCAAATCCTTTAAACTACTTGTAAATCATAAAATTTCATAAATTACTATATTTATTTGCAATACTAGCGACTCACACTCGCTTCGCTCGGGTTCGTCCCTAGCTTGCTTCTACAAACTTTCATCCCCATTCTAACCCCCTTAAGGGATGATTTCCGGGATAAAAACTATTTCACTCACTTACCTTTCATATCATGAGATTTAAAAAAACTTATTTTAGTATTTTTTTATGATAATTTTCTTCTATACAAAACAAAAAAAGAATTATCAAATTTGGTGCAGTCGATCCGAAGTTATGCGCGTACATACATTTCAGTGATTCATT